ACTCACTCGCTCGCTGCGGCTCAAGTGCTGTGTGAAAGATTAAAACATAACACCTTTCTCGGACAGGGTGGGTCGCTCTTATAATAACACAACTCGCGAGATGCTTTATGCGAGCCTTCATAGCTTTTTGCCTTGCTCTAATGTTGTTTATTAAGGAGCTCATGCGCTCGTGGGTGTTCGCCCGCAGACGGGTCAGAGGTCGCGGGCTTTGAGATTTATATTTCATTGCTTAATTTCACGAGCTTGTTAAGACCGACAACATGCTCTAAAAGCTTTGCGTGTCTAAAGCGAAAAATGTATTGGTTCAGCACAGTTAATTATATTAAATTTCAAACATCTATGTATGCAAAAACTACAAGAATTATAACTAAAAAGCTCTATTTGGCTTCTCATAATTTGAGACCTACCAAAACTTTATTCAATTTTTTTTCAAAATGATATAAATTTATCAATTATTGTGTTAATACAGTTCACAAAATTCACAAATTAAATAATAAAAAACAGATTTTATAAAATTGATAAAAATAAATTAATAAATTATATTAATTTTAAATGTCTCGCATTAGTTTTAAAATTTATAACTCAGTATTAAAAGATTTGTTAAAAAATTTTAATTAAGAGAGGAAAATTAAAACATATAATTTATGCAATACAGATGCAAATGGAATGTATAAAGCAACTATATATATTATTGATTAATATATGTATTAAATGCCAATAAATTTTACGAGTCCCAATCGACACTCCTCTCACTATCAGTGCAGACTGGATGTAATTTCCGTCGCGACACAACTGATTGCACTTAATGGTGCGCAAGAAATGCATTATTAGCATTCGTAAATCAGCAAGAGAGCACGCGTTAAGTGCAAGGTGACAAATATAAATCTCTCAAAAAACGCAGTGCATTCACTTAATAAGTCCCTTTTCATTTGAACTCCCTGTTTAAAAAAGGTGCGTGCACAAGTACTTAATGCTGTACTAATGGTTTCTCTCAGTAAAGTTGCCCTGTAATAATAATTTAATATACACTGTATAAATTAGGAATAAGGAATAAGAAAAACTCTCGTACAATCTCCACACTTAAAATCAGCCATGAGAATTCACTCGTCTTCCTTTTTCGTGCGTGCAGGAGAAAAATAATAAAATGAGGCAATTTTGATTCGAGCTCGGTGTGGGAAGTTCATTAATAATTTTCCACCCACCGCGCGACGTGAGAACATATTTTAAAGCCTAACCGCATGTCACTTTGTGCTCACTGTGGCATTATTTTCACAAATGGGGGAAGTTTTTATGTCTCTCTCTCATTCTGTAAATGGAAAACGCCGAGCACGCTTTCAGAAGAGGTAACTTGACCACACCTCACTTAATTTGAGGTTTGCATGAAAGAGCACCACGCGCGCGCTTTGATTTTTTTTAGTTTGTCTCTGCCCGTCGATTATTGTTTTTGCATCAACAGAGCCACGAAACTTTCACATTTCCAAAATTATTTAATCAAATTACAGAAGGTCATAAATGTTAACGCTATCAATTCTGAAATTTTACTGATTTTTTGAGAAGGTCCTTGATTTCTTTTCAGTGATACAAATTTACCAAATTTAGAGCATCGATTATTGGAGTGAAAAGTGAATGCTGGACTGTCCAGTACGCGAAATTCACCTCGGGCAGAAAACATACTTTGCTTGAGTGGGCGTCTGGTCGGCTGCGTGTGTCACCCAAAACTCAATCAGGCCAAAGTGAAAAACGCGCGGTCGTGTCAGATTCTCTCATCGGCTCGGCTTAATTTCTAGTCTGCGATCGGCGGCTGGGTCACCGAACTCGTTTCATTATGCTTAATATGATTGATTGGGCTTGTGCATAAATTAATTATTTATGAATCGCCTGCTCACTGACACACTTCTTGGTCCTATTCCGGTGTAGCCAGCAAGTGAGTAGCAGCAGAGGAGTAGCCTACGCATTAAAAATATAACAAACTGTATTGGATAACCAAAGCTCCGTTTGAGAGGCCAAAGCGTGTGGGCTACAGAAATATTTTATAAAATATTTCTTCAGTCTCACGGAGCAAATATATTTAAATATTTCTAAATCCGATGTCAAATGAGCTTCAATGAGAAAACACGTCTGATGTCTTGATCTGGAATTCTAATTTGTATTTTAAATGTAATAAATTTATTTGATATTACATGCATTTAAAAAATACTACAATTATCTTAATTTAGAAAAGACGTTGGTACTCGAGAAGACGTTCTTTGCGTATAGAATAGTGAAAAACCATCTACGTTTTATTGAATTGCTTAATCAATCCTACAAGACTAAAGAAAAATTAAATGAGTTCTTCAAAAAGTTTTATTATTAAAAGCGGATTGATTTACAATATTACATAAATTAATTCAAAGTTAATGTATTAGATTTTCTTTTACTTTTTATCGAGGCAGTAATTGCTAATTAAATTAAAAATTATGCTAGTAAAACCAGGAATGAGAATTGAAAGAAAATTTTATTTTGAATAAAATCTTCCGTGCTAAAGTTAACGGGGTCTATTTTTTTAGCTCACTGTCAGGTTACTTGTTAATCTTAAATCTTGCAGTGCTTGTTTTTCATAAACTCGACTAATACCATCGTTCAAATCACCGTTCACATAAGTGAAAAGGGCCTACGTGTTTTGACGCAAGAACCAAGCGAGACTTGACGGCACACAAAGAAAAAGATTACGCTGTGCTAAACGATAATGATAATAATAATTGATTCACCCGTTGCTATTCACAGTCGGGGGACTTTCATATATTCGACCCTCGAGTAGAAACCGAAATCCTTATGTGACAAGTAAGAAAAAGTCTCGGCAATATTTATAAGGAGGGAAAATGCCGAGTGAATTGATGGGCACGTTTGACCTCGAGGCGCAAAGAAGAAGAAAGATCTCGCGCCGCTCGCTCGCTTGATACCCGTGTTAGATAGGCTTAATAATAATCGTGATTGCGCTTGACGAACAATGATTAATATTTTGCACCGGTGTGCACGGTAGTTGATCCCGCTCAAAATTGCGTGTGGGCACGAAAATAACTGGCTTTTATATTCAATGCACTGTGAAGCAGCGTCGGCCAATTCGGCCCTCTCGTAAATTGCTGTCCAATTTGTTTATACTGCACTCGCAATTATTTTCTTTCTCTTGACCGCGGTGTCGATATTATTAGGCAACGCCGCCGGTCGTACTCGTTATGATTTTTTATTTTTTATTTTACAACTGGTAGGTGCAGCGGCAGCTTTAATGGATTGTTCTCTCTCACTAGGTTTTTTTCTCCAGACTTGATGGCACCCACACGCTGTTTGCTTATTTTATTTTCGTTTTATTTTTTAAGCTTCGTGTATATTATTTTTTTAATGCGCTCGAACTCCTCCCAGCAACATTTCTAAACTGAGCAAGATACCGCGTGAGTCATTCATTCAGAAGCGCCTCGGTGTGTGTGTGTGTGTGTGTGTGTGTGTGTGTGTGTGTGTGTGTGTGTGTGTGTGTGTGTGTGTGTGTGTGTGTGTGTGTGTGTGTGTGGACCATATCGCGCATGCATGTGAGAAAAGACCTGCTATATCGAGAGCAACGCATGTTATCCATCATAATCGGTTCAGGAGACAATTTATGCGTGTGATAGTTTGAAAAAAATTTAATCGCTTTACCTGTCGTGACAATGAAACTTGCACAAACGAACAAGACGAAGACAAATTAGCGAAATGAGGGCAGCGCAACCAGTTTCAATGAAGCTAGGGAGTGTCGCGCAGGTTGCCTATGTCCTTCAAAACGCAGGCGCTCTACCAAATTACCAATCTTTAACTCTTGCCAAATTATTGTTAAACACATATATATCAATAACAATTGAGGGGTTACACCGATATTACAAATATTAACGCAAGTTAACCACTACCCACACTTTTGAATCAAAACTTTTCATTTAAATTCAATTGAATTCAGGGATGCCAGTTCAGAATAAAGAATAAAATAAATAATTATTTAACATTATAAATTCTTTTTAAATGTTATATTTCATATAAATTTTAAAGCCAGTATGAGGTAAATGAAAAAAAATATTCTCTCTGGCGACACTGAGGATGCGCTTGAATTTGAGCTCCATTGTTGCACTTGCAAAGGCATAATACATATTATTCGTATTAACGCAATACACATCCAACTGCAAGGCTGGGAGTGAAATTGTCGTGTATTTTCTCTGGCTGACGTCCACACAAAAATCGCGACATGCATGATAAACAAAGGAAACCAGTTCCCGATGAAAATTCTGATCGCCGACTCTGGTCGTGTACATTTGAAGCGGGCGAAAAGCTGCTCCTCCAGCAGCACAACAGCGGCTCCAGAAAACGAGACCTAAGAACGCGCACCACACATTGTCTAAATTTAGAAACACCGTCCTGACAATCACAAAAGAAAAAAAAACCGCGCGCACCTCTCTCAAAGTCGGTGCGAATTTTTCAAGTTACGTGCAGACGATCCATAATCGTGAGAAGTTATAAGTAGGACGAATTCTCTGCGTTCAGAGAGGAAGAGGGAGAATAATTAATGAATCAATTAATATATTCTGGCAGAGCACCGTAATGTGCTTAACGTAATAAGCGAGCTGTAAATAAAATTAATGGTCATTACGTGTGCCCAACATGGAACTAATAAATATGAGCGCGCGCTAGAATAATGTGTGATATATTGTTTGTCTCTCGCCTGCCGCTGGCACATTTGAAGGTGATTATCATTATTTTGTAACAAGAATTTCATTATTCAAAACAGGTTTCAAAAGTGCAACATAATTATTGCGATCATAATCAGCGAGTGTATATAATAATGTAGTCAGAGCACTCATTTTGCTACGAGCGAAAGACACTCCATATAAAAAAAAATGCAGCGCGGCTTTAATCAAGCGGAGCGCGGCGTCGCCTTATTGATACTAAACCGCATTGCCCAACCACTGCGGGTCACTTGATCTCATTCCCTCTTTTTCTTGTTGCAGCCGCAAAACATCGTGATGATGGGACCGTTTCCCGAGTGCGACATCAAACTGTGTGACTTTGAAATATCCAGGGTGCTGCTGGAAGGCGTGGAAGTGCGCGAAATCCTTGGCACCCCCGACTATGTTGGTAAGTTGAAGGTTTTCCAATAACATGGCAAATTGATGACTCAACGAAGCCAAATCAGCCGATATAAATTGATGGCCCCGAGATTTGCTACTTCAAAAGGAGAAGAATTCTGCGACGTTGGAGTTGAAAATGAGGAACAATATTTACAAAAAAAATATTTGCGTGGTTCGTGATAGATGAGTCGAGAACGCGAGACATTGGAGAGGGTCATTAAATCACACTGTTGGCCGCATCTCGGCACTCAATTTATTTGAAAATGACACTGGCCAGAGATGTTGCTTCCTTTTTCAATTTATGAAGTGAATACAAAAGCTGTGGGTGCCCAGCATGAGATCTGATACTCGTCGGGGTCGTAGGTTTCATCACGCCAAACTTAATCGTTTCTTTCGCGCCCACAGCGGAAAGCGATACTTTTTCGTCAAAATTGATTATTGCATTGTGTGTGTGACTCTCAGAATGGCTCTCACTGTGTAATGCGCGCACGCTGGGAAAATTTCACTGTCGCGCCAGTAGCCTTTTTCAGCCATTCTCATTCGGAGATGTCTAAATTTCAGTCATAAAGTTTCCCTAATATGCACAGGTAATAAAATGCTCGTTTTTATGTTACAGCTCCTGAAATTATTCACTACGAGCCAATCACTTTTGGAGCTGATATGTGGTAAGTGAAGCGGGTGTGATCCCTGATAAAAAAATGCAATGAATAACAAACCAATGAATAAAAGTAAAGTGTAACATTAAATTAGCAAGTAAAATCTTTTGTCGGACACAAAATTTTTTACATTTAATTAATTTTATAATAGGTAAAGAAAATTAAAGCTTTAAAAATAATCAACATTATCTGTGCGTTAATTTCTTATATCTAATCGCAGGTCACTGGGTGTTACGGTCTACGTCTTACTGACAGGATTTTCACCATTTGGAGGCGAAACTGACCAAGAAACATTTGCAAATATTTCACGCTGCAACCTAGACTTCCCTGCAGAGCTCTTTGAGGATGTGTCCGCCGAAGCGCAAGACTTCGTCGCTCGTCTTCTGGTTCGACAACCAAAGTAAAAATTAAAAAAAAAAAACATTTTTTTTTTAATATTAAATAATTTTTTAATTATTCTTCCAGTAAACGGATGACATCTAAAGAGTGCCTTAGACACCCCTGGCTGGCCAAAAAGCCAAGAACGCCTCTTGGTGGGTCTGCAAAAAATATCTCATCCCGCTCCGAATCACCAATAATGCCTCAAATAACAAGTCACGCGTCCCAGAAAAATCTGCGCAAGTACATGTCGAAATCGAGAGAAGCCCTTTTCGAGCGCGTCTCCGGCAGCAATTTGCGGAAAACTCTGTCCAAATCCCGAGAGCGGCTGTGCGAAAGTCAGTTTTCTCTTGTGTCCAAGTCGAGGGAGAAGTTGCTGATGTTGGAGCCGTCGTCCCGCTCGATAGAAAAGCTGTACGGTCTGCGCAGTTTGTCCAAGTCGCAGGACGCGTTGAGCACAAAAGAACTGTTTGCCTTGAGCCCGGCGCTGGCCACGCAGCACAGATTGCGGTACCAGAGTGAGTGCGTGGGTCTGTGCATGCGGGACTCGGAGGCGCCAACGCCGACGCCCGACGTCGAGGCCATCAGCACTCCAGAAATCACCATCACCTCAATAGAAGACGTGGACGTCGCTTCCAAAGTGGAGGGCGTCAAAACCGCGTGCATAGCCCCGACCAAAATCAACACCCAAAAGGTCGCAGGGGGCGAATCAATCGTGACCCTTCAGGAGGAAAACAAGGAAAATCATATTGTGACACCTTTGCCGACTCCTGCGGCGCCTTTGCTGACTCCGGAGCCTAAAAACGAGGAAGCGGCCAATGCGGAGCAGAAGGAAGAGACTGACAGCAACGGCTCGGACAAAACCGTAGTCAATCCGAGGCGGCCGGGCAGAAAAAGCTACAGCCCGACCAGCAGTGAGGAGGAAGAGCCGCGCTACTCGGTGGCCCAACTGGTCACGGCGTTCAACAAAAATGACCAGGTGGCGGCCAATTCCGCCAAAACGTATGACAAGAGCTTGCCGAGTAAATTGAAGTTTGTCTCAAGTTTCCCCACGGGCGCCAATGCCCTGCGTCTGTTCATTCCCGACATTGTCATTGAGGAGAGCAAACGGAAGCGGAGTCCCATGCCGAGAGTGTTGGGCAGCAGTTTGGATCCATTGTCCGAGATTAAAGAACAGAGCGCCACCTCTCCGGAAAATAGCGTGTCTCCCGTTCCGAGCGTCGAAGACAGCAAAGTTCTGCTGGATGACAGAAATAACAATTCTCACTCCCAGTACTTGAAAGTGGGCAGTGAAGATTTGAGCGCCAAAGTGCCCGGGCGCCTCTTCAACCGGTCCGGGTCTCTTTCCAGTGAGGCGAGTGGCTACGACACGCTGAGTGGCGCGTCCAGCCTTGTCTCTCTGGAGGAGCCGTCGCCTCCGACCAGTCTGAACCCAGTGCAAGAAATTGCTCCGGAGAAAAAGGCAGAGTTGAAGGAGGAGGAGGAGGAGGTGGACAAGTCTTCACCTGAGCCGTCCGATTTGAAGCCCAAGACGCCGAGAGGGCGCTCGTCTAGCTTGCAGGTGGACTCGTTGAAGCCACCCTGGGGCACGGTGTGCATTGGGTCTTACAGCAGGGCCATGGAGCGCTTCAACAACAAGAGCAACGCCAAGCAAGCGAGCAGCGAACGACAAAGACGGAAATCAAGCCCGCTGATTAAAACACCGACACAAAATTGAGTTTTATTTTTGAGAGAGAAATTAATGCATACAAATACTAGTCAGTGAATTCAGATGACACAGAATTCAAATCGCTCACTTGCAAGGTTGATATTTCTGTCTTTGAGATTTTGCTCACAGGACTCGCTCGGCTCGACAAAAGAAAATGTATAAAATACTATTATTTCAAAATCAAATAATTGAGAGCTAATCAATTTTCTTTGATTTTACTTTGAATTAGAGCGTTTTGACAAATCTTCAAAGTCCTCATCTCTTTTGAGTATTTTTCCATGAGCAGCTCTTGAAGGAGCCTCTGTTGGCCCACCAGTTTATTTATTTTTAAAAATTTCAATTTTGGCTAAATTGGTTAAAAGTACTAATTCTTAATCTCTATTACCCGACAAAAGATCACAGCTATTTTAATTTTATTATATTATTTTTTTTTAATAGTTTTAAATGTTTTTTGTACTAAAAAAGCCACACTTTGAAAATTTTATAACTGTAATCTGCATTTTGGCAAATAAAAAAACCTAAACCATAATGATGTTCTGTTTTTAATTAAAATAAACCCAAAAAATTATGCTCGTCAGTTACGCAATGTTTATTTTAATACCCGTCAAAACAAACGGAACAAGGAAGCATCCATCATCAATTATCTAGTTTTGATTTAAGGAAGTTAATGGTAACAATAAATTAAAATCAAGAACCAGCTTGATTAACAGTGCCAGACGACAAAACTAGAGTTTTAACTGAGGCTCTCCCATAACGTCGTTGGGCCTCTTCGACAAAGGCCTTTTCCATCTGTCTGACTAGTTCATTGAAAAATACATGAGCCAGTTGAGAGTGGAGAACTGATCTGAATTCAAAGGACACGGAAAAGTCTATTGTGCAAGACCTGGGATTGTCCTTTAGCCCGGGGCTAAATCTCCAGAAGTTGATAAGGTGGTTGAATAATTGTCCTTCGGTGCACACGGCCTTCACCAGATTGGGTTTTACCAGACTCACGTTGGACACGTAGCTTTCCCGCACTGGAGGGAAGCCTATCACAAGCTCTGCTCGCAGCCTCTCTGCCGTTCTTGTGGTAACTAAGGACCTCTGGCAGAATGGCACAAAATCTCGGTAGTGCTCCACGTCGGATACTACTAGGAACATTTCTTCCATGGAGTAACTGTAAGAAAATTAATGTAATTGTATTATTTCACACTACTTATGTTTTTATTATTTTACCCAACGATTTTTCTTCCCTGGTACTCTTTCTTCTTATTAGTGCCTGGCAATGTGAAAAAAGTCCGTCTTCCATTTTGGTCTCTGTTTTCTCGCAATACAATTTTATTTCCATTGGTACAGGAGGAGCAGACGAATCGAATGCTGACTCTGGCAAACAAATAATAATAGACTTATAAGTTGTATTGGAACACAGCCAAACTTGTTTGACATTGAACGTTGACCCATATTTGATCTGGGGCAGTGGGCAGTACGTAACAAGCAAAAAAGCACAATAGAATTGATCTAAACATTATTAAGAAATAATTAAATATTTCAAGATTATTTTTAAGCACTCAGTGATTACATAGATGATCACACACTGTTAATGTTAAACCAGTAAAATGCGTACCTTTCATTATTGCTCAGGTTGGTGCCCAAAAATCTAATGGAGGAGCGCAGCGAAGTTATATTTTTACAGAGGCCCCATGAAGCCATAAATTAAATTTGTAAATTTTAAGAAGTGGGTAGAAGAAGAGAAAGTATTTTGAATTATTCCTGAGCACTGACGTCCTGAAGATCTCAGCTACGACTGTCAAAAATTAGCCAAGCAGTCTTGTGTTTTTCAGCGTCAGCTGATTCAATCATGTTGCACATATATTCAAATTTCGCGGGAAGAAAAAGTGAGACAAATCACTTACTTCATAAACTTTATCACTCAAAATAAATTTATTTGCAATAAAATTTGTAAATAAAATTAAGAATAAATTAATTTTAAATTTTAAGAAAATTACAAAATGTGATATAATCATAATTTTACACGATTTTCAGTTATCATAACGCAAATCGAAAGTCAACGGCCATCTTTTTTCTTGGACAGACTCGAAAGACGATCTGCAAACATGTCGACTGCTGTAGAACTTCCAGCACCGGTGCGAGTTTCGCCCCTGATTAAATTCGGTCGGTGGAGTTTGCTGACCGTGGGCATCCTCTACGGCATGAGCAGACACCGCTCTTTGGCCAAGAAGGAGGCAGCATTAAGGGAAATCGAGGCCAAGAAGCAGGCGGAACTCGCCCCCAAGTTGGCTGCTGAGAAGATTCGTCTCGCCAAGCAAGAACTCGATGACCTGGCCCGCTCTGCTGGAGTCAACGTCCCCAACTGAGACCTGCCCAATTCTTTCGTTTGTGTAGATGGATTGAGTCATGATTCTGTGTAAATAATAAAGGAAGAATTAATTACTAATGTTAAACCAAACTTTCCGAACGCCAAAGGGTGACCGGGTCAATGTTCTCAACAGATCTTTGTTGTTAAGATCAGTAGAACAGTGGCTGACCCTTTGGAAATGTATTTCTTGTAAATTCCCTTCCATTGTAGGGCTTTTTTTAAAATGTCATTTGTACTAATTAGCTTAATTTTCCAACGATTTGGTATTGACTTTCAATATGATTTTATTGACATAGATATTATAGTGGAGAAAATTATCCATAAAATTATTTTTCATATTACTGCTCCACTCAAAATAATCACATTAAAATATCTCAGCTTCTATTTCAATCAGAATAAAGGAAAATTAAAATACAGAAGCAGCAAATATTAATTAAAAAACAAAAATAATGGAATTGAAATGCAAAAAGAAAATTCCAAGGCTATTTCTGAGTTAGTATTATTTCTTTCAAGTTGGCGCACGTGGCTTTCCTTGATTACAATTGGTTAAGTCGATTTTGGCAGCTGGTGTTTTCAGTCCTGCCAACATTTCAATGGCGTGGAGGCCGTCAACACTGCATCCGTATCCGAAAATTTGTGTGCAAAGAAGGAAGAAGGCCGAGCATATTGATTTCGTTCGTCAAAACCTGGAGTAGTGGTAAATTGCACCCTTTTGCTTCGTAAAATCCGAATTCTCATCTTCCACCCACGTCTGAGCTGCCAGAAAAACTTACCAATCGATAATCTACCGAGTTGGAGAGCTAGTTAGTATAAAAAAGATAAACGCTGCCTCGTCACACACGTTGGAGTTTTTTTAATTTGATTGAACTTCTTGTATATCCGAATTTTAATTTTTATAGCGAGTGTGTTATTATAATATTGTTTTATTCATTTTATTGGTTATATGAGCTTTAAATATTCACCATTTGCAACAACCTTAATTTGTGACAAATTTAATATGATATTTTATCTCTGCTAATGATCTTGAAGTGCCACCACAATCTGCTTGATAACAACTTATATTTATTTATTCCAAAAACTTCAGTATGTATCTTTATTAGTTTCTTTAAGTACATCATAATTCATATAAATAATTATACTGAAGTGTTTGCATTAAATAGATCAAGATGATTATTACATAAAAAAAATATTTCTCTAGAAAAATCTATTTTGGGCGTTTATTATGTGTGCATCTATTAAATGGACCTTTTTAGTTTCTTTTATCTTTTATTTGTTAAATCTGTTATTTCTATTTATGATTTTTTTTTTTTTAGTTGATTAATCGAGACTTCAATTTATTTAATATATTTTTATTTTTTTAGTGAAACAACAACCGAGAGGCCGAAACAAAGTTGGTCAACAGCAGCAGTTTGTGCATCCTGTGTCAGTTGTGGACGGAGACGTCGGACAAATCTACCCTCCGCCAGGATTAGAGACTTACGCCATGGCTGCAGGCACTCCACTTCCAATTATGGGCAACCCACAGGGCATGCATGCGTTAAATAATGGAGCACCCATCACTCCATATCAGAACAACCACATCATGCAGGACAACCAGCCACCCCAACCGGTTATAGATTGAACTATGCCCTTTAGAAGACCCGTAAAATTTTATTTAATAAATTCAGAGACCGGCTCAGAATGGCGCCAGTGCTCTTCCATCAAAGACGCCTGTGTCCGTTTTGCAAGAACTGCTTAGTCGACGAGGAACCACTCCGAAGTACGAGCTCGTCCAAATCGAGGGAGCCATTCACGAGCCCACTTTCCGCTATCGAGTCACTGTCGGAGAAGTGATTGGTTGGTTGACGGATAATTTGAAACTTCAAAATAACAATTTAGAATTAAATATTTCAGCTGTGGGCACAGGAAGGTCCAAGAAAGAAGCCAAGCATGCTGCTGCTAAGGCCATTTTGGACAAATTGGTGGGTCTGAGTGACAGCGCTCTCCCTGGAGGAGGACCCCCGAGCAACATCCCTGATGTGACTAGCCAGATTGTGTCTCCGTTTGATGACAAAATCCCTGGAAACCCAATCGGCACTCTGCAAGAAATGTGCATGTCCCGGCGTTGGCCCCCTCCCGTCTATGATCTGAAGTCGGAAAAGGGACTGCCACACGAGCGGCTCTTCACCATTGCATGCTGTGTATTCAAGAACGTTGAAACAGGTAAATGATTGATCAACAATGCTCAAATATGTCCTAATTAAATTTTTGCCAGGTACTGGCAAGTCCAAGAAGTTGGCCAAACGTCAGGCAGCTCATAAGATGTGGCTGAAACTGAAGGACATGCCCGTTGAGCAGCCTAATGCCAGTGTGGGACTGGAGGACGATGATGAGGTAAATTTAGAATGCTAATTAATCGTTGCTTTTCTGTACATATATCCCAAAAGAAAATAAATTCTGAGAAAATTATTGTTTCTCACAGTTTCTTATTCTCTGCAAATTTGCTATCTCTTAGTGTTAGTCAGTGGTAAACTGGGGAAGATAATTATGGTGAAAAAAATGGTTAAAGATACAATTTTTGTCAGATTGTTTTGTTTCGTTGTACTTACACGTGCTGTGTATGTGTGTTTTAGATTGCCCAAAGATCTTCTTCAGGCTCCCACTTTGCTGAACTAAAAGATAGTAAAATTGCCACCTTGACTCCTCCTCATAGCCAAAAAGTGTCAATGTTCCACAAATCGCTGAAATCAGCTTCAGGCCCTAAGCTTACTGAGCTACAGGTTGGTCTGATTTTCAATTTTTTTGTACACCAAAAACACCTACTGAAGAGCCAGATGAATTATTATATTTTCTATTTCACAGAACACGTCGCTGGTCAGCGATTCCAATTTCAACTACATCAAGTTTCTGCAGGAAATTTCTCATGAACAGCAGTTTGAGGTCACCTTTGTTGATATCGAAGAGAAGGCTAAATCTGGTATGTATAAATCCATAGTATTCTGCAAGCATTTCATTATCTTATACCATGTTTTAGGTGCGGTCCAGTGTCTGGTCCAATTATCAACTCTGCCCGTGGCAGTTTGCTATGGATCTGGACCAACTCCAAAAGATGCGCAGTCTGCTGCTGCTCGTAATGCTCTGGAGTATTTGAAGATTATGACAAAGAAATGAAGAATTAACTTGCTATCTACATTTTAAGGATGTCAGAGCTAAAATTGGGCGATGTTAAAATTTCAACCTAATTGGGGTTAGAAATTTCATTGCCACAATCAGGCCAAGTTTCTAACTTTGGCTCAGGCCACTATTCCGACTCTGAACAGGAAAGAAGAAAAACAATTTAAATTTTTGTAGAGTTGGAGAGTGGCCTCTACTGAGTCTACTGTTTTCTACAAACTATACTTTGCATGGAATTAGTGGACTTTTCCCTATTTGCTGAAACTAATATTTTGAGTACACAAGTTTATTTAACCCGCAGAAGTCAAATATTTAACTTGCTGACAAATATATATAACGCATCGTGAACTTTGAGGATGAGCTATTGATCCAATATATTGTCAATTATCTTATTTTCCAAGAATCATATTGTACAGCAGTTTTGACCTGGTAATATCCATTTTTCTGATGCAAACACGTCTCTGCTGGGTTTCCAGTAGGAAAATTAGCATTATTTTAATGCAAAGTATAGACGTTGTAATTTTTAACTTATGGGCTAATGAAGGCGGCCACATATATTAATGTAACTGATTGTAACTAAGCTTATTGAAAAATGTTTCTTTTATCTTTAACGATACTATTTTTTTTTAGAACATCACCATTAAATAACTTGCGTAAAGGTGTTCCACTTTCTGCATTATACTATTTTCGTAGTTACTTTGATTGGTGTTTATAATATATAAGTAAAAAATAAAATTGTTCACTTCAAAGTAAATACAGCTTTTTTTATAAAATAATCCTAAAATCAAGAGGCCAATAAAAAGCGACGATTACTCCAAATATTTTCATGTTATATAGTACTTTATTTAAAAACATAAGAGATAGTTAGAAAACTTTTATTATAAGTATATCTGTTGAGATTACAAAACTTTTTCTCTTAATTCATATTAAGCAATGTGATAGCACGTAAAAGGAGAAGCTTAAGGCACCCTTTAAAACATTTTCCTTAGCAATATAAGTGCAGGAAATTTGTCAATATTAAAATAAACATATTTCATAGTTGTTAGCAAGTCGCAGTTGGCACACAAGAAGTCTGATTTTAAGGTTGCATTCCAAGTTTCTTGATTAGGGCTTGGTAAGCATGCTGCTTGTTGGAGAAGCATCTGGGCTGCTTGTGCAGTTTCAAGCTTGGTAACTCAACAGCGACTCTGCTATTCCCTCTAGTTTGTTTCCCTTCTTTAGGCTTAACAGAACGGAGTTGATAATCTATGCCTTTGGTGGATAAAATTTTCTAAAAAACAAAAATATTGTGTTTAAACTAGCATTCATAATTATACAAAATTTGGATGCTCACCTTTTTCATTTCTTCATCATGGGCTAGAACCCAAAGAATGGTGCAGCAATTCAGGAACAGTTTGTCATTAGCAGTGGAAACTTTTAAGTTGAACAAAACGGCATCAATCATTTTGTATACCTGATGGAAAACAAACATTAGAATGGTTTATTTAATAATATTGTCCCAAATTACATACCTTTTTCAAATCTGGCAATGCTTCAGGAAACTTGACGACGCTCAGTAAAATCTCCGATGCTAAAACAGCCAATTTCATAGCAGGCACAGACCGGTTATTGCCCAAAAATCCTTCAACCACCATTGGTATCCCTGGTAGGATCAGCATTACTAATGAGCCAGAGGCTTCAAGACAACCATCTATAAAATGTAAGGTAATTAATAATTGTTTGAGCATAATAAAATTAAAAACATACTAAATAGTGTATATGTTCCAATTTCAAAGTCAAACGTCTTCTGCCAATTTTGAAGAGCGTAAAGGATCTTGTATCCGACAGTTTGTTCCTCGGTGACATTTTTGCTGGCCTCTTGAATCTGGTCGCACTTTTTAACCAACTGCAATGCAACCTTTTGGTCTAGTTTGATTTCCTGCTGCACTTGATGATCTGTGATAACAACAGCTTTCTTGGCCATCGCAGCTTGTCTAATTTTCTCTCTGCACTTGTACCCACGCCAGAGAGCCTAAAAATAAAATATGAGATCAAAATTTTAGGCTGGGAGAAAAAAATACCTGAATCTTTGTAGCAGCCTTCATTTTTGGAGCATAATATGTCCGCCACTTTTGTTGAATAAATTTTGCATACAGGTGGTGTTTCTATAAAAAATATGAATTAGTTATTAAAATGAGATCGATTTGTCACCGTACATTTCTAAGAGCGCGTTGGCTTCTGAGAACAGACAATAAAATCCTGAAACTAAGGAAAGTTGCATCGTCTTGAAGTAGGATCCTTTCCCACATTCCCAATTCAGTCTCCACTCCAATCAACTCCTTTCTGACAAGATTTGTGGTTGCAACAGCCCTTTGCCAAAGCAATATCCGGAAGAAGTTTTGAAGTTTAAAAGCAGCTTTGTTTTGCACTTCATAAGCCTTCATCTTTGCCACTTCAGCTCTTATTTTCTGGACCTGCAGACGAGCCTGCTGTCCGCGGAAGAACTTCTGTATTGTGACAGCAGCTCCCTTTCTCTTCTCCAATTGCTCCTGCTTGAGTTTTGACAATTCTCGCACAGCTTGCAGGCGTCTAAATTGGGATTGCAGCTTGATGGCTGCGTCAGATCTCTTCTTATGAATAAGTCTAAGTAAGACTCGTTTAGCCAAAAAGGAGCGGACAGCGCACTGGATCCTAGTGGCAGCAGCACACTGCTTTCTGGCAAATTCACTTTTCAACTCAGATAAACGTTTCTGAGCTGCATGGCGTCTCCAAGCACGCTGAATTTTAATTACTGAGTTGTTTTGTTTCTGAGCTAATTCCCGCAGCTGCAGCAAAATCCTCCGGGCTAGGAAGCACCGCCAAGCACACTGAATGACTTCTGCAGAATGGTTAAGTTTTGCCAGTTTTTCTTGTTTCAAATTGGAAAGCTCTCGATCAGCAATGTATCTTTTCCAAAAGAGTTGGATTTTCAGAGCTGCTGCATTCTTTCTCCTTTGAGCCTTTAGGAAGGTGAGCTGCTTCATAGCAACATGTCTCCGCCAATATGACTTGATTAGTGTGGCAGCAGAGGACATCAACACGAATCTCTGAATTTTCAATTCAGCAAGCTCCTTCATTGCCAACTTCATTCGCCAGAATGTTTGAATCCTCAGTGCTGCTTGAGTCCTCTTTTCATGCCTCAATTTTGCAAAGCCTCTCCACGCCAGTTGGATAACAGTGGCAGCATAGCTGATTCGATTGAACTTTTGCACCTTCAAATGTTCCAACGTTTTCTGGGCAGACGCTCGTCTCCAGAAGCATTGAATTTTGGTTGCCGCGCTTCGTCTCCTGTCATGTTCTTCACGAAGCTGGCAGAGCGCCTTTCTGGCTGCAAAGCATTTCCAAGTACACTGAATGACGGTTGCTGCAGTGTTTCTCTTGATTTCCAACTCCCTCTTCATTTGCTGCACATAGCGCCTGGCAACCTTTCCTCTCCATCTCTTCTGGACCAAGGTCGCAGCCTTTGTTTTTCTCTCTATGTCTTCCTCAACTAAGCGAGCTAGACAAAATTACATCAGCTATAGATATTATGGTTCATTTGTGATTATATTATTTACCAAGTGTCTGCCTGGCAGAGTAGCATCTCCAAGCCGTCTGAATTTTAACGGCTGCAAGATGGGCCCTCATTTGCTCAAATTCCTCTTTCAGTTTTTGCAGTGTACGTCTGGCAGAGTAGCTCCTCCAAGAACATTGCAGCTTCAGTGCAGCTGCTTCTCGTGCAGCGGTCTTGAGTGTTAGCAAAATTTGTCTGGCCACAAAGGATCGCCAACTACATTGCAAAACCAAAGCTGCCGCCTCTCGTTTCAGTGTTTCCAATTCTTGTCTTGCTTTGAAGCATCGCCAGCTGCACTGAATGGTGGTTGCAGCATTTCCCTTAGCAATGTTTTCTTGAACAAGGTGAGCTAAATTAAAATTTGATGTGTTATATTGTAATTTTTTTTTTATTTTTGCATATATAGCATACCTAATAGTTTCTTTGCAGCAAATCGTCTCCAAGAGCACTGGATTGTGAGAGCTGCGGAGTTTTGAAGTGCGCGGAGACGCAGTCCGTTTCGGATTTTTCGAGCCAAATAACTCTTCCAGGCGCACTGGATGGTGAGAGCTCCAGCTTCTCTCTTTTGATGCTGCAAAAATTTGAGCCTCGCTAACTCCTTCTGAGCTACGTATGAAAGCCAGAAGCACTGAATCTTTGAAGCAGCAGAATTTTTCCTGTCAAGATCCATGGCTTTTAGGTGTGCTGAAGTAAAAAAATATTTAATTAAAAGTTATCGCTTCAAGGTAAATAACAAACCTAATGCTTCTCTTGCTTTGAAGCATCTCCAAGCGCACTGAATTTTAGTGCTAGCTGCATTAGCTCTCCTTTTTTCTTCATCAGCCTTCAACTGCTGCAAAACTCTCCTCGCAACCAAACATCTCCAAGCGCACTGAATTTTAGTGCTGGCAGCGTTAGCCTTCTTTTTATGTTCTTCATCTGTCAATTTATGCAAAATTCTTGTGGCTAACAAACACTTCCAAGCGCACTGGATCTTGATAGCAGCACTGTTCCTCAGTCTCAGCTCTTGCAACAATCTTCTGGCAACGACGCATCTCCATGCCGCTTGCAATGTTAAGGCAGCCGACGTCCTTCTCTGCTCATTCTTCAATCTGAGGAGTTGCAACATCTTTCGAGCAGTATAGCATCGCCAGGATCTCTGCACGACTGAGGCTGCCAAAAACTGCCTCTCTAGTTGGTCTTTTTTCAATTTCTTCAGCTCCGCTTGAGCTTTTTTCATTCTCCAAATGCTCTGCAACACTTTTGCTGCATGTACCTTCATCTGCATTTCAGCTTTGAGGTGCTGCAACTTTTGAATGGCAGTGCTTTGCCTCCAGAAGCATTGGATTTTCAAAGCCGCAGCAACTTTCTTAGTATATTCAAACTTCAACGCCTGTAGCTTCCTTTGTGCAGCAACTCTTCTGAAACTGGCCTGGATTTTCATTGCTGCCGTCTCTCGTTTGGCAGTCGCTTCAATGACAGCTTCCTCCCTCAAGTGCAACAAAACTCCTCTAGCCTTGTACATTCGAAACGCAGACTGAATTTTCCGGGCAGCCTCATTTTCTTTGTATCTGCGAGCCATGAGTGCTACCCGTCTCTTCAGAAAAAACTGTCTGCAAGCTCTTTGGATGACAGTTGCGCTACGAGTTCTCAGCCTTTCATTCTTGATCTGTGCCCTCAGCTTATCCAGGTTTTTGCGGCACAGGTATCCCCTAGTGAACTTTTGGAATACGACTGTGGCATGCAAGATTTGCTTCCTCTGTATTCTGCGATGAACGGCAGTTCTGAGGGAAGGGCGCAGCCACCACCTTTGAATGACTAAAGCAGCTTTGTTGAAACGTGGAACCTAATGGGATGTGCCATTGTAAAATGTGGGTTAATTAATAAAAAGTGCTAGTCTTACTTGAAAGCCGTGAATAATCTGCCAAATCAAAGACAATGTCTTCTCTCTGTGTCCCATCACAATGTCCTGGGCTGTCAAATTTTTAACTGAAAAACCATTAGCCTCCAGACGCTTCAGGGCAAGTTCAACATTGTGGATTTTCTGAAGTCGAGAAATTGCAGGAACTCTCAGCTTTGCACTGGAACCAGTTGATCCTGTGACAAGTTCAACGACTCTCCTATAAAGAACATTGGAAATCATCATTATGATACATTATCATTTCACTTAAATCAACTTACACTAGCCTGACACCATCTCTTAAGTCAACTCCTAAATGCTCGACAGAAAATTTGAACTCGTCAAGGTAGCCTTGGACGTGGCTAACTTTGTAGCCCATGTAGCCCAAATGTTTTGTGATGTCACCCTCACCAGCAAGGACCATTCGAGAGAAAGAAGTCAACATATCTTTACTTGTCTGGAATATAAATTTTGTTAATTTTCTTTTAATATCTGAAAAAGTAATGATAAAAGAGGCACACACCTTGACGGTAGAGTTTTTCAAGAAGAGGCAAGGATCATGGCGAATCAACTTCAAGCATTTGGCCTTGTCCAAGAAGTATACAAGCATAAGGAATTTTTTGACAACAAATCTGTTGTATTTCTGTCTGCACTCATCTTTAAGCAGCAAATAAGATTTGCCCACAACTGCCTCTGGAGAGAGTATCCTAATATTACAAATGAGTTTAAAAATGCTTTTTTTATATTAATTTATTTACCTTGTGATCAAGAAATAGGACAGCGTTTGCACATCAGTGTTTGATCTCATGGGAATCAGAGTTCCACAAACGGTTTCCAATCCGATCCTCAGCCACAAAGGATTGTAGCTCATGAACAAATTTAGGACACCATGTTTTAATCCTGAATAATGTATATTTAAGTTTAAGACAAGTCGTATTTGCAAACTAATACCTTGGTCAATATGCAGAGCTTTGTCTTGCCTGATTTTGATGTTTCCACTGTCCACTCTAGAGTTAACGCAACACAGGACAGTCTTCATTTCATGTTTGCTAAACAGTAAATATGCTGCGTGCCTTAGCTGATCAAGACGAGACTAGAATTGTAAAAAAGATTAAATATTTAGCAAATCTTTAAATAATGTTTATATTTACCTTGACAGAGAGATATTTAGATGAGACCATTTCTTTACTTGGTGCCAGGGAAGTGTCAACAGTTTTGGTGCTTTGAGCCCACATTTCTGCTGCATTTACTTTGATCAGATCGTTTGACTCCAGCTCTTCAGGTGGAGTCAACACAGAGTTGAGCCACTTTTTGAAGTCGATTTCAAACTTATTTAATATGGCATCATTCAAAAGTGGGTTCATGTAGAATGGGTCCTCTAAAAGTCCCGGCGTAGACATTTTAGCCATTGCAAAGTCCATCAAGATGTCATCAACCGTGTTTGGGAGTGCGTCAAACTCAACATCGGCCGTTTGCTTATTTGTGGCAGAACTAGCAGGCTTTTCCAGAATGAGCTTCTTTTTAGTACCAAATGGAATGTATAAGGCAGATGCTGCAGACGTAAGCACAAACGTTTTGTCAGCCTTCTGTGTACCTTAAAATAAAATATGATATATTACAAAATAAACTTTAGTTTCTTTCTGCTTACTATGAATGAAGGTTTGGTTACTGCACTTCTCAGTCGAGCCAAGAGTGGGCAGTTTAAATTTTTTTGGTGGTGAAATGTCCATTGTGACAGAAGCTAGAGACTGGACTTCTTGGACATGGACCACTTTCCCAGATGATCTCAAGTTGTACCTTGGCAGATCTTCTCCATTTTCTTGGTCCAAAGAGCTGTGCAACTGGAACTGAACATATTCTAGTTCACTGCCAAATCGTTTTCTACTCTTTTTCTCTGTATAAGTCAATGCAGGGTCTGGCAAACTGATCGTTCGGTCAGGAGTCGACGGTGCATCTACAGTAGGTGTTCCATTTTCAGAACATTGAGGCGAATTGCCTGACACCTCTTTGTCCAGAGGGATATGAACATCAACCATGTCAACCTCACTAGTTTCTCCAGTTTGCTTTGTTTCCCAAGCTTCAGATATCTTTTCCGCCGTGATGATTTCACATCCAGCACCAGCTGCAAGTGGTTGTAGTCCTGGAGAACAGACTAAGTTTTGAAGAACTGTCAAATCGCCAGATGCTCCTTCGAAGCTGTCTAATTTGCCTAGGACGTATGTGTCTGTGCTGAGCCTACCTTCGGCCACGTAAGTCTCGTTGCTCACTCTTCTGTCAGCTACATAGGTTTCATTGCTTTCTCTTCGATCGGCAATGTATGTGGCGCTGCTTAAACGACTCTCTGGCACCTCCTGATGCATTGTCAACTGAAACAGCTCTCTTGGCGAGACTCCTTTGGGCTTACGAATCATTTCAGCAGAGAGTTGTTTGAAAGCCGTGGAGCAACGGCGGGCTTCGAAGCTAGGAGTCTCAATTTCACTGATTGACGGAAGTGTAGGATCAAAATCAGCAAAGTCGTTCCTGGATTCCAAGATGGAATTTTCCTCAGACACAGAAGCCAAGTTATTCACTTGTGGGCTGATCATAAACTCTCTTAGAAGGTCCTGCACATCCGGTCTTGTCTTAAAGTGTCTTAGTCGTTTAGTGGTGCTCTTGACTTTAGGAGACATATCAAGACTGTCAGCAGACATGTTCCCAAATGCAGGAGTTTTTGGAAGAGCTGGTGAGCCATCATTTTCTTTCCCACTCACAAGAAATGTTTCCCTTCGGAGAGGGGTGTTGCAAGCTGGTTCACTTTCCTGAAATTTTAACAAATATATTATGGTGGACACAACATTAATAATTCATGTCTTACAACAGGCAATTCAGTTTCATAATTATTCCATGGTTGTGTTTGCTGAGCAGAAGCAAGAACAGGTTTGAGAACCTCTCTAGGGACGTCAGAAGGGAACGAGTTTTGCCAAGCAGGCTTTGCTTTTTTTAAAGGCACTGGCTTTTGGACCCTCGATTTCACAGTTGGAGGACCTTTGACAGAAGGCCTCATTGAAGCAGACTTTTTCAAACCCTGTTGGACAAGCAAAATACATTAATCATAAAAATAAATTGGTCACATAACTGATTGTTTTACTTTTTTTGGCATGGGAACCAAAGCTTCAAGTGCTAGAGACACCATTCCACGTCGTCCTTTGCTATCTTTCACATGGATTGACTCTGAAAATGTTCCCTTCTCTTGTGGGCTCCAAGTAAGGTTGACTTCGATGGACGATTTGGCTGGGACATGGAAATGACTTGACTCTACTTGAATGAAGCAGTCTGGAACTGTGATCTCAACCTAAATAATATGTGAGAAAAAAATTATTTTCATAACACTTGCAATGGTTTATAAATAATAATTATTTTACCGCCAAATCACTAGAATCTGGATTTGTGATCAGGAAACTTTGGCACTTTGTGCTACCAACAAGAACTCCTTTGAACACAATTCTTGGTTTTGCAGCAAACGGTTTTAAGACCAATTCTGGTTTTTCTTCCTCTACGTCGCCCATAGACATTTTTGCAGATCCTGAAGGTGCAGACTTGACCTTTCGAACAGGACTGACCTATAAATGCAACAAAATATTATTTCAGCATGCCAAATGCGAACTTCCACATGGCACTTGCCTCGAAAAACGTCTGGACCGTCGTCTGTTTATAGGAAGTCATAGCAAAGTTTGTCCGATCCATCTTGCTAGGCAAGTTTCAAAATATTCAGCTTTCGGCAAAAAATCCCATTGCACGCAAAAATTCTAGAACAACGAAACAGCATGGAACATGCATGAAAGATCAAGCAATCATGTTTTCTGAGCCGTGAGGAATAAATTACATACATATTAAGGATCGAGTGTCGATTTCTATCTAAAATAAAATACACTCCAACATACTCAAGCTTCTTGTCAGGAATTTGGTGTTTTATAAGCAGAGATAATTTTAAATTTGAGAGCAAGACGTGAAACCAACAATTCGTGTTACTAAAAATTATGTTTTGCCGTGAGTTATTTGAAAATTTGCAACATTCTCGGCATTTATAAATATTTGGAGTCAAATTTACCTGTATTTACGTGTTTATCCGAACCGAAATCGCCATGAATTCGAACTGACAGAAATTTATAAATAGGCGCCCTGCGTATAACGACAACGCGCAACGATGCAAACGGCTAGGATTGGTTAGGGGGAAAGGGGGTGGAGCGTAATCTCGTGAAGTCGTACAAGGAGGTTAAAATTGTTTTTCGCTCTTTCGCCGGCATCTACCAAGGAGAAATTTCTTTGTTGACGTCTTTGCAGTGGAAGCAGATCAACAATGGTGAGTGACCGAAATCATTTTTAATATTCATATACATCCTCTTTATTTCGGCCGTTTTCTCGCTCAAAACTTTCAATTAATATTCCCAAGTATGTTATTTATCAATAATTCCTATTAGTTTTTACTTCTACGTTATATTTGAAGCCTAATCATACTTGCAATTTCGGTCTTTACCGACACGTTCACAGTCACACATGTTTTTGAGATCTTCAGCTTCAAGTTGAGAAACTCAAAACAATTTTTTCAATTTTCTATCTGTTCCGGTTGTTTATTTAATTTCTTGCGGATTTATTTCTTATTTAAGCTGCATGATTGCATTGAAATAAAGATCCTTTGTTTTTTTTCCACACTGTAAACAAATAATACAAGTTACCATTTAAACTTGCTCAATTTGAGACAAAGAAAGCTGTCAACACATACATAATTAACATAAAATTTTATTTAATATGAAATTTGTTTATTTCAGTCCACACAAAAGAAGAAGACAAGGAAGTTGAGAGGTCATGTCAGTCATGGCCATGGCCGCATTGGCAAGCACAGAAAGCATCCTGGTGGCCGTGGTAATGCCGGTGGTATGCATCACCACAGGATTAACTACGACAAGTACCATCCTGGTTACTTTGGCAAGGTTTGTGATTTCAATTTAATAATTGTATCTCATCCATTCATGTCATTTATTAAAAATCATAATGCAGGTCTTGAAGCGCACCATCAAAGTAATTAAATTTAAAACTTTTGTAGGTTGGTATGAGGAACTTCCACGAAAGAAAGAATCAGAAGTTCTGCCCGACCATTAACCTGGACAAGATTTGGACCCTTGTCAACGAACAGACCAGACTGGCTTACAAAGACAGCAAAAATGGCAAAGCCCCTGTTATTGATGTTGTCAGAGCTGTAAGTTTGCTCTCTTTTTGGGCTTAGTCTCATTTTAATCTTGTTTTGCCTTTTAAGGGATACTACAAAGTCTTGGGTAAGGGACGTCTGCCTAAGCAGCCTGTTATCGTAAGAGCCAAGTTCTTCTCAAAACTGGCAGAAGAGAAAATTAAATCTGTGGGTGGATGCTGTGTGCTTCAGGCGTAACCTTTCCATATTTGTATGCAAATAAAAAAGAAGGATAAAATTGAAAATCGGTATTATGAGTATCATCAAGACAACCTCTTTGTTAGTTTATATTTGATATGATACTAACGTCTGTTGATCGCTGTTTATGGTATAAGCTTAAATATTGCAGTTATTAGTTAAAACATCATTTAATTGTATCACATTTCAATAATTTAATGTTATAAAATGTTATAAATGGTGTTACAAGACCTACTAAATAAGCTCTCTGGTCATCTGGTAAAAGCATCGGTTTTAAAGATAGCATTGATGTAACATGATTGACTGCCCAAGGAGACACCTAATTCTGTTTGTAAAGTTAGTTCTTTCGATCGTTTTTTGTTTTGTATGTTCATAACAGCGCCGCTATTGCAAAATACCAAGATTATTAAATTGCAGCCATGGACCTAATAATTTAATCTAGTAAATCAATGCATGATTGCACTTTGCAGCAGAAATAAAATAAAAGTTGTAAAATCAATCCTGCACTATATAATGCTGTTAAGCTTTTTTTCACTTTTTTTAAATGAGATTACTGAATTCAGTCATTCAATATTATGTTTGTTATATGTTTATCATAATCATAAAAGTACCAAATATTTGGTACCTTTATAATGCATTTTGGACAAGTATCCTGCGCCTGCGGTCCCATTTTTCTTAATTTCTTAACATTTTGCTATCAATTTTTCTCCTCAATTTTCTATACAAATTTAAAAATTTGTATACTGTCTTATAAAAATGAAATTAATTATCAAATAATACAAAAATTAGCCTATGTTCTACATTTAAAAGAGATTTTAAATAATGTAACAAAGATCATCCACGATTCACAGAAATTTTTGCAAAATATTATTCTTAATTAAGATGGATAAATAGCCACTTCTCTGTCAAAAAGGATCCAAATAAATTTTTCTGAAATTACAAGTTAGCAAATTTATGCGCGCGCCTTTCTCATGCAAAAAGAAAAACCTCCTCGCAAAGCTCGACTCCCATTGGTCAATATTCCCGCTCATTCAGACCGTTGCAGTTTTCCACAGTTGTGTCGTTTTCTGTCTCGCGTGTGCTTCATCTTTAATTTTGGAGCAGGAATTCCGTGTTTCCTGTGTTAATTTCACCCGCAACCCCACGAAAACTCAGGAAAGATGTCTGGACGAGGAAAGGGAGGTGAGGATAACAAAAAAATCCAACTCACTTGGGTTTTTAGTTAAAAATTCGGTTTGATTTTCGCCATGACCACCTGCACTTGAGGATTGGATAGGAATTTTACTTTTCAGTCGCTTTAAACCTGAAAATCTAGCATTTTCCCCGCACTGATCGTTCTTTTACTCTCTCTTATTGCAGGAAAAGCAAAGGGCAAGGCCAAGTCTCGTTCTAGCCGTGCAGGACTGCAGTTCCCTGTTGGCAGAATCCACCGCCTGCTTCGCAAGGGCAACTATGCTGAACGTGTTGGTGCAGGCGCTCCTGTCTACCTTGCTGCGGTCATGGAATACTTGGCTGCTGAAGTTTTGGAATTGGCTGGAAATGCCGCGCGTGACAACAAGAAATCCAGGTTTGTACATAAAAAAGAATTCCAAGAAATTCACAAAAAATTTCAATGATATTTATATTTCTGATAAAATATTCATTGAATGTAAAAATAGTTCCAAAAAAGCTTATTTTAACTGAAAAAAATATTTAATATTTCAGAATCATTCCTCGCCACCTCCAGTTGGCTATCAGAAATGACGAGGAACTGAACAAGCTGCTGTCGGGCGTCACAATTGCCCAAGGCGGTGTCTTGCCAAACATCCAAGCAGTTCTGCTTCCTAAGAAGACCTCGACTGGCCCTGCCAAGTCCGGCGGCGGCAAACAAGCCTCCCAGGACTTCTAGACTTTAGATGTGTGTTGGTTTACTACTCGTTACGTAAATTTAAAATATTCTGTCAGTTTTAATCTCAAAGCTCAGGCTTAAATTATTGACTTTTATTGTGAATAAATTAATCGAACCATTTCAAAACGGTTTGAAAAGAAAATGTTTTCACCTGACCAAAAATACTAGCCCATGGAAATTTCTTCACTTGAAATAAACTACAAGGTATGTCTCAACATATCTCAGAAGATTTGAATATTTTATTTATAAGTCTAAACAACATTTTCTCATAACTTTGAATTATCTAGGTGCCCAAGGATTTTAAAGGCACTGTTACTGGTGAGTACAGTCCCCTTTTATTTCCGCATGCCTTCTTAAAATTTCTCGGGGATTGCTTGCAAAAGATACAACATGATAAAAGCTACTGGGTCGGTTAATCTTTTTTATAATATTATTATTATTGAGAACGCAAGGAAGTGGGCAAGTACATCATGCGTCCTTATTAAGTCACAACCACTTAATTTATCAAACGTGTGTCTTACATTTTAACACGAGGGCAAGAGAGAGGTTCACGAGAGAGCCACTTGAGATGGACGGGAAGTACTCTAAGGGCCACAAATCAACAAGGAAATCTTTATTACCATTACAGATTGAAATTGATGAGATTATTATACAAAAGAGAGAAAGGGGGTGATTGAATTATAAAATGTGCTGGGGGTTGGTCACTTATCCACCCCCGCCACCCAGCTCGTCTTCGTACTGCTTTCTGAAGCAGTCTCCGACTGGGAAGAAGTCCCAGCTTCTTTGCTGATACATGTTCCACACGTAGGTCTCCTGACCTGTGTATTCTGTGTCAGGTTTGTTGATCAAATGCATCAGGAAGAACCTGAAATTGAATAATTTTAGTAAAATAGTTAGGAATTTGATTAGCATTTGTACATGTAGTTGGCTAAATTATGCTCCTGTGCAACGTGAGTGTCGAATCCGTGCGGAACTTTATCAAAGTAATCTTTTCCTATGCCGCAAATGAAGCAGTTGGACTCCATGTCCTCCTTCACGCTCTCAAGCTGGTCACGGAGCTCGCCGAAGGCGTCAATGATCAAACCTGCGGAAGGACGATTTGATATTTTTTAGAATTTATTTGGGCACGCGCCGGTTTCTTACCCTGAATGATGGCCAGCAGGATGACAATGACAAAGAAGAAGAACGTGATGTCGAACATGATACGGTAAACTTCATAATCATCTCCGTCAGGGTCTCCGATTTCGTCACCAATACCGCCACCAGCTCGTACTCCCTTGTATAAATGGAACACAAAGCACTGAAAATGCAAAGTTAATTAAAATTCATTTATGATAGTAAATTTAAATCTTATACAGTTGCCATGTCGTGACACTTTTTATCGACTTGATCGTCTTCCTCTTGGATGTAGAATTTGCGGAAGAAATTGAAAGCAATGACGGTGTAGATGTACACAATGATAGTCAGCAACATGACAGTCAATATGAGCTGTGGAGAATTAAAAAAAAAAAAAAAATTAAAAGATTATTAAGTCAGGAAAACATTAAAATTTTTGCCTGTTTTCCGTTGTGTGTTACTGACTGCAAGATGGTTCTCAATGTCTTAAAACCGACTGCAACGTCAAGCAAGTGGGCCGCAAAGAAGAAGTTGTTGAAGTTTCCAAGGATAGAGAATGTAAAGTACCATAAACTGTATAGGAAAGCCTAGAATTCGAAAAAAGATTTAATTCGTATAAAAAACTTGCAGGTAGATATTACATTATCTGTGATAGTAACGCCAGCCTTCCAAACTTGATAGCGCCAGTCGATATTGAGAATCCTAAGAGTGGAAAAAGTTAAGAACAATCATAAAATCAAAATTTTAAAATTTACATGTTGAGTATTCCGGTTGGCTTTTCTTCGTCAGCGGCAGCAAATGACGTTTTCTCCATTCCAAGCATGTTGCTAATTGCGTCAAATTCGTACGTTTCGCTGTACTTTGTGCGCACCTTCTTTTTGACGAACTTGTCCCAATAATTTACAGGGAACGACCTGGAAGTTAAATTTTTTACCCTTGCTTATCTATTCGTCCAGAAATTCAGTTACTTTGCGGAAATGACGAGTTTATCCCAGTGCGATTTTATGTCGTCATCCTCGGGCTGCTCTGCAATGTAAAGACCGTCAAACTCTAGCCGGCGAGCGATTTCCTTTTCGCGCTTGAAAATAGCCAATGGAACCTAACATAGAGATGGGCATGAATTTTCGTTTTCTTTAAATGAAAGGTCGTACCTTCAGGTGGTAGTAGGCGATGAGCATAGCCAAAGAGACCAGAGAGTGAATAGCGGCCATCAAGCGTAAGACATGCTCCATGTAGAAGAAATCTTCATCCACGTGTACTAATTCAATAGGGTCTTCTTCGTCCTCATCATCGCCGTCGTCAAGCCCCTCTGTCGAGTTCGTCACTTCTCCAGAAAGCTCTTCAATCAAGTCCTCCATTTGTTGAGAGGCGCCTCCATCATCATCGTCCTCGTCATCTTCGCCCAAAGTTGTCACCTAAAATATAAAAATTAATAGCGCCTGAAATCTTCGTACTATGCAACCGGTTGGACACTCGTGTTGGGCAGGTTGCCTGTTTCTTGTACCTTGTAGAAAAGAAGCATGAAGTTGATGCTGAAAGCCAAAACCAGAGCCACATATTTCATCGTGTAGAAGTTCCTAGCCAAGTAGCTGACAAAATGCTTGCTGTACTCGCCAAAGTTGATCTAGATTCGCAAATTTTGTTAAAAATTAAAACTACAGAAAAAAAATTGTCGCTCACCTGAGACACAGGAGATGGTTCTTTAACAGTTTCCTGCTTCTGCTCAGCCTCGACAGCTGCCATTGCTGCTTGTTGTTGGGCAGCAGCTTCGGCTGCAGCGGCGGCTGCCAGTTTCGCCTGCTCTCCTCTAAAATTTCATTTAAATTGTACATACGAATTGACATTTTCGCTAAGTTTTTACCCCAGAAGGTCTGAAATCGAAATAATTCCACCTTCGCCACCTTCAGCTTTGTGTTCTTCGCCACCCTCCTCTGCAGAGGCCTCGCCCTCTCCTTCAGCAACGGTCTTAGGAGCAGCAGCTTCACCCTCAGCACTTGCTCTAAAAAATAAGTTTTTAGTTTCCCTTCATTTATAATTTTTTCCATCTTACGCAGCCTCGTCTTTTGGAGAGTCAGTCAAGGCGAGTTGCTGCGAAGCTGATTCGTCAGCCACCGGTGGTGCTGGTAATGCGTGTCTTCTTACACCTATCTTTTCCTCCTCCTTAACCTCAACAACGGGCTCTTCAACTTGAGGTCCTCTCATCAACGACATCAAAATACCAGTGAAGTACCTGAAGGAAAATAATTAAAGAAATTTGCAACGTCTGATATTTTTTCTTTTACCGAATGACTGTGGCAACGCCGAAACCTGAATAGTAGAAAATGTAGAAGAAAAGTTTGAAGAATCCGACTACCAGCTCAGGAACACTCATCTGCTGTATCTCAGCCAATTTGAGTTTGACATTGGCAGGGGAGAACATGGCCATGCAAGCATGAAGGGCGCCCTTTGCAGATTGAACACCTTTTTGTAACGGGCTTGCTTGTCTGAGGGATTTTAAGGTTTTAAAATAACTTATTGACCTTTTCACACTTTTACTCACTTTTCTTCCTCCTCTTCGGAGAGGTAGTTGTATGAAGTTTCGCGTGACTTTCCAACACCTCCGGAATCGTCAGTCGACATGAGACCACTCGCGTGTTGCATTTCAAAGATCGCGTCTTCGCAGAAGTTGACAAAGGCCTCCAGTTTTTCTTTGTCTCCGCCCTCGGTTACAATGGAATAGAAGAAGGCGCGTTTTGATTCCTGAAATTATAATTAACTATTGTTTTAATTTTCAACTGTGGTTTTTTGATCAAACCTTGATTTGTGGTTTCTCCCACTGCTCAATATTTGTGTCCTTGATTTCAAAGTAGACACGCTCGATTTTCTTGCTTCCGCCCAAAATTTCAATTCTTCCCAAGAAAGGCTCAAAGTAGTTGAGCACACTACCGGCAGTCTCCAAAAATCTCGCCAAGCTAAATTTAATTTTGATGTTAGTTAAAAATAATTATGTGGGGGTTTTAATTAAAAGTACCGAGGCTCGTTAGGCATATGTTCAGACAAGTTGGTCAACAGCACAGCCAAGTTGAAACCAATTTCAGTTGCAGGCTCATGGAAGCTCTCAGTGAAAGTGACGTAGTCAATTTTTCCGTCGTGATTGGTTTCGCAACATGCCAAAATGAAGCTGATTTCCTCGCTAGTTTATTAAAAGAAAAAAAAAGGATAAAATCTTTGCGGTTCAAGAAAAGTTTGCTTACGGAGTGTAATTTTTGGACTGCTCCATCTTTTCCTTGAAATCTTTGGGGAACACCCATCCGTCTTTGTTCAAATCAACTTCCTGAATTTCAATTAAACGGATTTTTAAGTAAATATTAAAACGATAAAAATTTATTTTATATTTACTTGGAAGCTTGAGGATTCAGTGAGGTCCTTGAGTTTGAGGAACATGTCAAAGTATTTCAAAATCAACTGGAAAAAAAATTAAAATTTTTTGAATTAATTTTTACATAATTGTTATAGTTTACGAGTCTCACCTCAACGTTGGCTGCAGATTCAACCAGGGTGTCCACCATCTGCTTACCAATGGTACCATTCACAACGTTACCTAGCATCAAAATATGTAATTTTTAAACTAAAAAAATATCACGTAGATTCAAACCTTCAAGCATAGAGAGCATCATTGTGATCATGTCTTTTTGCAAGTTAAGCAGTTCTTTGAGGAGGTCGACTTGGCTCGAGTGTTTTGACAACTTGTCTTGCATGTGTGAGAAGAGGAAAAGGAAACCACCAACGGCGTCCCACAATCTGCAATATTTTTCTGCTCAAAATTGCGTTCAATTTTTTTACCACCAAAATAACCTGGAGTGGGCAAGCGCCTGCTGGTTCTGTGTGCAAGGGCCCTGAATGACCTCAGTGAGGGTGTTGAACACTTGGCTAGCGACGCCGATGGCCTTGAAGAAGTTTGCTTTGCCCGCAGGGTCGATGAGCTCCTTGCTCGAGTAGTGCCAGTAGAAGTCCATGATGGACTCCTGCAGGCGCAGCAAGTAATCGACCGTGCAGATGACCACGTTGACGGTTGTCGTGTTGCCAGCCTGGGTTCGCAAATAGTTTTGCCACTCGAGGTTGTGACCTTCACAGGTCAGTTGGATGAATCGGAAAAGGGCACACGTGAACTCGGCGTCGTGCATGTTCTTCTCTCCGGCGGCGCCGTCGGCGCCGACGCCGAGACCTTCGGCCTTTGTGTTTCGCTCAAAAGCGTCAAGGTCAAGGACGCTGCAGGAGTTCATGAGGCCGGCGATTGAGGTGAAGAAACCGACGTCCTTCTTTTCCTTCAGGTGGTTCAGCATACCCTAAATTCAGAACAAAATTTTTCTTTTATTTTTACACTTTTGAAAAAAAAATTGTTCTTCACCATTTGAATGTCCAGGTTGCCTCCTCTGAGCACCGAAATGCCGAGTTGCAATGTCTTCATAACCATTTCGCTCTGCTGACCCTTGCTGGCCGAAATGTGCAAGAGCACCATTTCTGCCACGCCTCTGTTTGCAAGACGTGCCTGGTGGAACAGCAGTTTCTGCTTCTCCATTTCTTGCTCCTAAACATTTTTTCATAATTTTAAAATCGGCTTTTTGAAATTTTTTTGCTTTTAATTTTAAAGTTAGCGTGTACCCACCACAAGTTTGTCCATTGCTGACTTTATTAGATTAATTTTGTTAGTTATTAATAAAAAAAAAATTATGTGCAAATCCACTCACATGAATAGAGGCGCCACCCTCTTCACCTTCGCCACCCTCGTCTCCACCCTCTTCTTCCTCCTCGCCGCAGGATTTTGCCATGATTTCCGCGTAACTCATGTAAAGCGGATCCTCTTGCAAAGCGCCACTTCGTTCAGTCATGGCGCCTCTGCAGAAGGTGGTGACCAATTGGGTCAAAGGATCAGGCTTGCCCTCCTCCTCTTCCTCTCCCTTATTCAGTTCAGAGTCTTCGAACGATTGCTGTTGGAATTTTAACAATTAATTAGCATGATTTGTTTTATATTAATATTTTTCATTCACTCACTGTCAAGTCCTCGATCATAATCTCAGTTCCAACGTTTTCATCCTGCAGCCAGAGCTCGTGGTAGGAACGCAGGAAGAAGTTGATTGCTCTGTGCCTGTTTAAAAAATAACGAAATATTTAATTTAAAAAGTCGGTTTAATTAAAAGTTAATGGTTTATGGTTTAGTTGAAAATCGGTAGTTAGTTTATTAGTCATTACCTTGGAATGGCATACAAGGGTACCGTTCTCAAGCAAGCCACCGCAGCCCTTTTCCTGTACGCTGAAATTGCTCTTCTCCAGCTGCTCTTTTTGGGCTTTGGTGGTCTCTGCGCCTGTTATCGGTTAGTCGTGTTAGTTTTTCTCGGTCTATTTTAGTTTTGAATGCTCAGCAAAAATAAAAATATATATTTACATTTTTCTGTGTTTGTCAATTGTGTTAGTGCTTTAGATTGTGTGTTGTGTACATTTATTAAAACTCATCTAAAAAGTTAATTGTTAATAAAATAAACACAGCAGAGTAAGAATCGGTTGGTAGAGTTTTTGGGCACGTTTTTGTTATTTGGAGTGAAATTATTTTAGACGGTTATAGTTGGCAAATTATAAATCATTAAAACATTTTAACTACACACCAAACTAAACACGACATAGAGAAAGATAATCTGTAGCACGATTTTAGGGTCTCGTCCTGTACCTGGGAAGCGAATGGAGAGTGGCCTGCCTGAAGCAGGCAATGACAGCTCGTTTGCGTTGTGTCGAAACGACAGAACGATAGACGCCTTTTTGTTGTTGTTGTGGGTGGTCAATCTGAATTTCAATTAAGAAAACTAAATTATAAACCAACAAAAAAAGCATAGGAAAAAAAATCAAGTGACTGTGGCCGTCATACTTTTACAGAAAGAAAGTTTTTGTATATATTTTGCGATGTGTAAATCCAACTATCAATAAAGTGCAGTCTGGGACTCACCATGTGCAAACCGTACAGCACTTTGGCCATGGCCACAATTCTCTCGACAACGTCGTCGATCATCTTGGTCTTCTCATTATTATTCGGTGTGTTACCGGCAATTTCGCCCTCGGGCTCCTTTTTGTTGCCCAATTTGGAGTAGAGGTAGTGCTGCCAGGACATTTCATCGGCAGGGTCAATCTTGTCTGGCAGTGTGAGTTGCGTCTTCGCAAAGTCAATAATTTCGTATTCTGGCATTTTCTGCAGAGAATAAAATAAATTTTTGCAAATTGGAAAAATAAAAATATTTTAAGGAAACCTTTAAGTATCTGTCCTTGCAGTGCTGGACAAGCTCCTGCTCACGTCCGGCAAACAAATTGAGACCAACTGGGAGCAGACGCTTCAAGCAAGCAACCATCAAAGACGCTTGCAGCTCTTTGTCTTTGTTCTTCTTTTTCTCTCTGTTCTTTTTCTTTTTCTGTTAATTCAAAAAAATTATTATTCAGAAATTTCAGAATTACAAAAAAATTCTTCAAACCTTTCCACCCCCTTGAGCAGCTCCTCCGTCGCTCACAACCGCAGTTCTCCTAGTGGTGGAAGTGGGCATGATGAGCACCATGTTGTCAATCTCATTGGCGGAAATGAAGTTTTGCTCCTCTTTCAAGAAGTACTTAAAAAATAATGATTGAATGAAGCAATTTTTCAGAGATTTTTGATCGGTCTAACCTGTGATTTTGACCAGATATTGAAGATTTCACCAACGTGATTGTACAAATCTTCAGCTTCAGCGATATTATTCCTGAGCCAATGATTCCTTTGTAAATCGACATACTTGATGAGCAGAGGGTAAAATGCATAAATATCACGAACAAGCAGCTGCCAGTCCTCTTGAATCTGAGACTCCAGCTGTAATTGAGTTGTTTTTATTTCTCACTCGGATTAAAATGTCAATTTAAAATTAACCTGAGAGGTGTCGTCAGCTGAAGATTTCAGGAAGCCACGCATGGACTCCTCTTTGTGGAACATATTGTCTGTCCTCTTGCGAACTCTCTCAGCCAAAGGCAGAAACACATCTTTCAACAATTCTTCGGAGGAATTGATAATGATTTGTTGGGTGTAAGCTGCGCACATACAAATCATTTAATATTTTCCCTGAAGTAAATTAGTAAAAAAATTATTATACCAGCAATTCTGGTCATCCAAGGGGCATTCTCGTTGCCAATATTCTTTCTGATCATTTTAAGCACGTTCTTCAGCAGCTGGTTCATGTGTTCACTGGTCACCATTGTCACGTACGTTCTGTTAGAAATTTAATTTAAAACCTTTTTTTTAAAAATCATCAGCAAAAATTACCCGCCAGGATTGGCACCAACGTTGTCTGGTCCTTGCGACCACCAGAAGGGCAAGTACGAGCAGAGCATGGGCAAAATAACGTCAATTATGTGAGGCGCGTCAGCATGGGTATTTTCCGACTCAACGTACGCCTCCACTTGGCCCAAGACCGTCTCCAACGTGGGCATTGTTGCGTCCATTCTCGCCATCACGTCTAGGAATTAAATTTGAACTTGAATTTTCACTTTATGAGGATAATTATTGTGAATACCTTGAGCCTCCAAAGAATGGTCGGCCATTCTGTGATGGATTGAGAAATGATTTTGCTTGTTCAAGTGCGGCTCCAAGTATGCTACTGGGAAGCAAGACGAAAATGCACCAAGGCAGCTGCCAAGGGCTGGTCTGTGTCTTCCCAGCTCAATTTTCAGAAACTTTCTGTAAGCCAAAATAATGATAATTAAATAATAATTTTTAATTTATTGAAATATTAACCTGTCATTTGTGAGTGATCCGTCTGTTCCAAGTGTGTACAGACCAGCCAGGATTTTATACGCCGCACACTGAATGTCGTCAACTGCAAAATTGACATTGGAATATTTCAAATGAAAATACCAATTTGTTCTTACGCAAAAGATCACTGCCGTACTCGCAGGCCGCCAAGTGGTCAAACATTTCTGTCAACACTGGCAAAATGACTCCGTCCACATATTGAAGGGAGGTGGAAGTCTTGAGGTGGGTGCCTCTCAAGTGGCTATATTTTCCCTGCAGAATCAAGAAAATTAGACATATCTTGCATTTTTATAAGGAGTTTATATTCCACCTCTTGCAAGTTCAATACAGTATGGCCCAGATCTTCGGCAGTGTTGTTGAAGAACGTCAACATAGATGTGCGAATAAATTCTGGGCAGTTCTTTACCAGAGATCTAAAGAAAATTGATTTAGGAAAAAAGTGGCTCCAATTATTGGTTCAGTTTTTTACTTTGCGTCTACTGATTTCACAAGGACTTGCAGACAGCGCACCGTGATCCTCACATCTGCACCAAACGCTGCCAGCTTTGTTCTCAACAGGTTGGCTAGCTTGCAGAACAAGCTGAAGATTTTTAAGAAATTAAATATTTATTCAATTAATTTTTAATTTTAAAATTTTTTTAAGGGAAATAAATTTAATTTCATATTTTCACAATTTTTGATATGAAAGTTGAACGAATCGTCACAAAATTGTGATTAAATTGAAGCTTTCAAAGTTTTCCATCATTTTAAAGCGGCAAAAGTATATCCATCTTTGATTTAAAAAATTCTGTGGCGGCCAAGGGAAATAAACGAATCGTATTTTTTTAGTCCTGCTGATTGCAGACGTGTAATTTGTTAATTTCATATTTTCACAATTTTTGATATGAAAGTTGAACGAATCGTCACAAAATTGAGATAAAATTGAAGCTTTCAAAGTTTTCCATCATTTTAAAGCGGCAAAAGAATAATGTATCTTTGACTTAAAAAATTTAAAAAAATTTTCACCTGGCAACCATCTCTTTTTCTTTCAAGGAGGCTGCTCCTTCAGTGTGCGTGGCAGTGGCAACAGCGATGAAATAGTTGCGATTGGCGCTAAAGTACTTTTCCACTAATGGCATCACCACCTTAAGATTATCAAAAAAATTTAATATTATATTATAATTAAAAAATTTCAACTATTTACCTTTGAAAAGAATTTAATATCTCTGGTGCAAGTTTTGAAGCTGTTTCTTCTGCTGAATGTGCTGGACGGTTTGTAAAGTTTCATGCTGATGGACGCAGTGTCGGTGTATTGAATGAGCTTTTCCAGCAGACTGTAGGCGAAACGCAGCTCCACTGCTGCACCGGCAGTTCCACCCTCACTCTCGACAGATCCTCCTCGTGTAGGCCTATGAGAGAAATTTTGATTTTTCTTTTTCCGTCAATAAATTCAATGAAAAATAAACTGACTTGTGGAGCTTGAAGCCTTGGTACTGGAGGTACTTGAGGAATTCTTGGCAGCGTTCGCGGTCCTTCCTCTTTTCTTTGTCGGTGAGAAGATCGTAAGGCACCAACTGAGGGTGCACAGCCCCACCTAAATTTGGCGATTAACCATATAAGTGACTTCAAATTTATTTCTCATAATTATTACCGCATGCAAGAAGTTCCTCTTTCTTCTTCTTGGCCCAGATGTCGTGCGCGTTTTCAGCCAAACGCTCGGCCATATTTTGCATTTCTCTGCTGAGCGTCAAGTTCGTCATGTCCACAGGCCTGGGGTGGTAGTCGAAGGGGTTGTTTGTGTCGCCTGGGCCCTTTGAAGCTCTGCGTCCAGAGTTGCCCCTCGACTCGTCCTCGACCTCGGCGTGCTCGACGCTCCAGTTGATGGCCAACAAAGCTTTCATTGATTCCCTCACTGGGTCTCTGTAGCGCTCACGTTCCTGGTTGGTGACAATGAATTTTTTACAAATAAAATTAATATTCAAACAATTAACTCTTTTTTTTTTATCAAAAAACTTACAAATTCGCCCAACATGCTGTAAGGCTTGAGCCTCGGGTGAGTTTTAGAGCTGTCCGACCACTGTTCTCCGTATTGCCAGCTGAACTCGAGTTTTCTGCTCGCCCACGCGTCGTGGTAATGCTCGCTGAACTTCTGGATGATGTTCACCAAATCGTTATTCAGCTGCACACTGAAGAAAAATGTAAAGTTTTAGATGACTGGTTATTATTTTGAACCTTTTGTGCAATTTACTTGCTAGTGTCGATTGGCTGCGGATCGTAAGGGCCGTCCGGGCTGCTGGACTTGATTCCGTAGCACTCTTCGTCGTTGTTCTTAGAAAGTGTATAATCTGGAGGCAGAGCGCAACCGATAGCTGTCAAGCAAGGCAGCGCCTTTCCGAAAAGCTCGGGGTCGTAGTCCATTCTGGACAGCGAGTCGAATATGTTGCTGAACAAAACCATGGTGAGGCGCTTTTCCTCGTCACTCGAAGCGCCGTAAATGCTCTGAGAAACTGAAGTAGAGCCGTAATATTTGGCGCAGCGCTCGTAATGCAGGGTCAGCAGCTGAAGAAAGTGTTTTATTTTTTTATTAACTTTGATTAATGCGTTTCTTACCCTGAGGGCAACGGTGGTGTATTCAGAGAGCTGGGAGACATCAACGGTGAGTTTTCGTAGAAGCTTTAGAAGCATGCTTGGCTGCATTTGGCTGAAATGCAATTTGTGTAAAACTTAAAAATGATAACTTTGTTGTTTATTTCATTAAACTTTTCATCTAATACAAAATTAACTTCAATTAAGTGTTAAATAAGAAATTGTTTCAATTTTTTTTTTAATTAAAAAGTTAGTCTATAATTTCGTTAAAATTTACCTAGTGAGCGCAACCAAAAAGTCAGAAACCGCATCTCGCTGTCCCTTTGTAAGCATCCTGTTCTTTGAAAGTCTGTACACTGTGTGGAGGGTGGCGTCCAACAAGTTGGAATAATTGTCAGCCTCATTGTAGAAAGCCGAGTGTTGGATGAGCAGCGGCAAGATCGAGTTGCCAATATAGCGATTCATTGCCAGTCCCATCGCCGATTCATAGCCGTCATTCTGAGCAGTAATTGGCTAAGTGATTCGTGACAGAGAAATTCAGGTTAGCATGAAAGCAGCCAAAGCAGCAGCAGCGGAGCAGGGTTATGTTCTCAGACAGCGCCAAATTCAGGTCTACTTGACAGCTTTGCGTGGAAAGATGAATTTGCGAATAGAAGATGCATTAAAATGGCCCTAACATTTCCATGGAGTTCTATTCCGATGGAAGTTAATTTTAATATTGAGGAAAAGAATTAGACGCTCTTCGCATAGAGGTATAAATTTTGTGCCAAATATTCTCCACAATCACATAAAAAATATTCATTGACGTTTGAGTAAATATTAAGTTAAAAATATATAATTAATCTAATATTTTTGAAGAGAATTTGACAAAATTTTATTAAAAGTAAGTTTTAATAAAAAGGCAAAAAGGAAAAAAAAATGAAAAATCTCTACAAACTGAAAAAGCACTACTTTTGAGCACTACTTTTACGCAGCTTGCAACCAGCAGTTTTTTTCAAAGCTTAAAATTTTTGCCGTTTATTAAATGCGTAATCGTCTAACGTCTTACCTTGTCCAGCATGGTAGCCGTTCTCAAATCAGGCAGGAAAGCGTCTTCGAGCAGTCTGTAGAAGAGCTCCTGCGTTTCAATGCCATAAACTCGCTCCAAGAATAAAACAACGCTCTGCTTGTGTCCGGGAATGAGACCAGACGGGATGTCGCTCTTTGGTGGCTCTTCGCCAGCAGCAGGGGCTTGCAGGGTGAATCTGAGACTCAGCACGCCCTGGAGGTCCTCCAAGGGCACCAGCGAGCGGAGAATGGCGCGTGCCCTCAGCGAATCATTTTTGCCCTTTAAATATTAAATACATAAAAAAAATTATAAAAAAAAGTAATTAAAAATCACCTGGGCAATGACTGATGCGTCAGGTGCACACCTTCCCAAAAGATCAACCAAGGTGCAATAAAAGTTGAGAATTGCGGCGCCAGTGTCAATATAATCCTCGTCGTCGTCTCCCTCGGGCAAGGGATGATCAAAGTGAGCCGTTGACATTGTTCCCTCGGCCTCGTCCATCATTTTTCTTTGTATGGTTATTCTATCAGACATCTGAAGTCACAGTTTAAAAATTTATTTTCCTTTCCATCTTTTTCGAAAAAAAAAAAATACCTTGTTGGCCTCAGTAATCGCGTTTAGCAAACCCTCGCCCTCGCCACGCAGGGCAAGACCAAGACATTCCGGTCGTCTGATCAGCAGACGAATGACCAAGTTTGCATTTTCCTCCACACTTTCACCTAGAAAGTAAGTAAAAGTAACCGCATAACTTGAACCGATCGATAATACCATTGACCCAGACGCAAAATCTGAGGAAGTCGAGGTATCGCTCGCCTTCAACGGGATCCCAACCCAAATCAGGGTAGCCCTTTTCAACCAACTCGGAGTTTGATTGCAGACCGCAACGTGACAAGTAAATAGCAATCTTCTCCAGATAATGCTCTCTGCAATCGATTAATTAAATTTTTATTGAAAACTTGGTATTTTCTTTTTTTACCTGAGAGCAAGAGCAAGCTCTGTATTTTCCATTAAAGAGGAGATGGCAACGTCCAATGGAGTGCTTCCTCTTAAGGATGGCCTCGAAAGCAAAATGTTGCTGTTTTCCAGCAAGAAAGCCAGATGGTCGAACATGGCTTTCTGATTCTGTCTCGATGTGCGACAGAAGTAGCAAAGGAATCGGCAACAGGCTACCACCATTTCGTGGGAAGTGTCCTGGAATTAATTTTATTTTATTTTTTTAAATTATAATATTTGTAAAATAAATCATGGCGCGCACCTTCTCTTTGGGAGCCGCAGTTTCGCCTTCTGCACTGGCTGCTTGAGCTTGTTGGTCAGATTGACCTTGAGCGCGCCTGGCGAGGGTGTTCATCATCACGGCCATGACGTTCTCGTGGTTACGGAGGACACGGATTAGATCAGGGTGTTGGAAGAAAGTGCGATTGTTGACCATTTTCCTAAAAAGAGAAAATAAACACTCGGATTAAAACGCCTGCATGTTTCGAATTTATGCAACCGGTGATGCATTTGTTGTCAATTTTATTGCTTCATCGAATTATTTGAAAATTTCATTACCAAAGTCTGGTGCGCATTAGCGCCTCTTCCTCTTGAGACATTTGCACAGGCAAAAGTGCTCTGATTTGACTCAGTCCAACCCACATCAGCTCGACGTCAGATTTGGTTTTGGCAGCAATAACGTACGTCTTCTGGAGGGCTCTGATCAATTGACCGACAGTGTCGTACTGCCGAACCAGCAAGCTATTTAAAATTAATATTTGAATCTTGGAAATCCGCATTTAATTTATTTAAAAACGTACTCGAACATCTCCTGCACAAGTTTTGGCGTTTCTATCATAGCCTCCTCTGCCCACCTAACAATTGTCTTGATCAGTACCTTGCGGAACACCTCTGAAATTTTCCCAATAAATAGATTGAACACAATTGAAATTATGAGCTATTTTACCCTCGGGAGTTTTTTTAACTGGCTCAGGAATTTCCTTTGGCTCCTCTTCCAGCTCTTTCACGGCGTTTATCAAATTGTAAAGACGCTGAATCGGTCCTGGCTTGACTTTGTCAGCTTCACACTTAAAAAAAAATTATAAAAATATAAATCTTTAATTGAGAGCAGTTTTACTTCTTCCTCTGGTTCCTTCAGTGCATTAAGTGACACTATTTCCATCAAAGCTTGGTGCTGTGCATTCATTTTCTCACGCATTTCGTCGCCCAATGGACAGTTTTCTTTCTCTTCCTCTTCCAGGTTTTTGAATCCCAAAATTGCATTCATCTATAATTTTGATTTCCAATAAATTGAATTTCCCTTTGCAGTTTTTCAAACCTGATCTCTTGGTGGACAGCGGAATTCCTTTGTTTTCTTTGCAGCGATTGCCGATGGCAAATCAGATGCTTTGATTTCAATATAACGCCTCAGTTGATCCTATCAGTTATTAAATAAAATATTAAAAGAAAATATAACATTTTTTTCATTTTAAAATTACAGTCTGAATTTCAGCTATGTAGTCATAACTGAAGGCGATAATTGATTCAACGCGATGTCTCAATTGAACGTCACACAAGTGATGCAACAAGTAGCACATTTGAAGTTTGGCTCCTTCGGCCATCTTCATGTGCAACAGTCCCTTGCGGTGCTCATCTTTGCCCTCTGAAACCGATAATTAAATTTCCAAAATGAATTATTAAATTTTATAGTGACCTCTCTCAAAGGAAGGGTCCCAAGTGTCAGGGTCAATCATGATAAGCAACTTCATTACATCTTCGTCACACAAAGTTCCAACAAGCAGAAGCCTGTCAGTAAGTTTGAGGAGCGGAAGGAAAAGGTTTTCGTTGCTTCCTCCGACTGGATCTCGGTTATGCACCTGCCGGGAAAATTAAATTAAATTGAAGCTTACTGAAATGTGTAAAATAATACCTGGTTGATCGTAACAGCTTCTTCCAGCGCAGTCATGGCAAAATCTCTTAGCTCTTCGAGAGGGAAGTATGGACTGTACAGGTTCATGATGTTGTCAATAGTATCATTGATGTCTGTCATTTTCATTGTCGGTTGAACGGATTCAGTGCGAAGGGAGTGGAGGCTGTGGCACATGTCAGGTTCACTATAGATTTCCTTGAGGTCAGGGCTCAGAGTCACGATGTATTCATTCTTGCAAGCCTCCCTATTAACATTAAGTGAAGAAAGAAAATTGGAAAGTAAAATTTTTTATTACATGGTTGTAGCGTGGGATTCCAAATGGAGGGCAATGAGAAGGTCGTAAAATCCTCTTCTCAACGGACCAGACATGTACTCAGACCTAATTGCATACAAAAGCTGGTTCTGTCCAACGTGTTGGCAAAGCGTGTGCGCTGCTCGGTAGTTGGATTGGAAGCAAAGAGCAGCGTACAAAGTCAGAGTGTGGGAATGGAAGCTGAAAAAATAGTATTGAATAAAATTATATTTGCGTTTATGATAATTTGTATCATTATACCTGAGAAGGCGCTCCATTTCAATAAGTTCAAGAATATCAATGCACCGGTCCTCTTCCGGAATGTGCAGGGCCAGCATGGAAATTGGGTCTTCGCACAACATACTCCAGCCTCTGATGTCAGACAGCTTCAGAGCGTGGACTTGGAGACTCTGGTTCGGCACTCTGGCCCATTGGTGGGGTTTCAGGCACTGAACTTTTAGCCTCGGAGGGAACTAAAAATATTCAAATTTAAATTCACCACCTTTTAAAAGGAAATTTTCTTTCAATACCTGGGGGTTGACATGCTTCTCGGAGTTCTGCAAGACGGCAGCTGACAGTGGCAGTGTGGTGGAAGTTCTGCCAAGTTCAATCTGCATGATATCTTTGCTCGTGGCCTCGACGAAAATTGCAGGGAACAGTTTAGTTCCCGGCTCCATCTATAATTTATTTTATTTTTATGAATAGTTCATTTAAATTTAAAAATATTGTTTTTACCTTATACTTGTGCTTCGTCTCTTTTCCTTCACAGTGGAAGGTCATGTAGCCAGTGGCTGTGTCCAGGCAGCAGCCAACAAACATACCCTGGCTCGCACCCTTTCCTGAGGCATCATTGGTCACCTCGTTGTACAATTCGTCAGCCCTCAGCATGTAGCAACTCTGGCGGTCGACGCTGCCAAATTTAAAGAAAAAGTTTGATTAAAATTTTAAATTGTTTATAATTAAATGAAATATTTCGTGTACTTTTCAATAACGTCGCCGATTTCATCCACAATGAAGACGCCAGAGGTCCTGACCTTGTCCTGGTTGAATTCCTTGCTGTGCAAATGGTACTGGGTGGTCACCCAGCCAACATATACGTGGGTCGGGTCTTGGCCAGGGAAGATTCGCACTCCGTAGAAGTACTCGTTAATCAGCTTCAGGCAATCGGCGTCGTACATTTCGTTGCCAATGGTCTCGATCTTGGAGTTGGACAGGGAGCCACTCAAAGCCTTGGGTTGCCTGTCAGGTACGGAGGGCGGAACCAGTTTCAAGTCGGTCTAAAATTTAAATTATCATGTATATTGAAATTTGACTGAAAATTTTATTTTCACCGATGACATATTAAGGGCAGCGTTTTTCTTCATGTCGACAGGCTTATTTCTTTCAGAGGGCACTTCAAGGTTGTTGCCCAATTTCTTGCCGCGATCATTGCTGGCATCCCTGTTCTTTTTGGAGAAGAACCTGAAAGGTGACCTTCCTCTCTTCTTCTTGTCGTCGGGTTCTTCATATCCGTTTGTCGGGTTCTCGCTCAAGGCTCTCTTGCCTAAAATTATTTTTTATATTTGCAAGTGCAATAATTTTGTTGAATATACCAGGATCAGTAACGTCATAACCGTTTGTCTTTGAAACTGACGCCCTGCGTGGTGGTCTGTTGGGAAAACCAGGTCTTCCGGTTACTTCGTCCGACTCGGGTCCGTCTTCAGAAAATCCCCTCTGGAGGCTCTTAATGTCGTTCATGTTGAAACCACCACTCTTGATAATTTGCTCAATGTGTCCAGGGCTGACTTGGTCGGCTTCAGAAAGCAGCCTGTGCTGCCTGATTTTAATCTCCTGCCACCTCATCATTTTCTCATGCTCACTAAAAATAAAGGAAAATATTTTTATTAAGTTTAAAAAAATTTTGACTAAATTTACTCAATGAAAGATGATTGACAAATGACTGGAAGTGAAAGTCTCAAGAACTCCCAGTTGGCCTTTTCCATGGTCTCAAATGTGTTGTGGCTGATTTTCAGACAAGGTGGAGTGTCTGAGCCGGCAGGAATTCTTGTCACGTCAATTCTGGTGTCGGCCATATCGTCTGTGTTCTCGAATATTGGCTGATCTTTTGTGTACCAGTACGTAACTGGCCTCTTCATGTTACTGTTTTAAAAATATTTTAAATTATTTCCTTCATTAAATTTGTTCAATCATTTAAAACTCACACGCAGAATGGCTCGTAACCTTCTTGCAAGCCGCACATCGTGAAGAACTTGAGCGAGTTGACGTCTTGGCCGTAGGTGAGTTTGGCCCTCTGGCCTACGCCAAGGGTGAAGGCAGGGACAAACGCGTCGCCTTGGACGTCGGCAAACGAAGTCTCACCTCCGAGTGCGTCCATCAGAAGCTCACCATTGAGTGAGAAACCTTCATATAAATTAATTGTCAATTCGCGTCCTTTCTTTTAAAAAGTGGATGCGTGTGACCAGACGGGAAGCAAAAATGCATTTTTTTTTTAATTTTGTTAGTAAATTTTGATATACAGTTTGTGAGTTACATTATTTTAAGGTGATTGTTAAAATAATAATTGGGATGAATTTATAAGACGGGGTTTCTCTTGACAAAAAAATGCAACAGTGAAGAGAGGTGCAGAGGCAAATTCATTTTCAAAAGGACAATTTCGTGCTTTTGAGCAAACAGGGCTAGGGTTGGGTGTGGGGTTTGAATAACATGAGCTGATATTGATAGATTCCAGGGAACATCTCCAATTGGACGCACAGCTTGAATAACTCAATCATGTAATGCCGAATCAAAATAAGTTGCTTAATATTGGAATGACATTTAATAAGTTTTTTTTTTCGTTCGAATTAATATAATATTATCAGCAAAATGAGATTGAACGCGGTTCGGAAGTGCTGGGGAAGTGGCAAATGATCCTCTGCGAGCAGCACTAATTAATTAGAGAATATTGATGCATTAATGAATATTTCAACGATCATCCAGGCCTGCTGGTTTTGTGGCTAGAACCAGTGTTAAGCGAGCGAAACTACGTCTACGTGATAGGCAAAAGCCGACTGAATATTATCGATTTTCCACTAAAAAGCATGGTCATGCATTCTGCAGCGGCAATACAGTGGCAATAACTTTTTTCCCAGAAGAGTAATAATAAATAAATATGCAGAGCCAGCCATGCGTGGGCTCTCTTTAATCCTTTTTGACTTACTGATCGTGCGATCAATTAGATCGAGGCAGACGCCAACAACATCGCCCACTACCCATTGTTTGCCAAATGTCTCTCCGGAGCCGCCGTGAACTTTTTCTTCCTTTAAAACAAAATTGCACAAAAACATTCAAGCCAGTCGTCCTTTGAACCAATTTCTGAAAGCCTTTCGACTTGCAACTTTTTTAAAACTGTCAGCCCACCTATATCAAAGAAAGACGCTCTTTTGCATGGGTTCAGGTTTTGAGAGGGGGATTGAAAGTGCGAAACAAATAAGGTGGAGAGAGAGAGAAACAGAGTGTCTGCTTGGTCTGTTTTTTTTTGCTAAGAATATCAGTGAAAGGTATTATTTTATTTTTATTTACAAAACAGTGGCACGTGTGTGACTATCAATATCCCACATCAGGCATCTAGTTATGTGTACGTATAAAAAAAAATAATGAAATCTAGAGAGGGATAGTTTGAGGTTGCACAAAAAATTATTTAATGACAGATATAGGCACTCGTATTAATTGATTGTGCTGCTGGGGGGTTCACATTTTTTTAATTAGATCTCGACGCGTCTCCTTTTTTACTTACTGATCGTTCTATCGTGCAAATCTAACATAACGCCAACTACATCTCCCACTTGATACTTTTTGCCAAAAGATTCATGCGTGCCAAGATGAGCCTTAGTAACCTGCGTGTTTTTCAAATCAAGATGTAGAGAGAAAGGCGAAATGAGAATCAGATTTAATAGTATTTGCAAAAAGTGGGCGCATTCCCCAAAATTTTTCCGATGTTTTACCCAAAGCAAAAAAAAATGTATGAAATTTTCATCTTACGTTGTAGCCGTCGAAAGCCCAAGAGAACTCGTCACTGCCCAACTGGCAGCCCGGGGGACAATCGGCTCTCGCCCATCCAACGCGCATCGGACCAGTGGTCAAAACTTCAAACTCAAAGTACCTAGATAAAAAAATAATACATAATTGAATTAACAGAGGCAAATTTTAATACCATTTTCCACTGGTGCAGGCGTAGTTCTTTTCAACTCTGTAGGTTCTGAACTCAATTCTCCTTGCTCTGGCCGCTTCAGCAAGCATTGCTGAAATAATTATTTTAATTTATTTTTCCACGTATTAATTTCCAAATTATAAACCTTCGTGCGCCTCTCCGGTTGGTGGCTCCAAATTATACCCGTAAACAAGCAGGGTTCGCACAGTTTCACTTGCAGTGTCCCTATTTATAGAATTTGAGTTTCAAAACGCCGCGGACAATAATTTTTTCATTATTGCAGACCTGTTTGCTTTTTTGATCAGGTCGTCGACCTTGTTGTAGGGCACAAGGTGAGGACTGCGACGCATGTCGGGGTCCTCGTTTAGGCCGTAGGTCCAGCCCTGATTGATTCTTTCCTTGGCCCACAAATTGTGAGTGTTTTCGGCAAGAGAATCGACCAGCTCTTCCATTTTTGTCGTCAAAGTCACTGCGCTCAAGTCGAGTGGCGCCGGTTTGTACCCATTGCCCTAGAAACATATTTTTTTTGCGCATTAAAATTTGATGCATTTTCATTTCCGCCGGAAGAAGAATAACTTGCCTGCATAAAAGGGTCGTTAGGCAGGCGCACGTTCTTGATGCGCGAGGGCGGTTTATCCATGGTGATGTAATATCCCAGCGCCAGGATGGTCCTGCGAACGAGATTTTTTTCATCAGGCCAAATTTATTTATTTTTGTGGCGCAATCTCACTTTAGTGTTTGCACAGCAAGCTGCGAGTCGTATCGTTTCTCGGCGGGTGGCAAATTTGCGAACTGCGTTAAGCAGGGGTGGATGTGTCGCATGTCGTCTCTGCGTTCGCCGTAAGACCAGCCAGCCTCGATCTTGTTCATCGCCCACATTTCGTGAATGTTCTCGGCCAGTTTGTCACGAATACTCTCTATGTAACTAGGCAGAGAAATCTGAAAGGAAAACGATGGCAATTAATTTAATTGCAATTTCAGAATTTTTAATTTCCATTTATATTTTTCTATTAATCAACTCAAATCAATTGATACAAACTAAAGTTGCTAAAATTTAGAGAGAAATCGTAAGAAAAGCAATTATTAATTTGAAATATTTTCAGTGTTATTAAAAATTAGACCTAAATAACGACGACATTGATACTTTGAATTTTCTTTACCGTGGTCGTGTCTACAGGCACAGGAACAAAGGCAGTGTCGTCCTCAACTGGCCAAGGACCTGACATCACGCCCTTGTTCAAATTTCCAAAGTAGAAACACGGGTCGATTGAAAGAATTTGGTTGGGGAGCAAACTCTCGACCAAAGGCGAGAACTCCTCGGGTGGAGGATATTTCAGCCTGCCGTGGTCTCCGCCAAACAAGAAGCGGCAGCTATTAAAATATATTTTTTTTTTAAATTAGTTTTTGAAATAAAATTCTATTATTTTCATTAACCTCAGCTTTGAGGAGCAACTGATGGCAGGGAAAAACATGCCGTCAAGGTTGAAGTTTCTGAAGGTGCCCTTGACTCGGGCACCGTTGAAAGTGAAAGAAATGCAGGGAATGGTGAGGTCAAGGGCGACGCCAATCACGTCTCCCTTTCTGATGTACGGTTCAGTCATTTCGGGGATGGCCGTGGTGCAGCGGCCGCCGGTCCACAAATTGGCGCCGTCGAAACTGAAGGAGTAAAGATCGTCGCCCACTCCGTTTCCGCCCCACTTTTCACCGCCGCCGGGGTAAGGGATGTATCCGGCCGTGTTGGCCCAGCCGATGCGCAGATGAGGCATCATGTGGGTGGTTTGCTCCATGTGGTCGAGCGTCACCTCAAAGTACCACTTTTGGTACTGGGCTGAGCCTTGCACTCGGCCAAGGAAGATGTTTGGTCGCACACTAAAAATTACAATTTTCCCATTATATAATTATTTTTTTTACTTAAATTGAAGTGTTTTTAAGGTTTTATCGAATATAAAAATGACGGCTTCTATTTCACATCAAAAAGTGAAAGCTAATTTTATTTAAAACTTCTAACAAATAGAAATTCATGATTTATTTACCAAAGACGCAATGAAAAAATAATTTTTAAATTTATTGAACTTTTATTTATTTAAAAATAATTTATGTATTAATAAAAATTGAAAATTTTCACTTTAAATTAAATAACTAAATCTAATTTAATTTACTTTTAAGTAACATAAAATATGTTTCAGCTCTTTAGCTAATTTATTTCAATTGACTTTACCTGGCCACATGGTCAACCAGCATAGTTTGCAGAAGCAGATTCTTGCCAGGCAGCAAGAAATCGCAGATGTTGTTTTGCGAAGAGCGGACGGCGACACCGTTACCGACGCAAAGTGAACACAACACGTCCAAAACTTTTGGGTCGCGGCCGTGCTTTTCAAGAAGCGAAATGATCACTTTGATGTGCTCATCCTAAATGAGAATTAATTAGAGAAAGTTATAAAATTTTGATTGAAAATCTCGCACCCTCATCATGTTCAAAGCCTCGGGCGAGTCGTGGAGCACACAGTGGAGCACGTCCAACATTCCGGTGCCCTCTCCGGACGCCTGAGAACCCAATCTGCTGAACAACCAGTTCAGTCTGTTCGAATTGGCAAACTGAGCGCAGTTGGTGTGATTTCCCATGATGATGGCAGCTGTAAATTTCATTATTTTTAAATTTTTTATTTGTAAAAAATTCGGCCGGCAAACCGAGCAATTGATAAAGGTAGCCAGAAATTTTTTCCCAGTTCTGGCCAGACTCGTCGCCCGCCAAGGACACGAGAAATCCTTGCGAGGTGATAACATTGATTTTATCAATGGCTTCCAGAATCAAATTCAGAATTCCCTCCTCCTGGAACAGATCCTGCCTGTTCCTCAAAGCCCTCAACTTGTTCTGCTTTTCTTCGTGCTCTGTGAAAGCAATGAATTTGTCGATTTGGCTTCTATTATTTTGGCATTCTTCCTACCCATATCCTCTTCTGGTTGAGCAAAGTAATTAATCAAGTCCTCCAAGCACATGACCATCTCGCCAAGATTAACAGACTGGAAGAACAACGATGGCCTCCTGTCGATTTGGAGCGTTTCCAAACCACTAATTATTCACAAAAAATTAGCACATTGTTTCCGTGTAGAGCAAAATTTTCTCACGTGATGAATTTGGTAAAAAGCGAGCTGCACTTTCTGATGACACGAGCCGTCCTCGATTCTTCTTCTTGACTCCTGCTGAAGTCCAGACCGTCGTCCATTTTTCCTTCCTCGTGAAGGATGGCCTGTTTTTCTTCCACTTTGCCAACGCCCTTTTTCTTTGTCTCATACGACTGCGAATAATTCATTATAATTTAAACTTAACCAACTATTTTTTATTTTTTACTTTGTAAGACAGCCAAAGCCCTGATTCGGCGTGTTGCATGATGACTGTACTGTCACCATACTTGATGATTGGCGCACCAATGATCTCAAGATCTTTGTCCTCAAGCACAACTTTCTGATCGTCTTTTTCTTGACGCAGACAGAATGTTGATGAGGAAATCGTCGCGTTGTCTCTATAATTAATTATATGTTTTAAAAATAATGAATCACCTGGTAATTTTTAAAAACATAAAATAAAATCTCACCGTTGCACCAAGTAAAGTTCGTTGTTCTCATTGACGCACAAGTAGCGACCAGTGGTGATGTGTCTGATTCGCATCGGGTGGTACCAGTTGATGAAACCCCCAGACCACTTTGTCCTGGCCAGTTCGAGGCGCCAAAGAGAGCGGGCTTGACTCATAACACTGCCGCCTTCGTAAACTACAATGCTGTATTTTTTTGCTCAATTAGATTGGAAAGAGGATGAGGTTTGTGTTATACTTTTGCCCTGTTTGTTCGCTCCACGTGGATGGTATCGTGAGACACTCGTCGCCGCCGTGGAAAAATCGGAGCACGTCGCCCCCGAAGACGTAGCCGACGTACTTCATGCGGCTGATGCCGGTGCCGTAGGGCTGCACTGACCAATGGGTCACGTGGAACGAAGCGTTCACCACGGAGATGTCGTTTTCCTTGGCAGTGTGCTGCAAATATTTATTACATCAAATTTATTTATTTATTTTTATAGGCCAATTAAAAAATTAATTTTTATATATAATTATAACCTCTTGAAATTAATTTTGTAAAAAATGCCAGTAAAATTTTTAATATTCCAATCTTATTTTTTCTGACATTTTAGAAAATATTTCTGAAATTCTATTTTCTTTCTAAAAATATTCTGATATCTGGGGTTTTTCAATTTTCTGACATGCAATTTTTAGGGCATAATGTGGCGACTCTGATTTCATTACCAAGTAGCGCTCGGTGGCAACCGAGACCAAAATGAGGTCATCTCCGACTCGCACTTTCTCACCCTCAGATCTCTGTTTTGAGGCAGGATGGACCGTCCACCAACATGCCTCACCTGATGTTGAGAAAAAATTTTAACGAAATAAATTCAACATTTTTTGGCACTGACCCTGTGAATGCTCCTGCAGACCAACATCAAAAGAAAGCTTATCGTTTGAGGAACTTGTCGATAAGCAGGCCAAGTACTGAAATCAATAAATTTTTAGTACTCGTCTTGATTCAGTTGCAAGAGAGGTGTTCGGCCGGTTGCATAATTAGGAAGTTGCAGGCGCTTACCATGTTGCTGTTCTGGTGCCTGAGGAGGATAGCGTTGCCGTAAAGTAAAGTTCTGTGTCCAGATCCAGTTCCTTTGCCCTAAAATTGATTAGTAATTTGTTTAAGTTAAGTGAATTTTACATCCATAGAATCGTTTTAGCTTCTAAATCTAAGTCCTTGTCATAATTAAGACCAATTAAGTGCATTGCAAATGCAAACTCTAAGGGTAAGTTACTATAAACTCTTTTAATCCGAATCGAATTCAAAGAAACACAAAAATGGTTAATTTTCTGTTTCGAGTTCAATTTTGAAAATGATTCCAATTACAAGATATTAAACAATAAAAACGATCTAGTGATTTTTCAATCAGTTCACTTACGTAGCTACGTGTTTTTGTAAAATTATAATGTTTTTAAGTTTGATGGAATGTAAATATATTGGAGAATCACTCTCGAAAATTCATGAATCGATTAATTTCGTCCGGTTTTTGTTCAAACAACTTTAATTGTGAGTTTGACCAAATTTGTTTTGCAACAAATCATGCATTTCACTGGTTTTCCAGTCAAGTTAAATTTCATTATTTTCGTTCCAATAAATTGCCAATTGATAACAACTTTTGAAACACGAGCATCCTCCGATTCATGATGCAGGAGAGTTAATGAGTGCTGTAATTGATTGATGTGCATAAATATACTAAATAGTGAAAATTATGTATGAGTACAATGAAAAGCCTAGAGTTGGAGGCGAGGCCACTTGGCAGTTGCGGTTCGTTTTGTCCAATGAACCTTTCCTCCCAAACAGTAAAATGCTATTTCTTTATTAGCGGAGCCAAAGTGAAATAAAGCACAAAAACTGCAGCAATAATTAGTTGGTTTCAAATTTCGAGAAGAAAAGAAACGATTTTGAAAGAAAGCATTCACCGTCGGTACTTACAAGGGCATTATTACTACTCTGCTGAAAGAGAACAAAATTCAAATGGTAAAAAGCGGTATTTGACACGACATATGTGGAAAAATAACAATTCCCGCCAATGAAAAGTGCTCTTGCGTGGTTAATCAAAAAGTATTCTCTTAGCTTTTTATAATTCGTTTTATGGGTGAAGTATTATTTACAACACGCACGTCATGATAATTAATGAGAATCAGAGATTAATATTTCAAAAGTTTTAAATTGGTGGGAGTGTCGCGGAATTGCAAACTGACGCCGAATGATTTCACAACTCACTGTTTCAGATCCTGCTGCAGTGACCAATTCTTGGAGGGCTCTCACTGACAGAGCCTGCTCGATGACAAACACGCATTGTGACAAATCTGGAGGGATGTTCTGCAATCAAAATAAAATAGCATCAGGTTTGTCCCAAATCTGAATTTTTAATTATTACTTTGGCAGTGGAATTTTTAACCTTTGTTCAGGAATATTTTCCTGCTATTTATAAAAATAGCAAATTAAAAAGAAATTAAATATTTATTGTTGGTTCAGAAAATAATTGGAACGCTCTTATCGATTATCATTCAAAATTTGACGAGAGCAGACAAGACGTCATTGAGAAAGTTCTGGGGTATCGATTCCTATTCCAGACGGCCCGGTACACAAATTTGTGAGCCATCAAGTGTATGTACATTTGGCATCGACAACTAGAATGAATTTTGCCGGAGACTTGCGCAGTTCTGGGATTTACTCGCCTTCAAACAACAAAATGCACAAGTAGATTTGGTTATTAGGAGAGAGAATGGGGACGCTCACATGTGAAATATTGTGGAACGTTGCCAAGTTCTGAATCCGCCCGTCGACCTGGCCTATGGCAAACATATCAGCTGAAATTGAATTTAAGCCCGAGCTGCTGTGAAATCGTAATCGTTTCGTTTTGAATTCAACTCGTGTAGACATAAATTGCAAATCCCAGCAGCAATTGTTTTGACCTTTTGAGCTGAGAAAAGAAGATGCTTAAAGGAAATCTTTATAACATATTAGTTTTGGGGTAAAAATTTATCAAACTTAAATTTTATGTCATATTGTAGTAAAACTTTTTCGAGTAAAAATAATTTTAAGTTTATATATTTGCGCATAGAAACTTTGTTTTTCCGCATAAAGAAGCAAAGAAGAGCTACAAAAAAGAAATAAAAATTGAACCAGAAGACCGAGGCAAAGACAAGAAAATTCTGTTTGATAAAAAAAAAATAGTATCCACACAAATATTTGTACCGTATTTATAAAAAAAAATGCTTACTGAATTTCAATTTGAACTGATTCCGTTTTTCCTTTAATTTTTAAGGAAACGCGTTATTAATTTTTTACGATGTGAATTCTAAATCAATGAGAGAAACACGCAACTTTTTATAAATCAATATTTCCAATGACTCTGGATTTTTTTGGAAAAAAATCACGTTTTTTTTGCCAGCAAATGAGGCGACGTGGGAGTCTGCACAGTTGCGGCAATCTTTTTCCAAGAGCATCAATGATTCATACACCATCGCTGAGCAAACCACTTTCGAGATGCTCTCGAGGCGCGCAGTAAACAAGGATTTTTTGCCTCTGGGTGGAATTTGCACGGCGACATCCATTTTTCATCCAGCTCTTGATATTCCCGTGAATGAACCAACCTTTTACAGAGACACTAAGCGAGTCACGTTGGTGACGCACTGTATAATAAAACGTCGTCTTCGCAAACGCGGAGAACTCTTTTTAAAGCGCGAGGTTGAAATCGCAATTTCCTCTCCCCCACTCCAATCTCTCGAGAGACTCAAATTGATCTTTTATGCAGATCAATTTGGGAACAGGCAGATTGGCTGGAAAAGATGTACCGCCTTGAAATGCTACTTAAATTTGATTCACAAAATTAACTTGCAGGATATTGTATCGATCGTGTGTTAAAAGCGACACGGCGCTAGTGAAAGTGCTGTTAATTTTCAGGTCTGTCGCTTTTGTTGATTACGCACTTAGTTTTTCATGACTCCGGATTACAGACAGTTATGACAGCAAAAATAAAAAATGCCTTTCCCACACGCATACCTACTAAAAATATGAGATCAATTTGACGCCGTTGAATTCCAAATTGCGGCTGAAAAATGAACGGTGTTAAATTAGGCGACAGCATTTCGCAATTAGCGGAGCGATAATCATGTCTGCAGCAAAGTTTTGAAGCACGGCGGTGAAACAAAAGTGGAATGAATGGTGGAGTGCGATGTGGTAGGATGGCTAACAATAAGCACCGAGCTGCTGGGTCTGCGGGTCACAGACAAAAGGCAAAGGCGGTATTTCGTAATAAATTCAGCTGTCGACACGGCTGCAAATATTTTGCACATGGCGAATAAAAGGCAGAGTTTAATTAATGTGCAAGGCTGGCTGCGTGATTCGACCTGAACGATTTCTGCTTCACATTTTAATAAATCAAGTGAAGCTTCCCGACTGTTGAATGGAGCCAGCGCATCATTTCAAAAGACAATCTTTATTGCTTTGTTTGAATTTAAAGTAGATTAAATTGAAAGTAATTTAAGTGGTCATTTTATAAACAATAAAAAACTAATTATTATATAAAGAATACAAAATTGTTAAATTTTATTATTCCCCACATTAAGAGATCTTCTGTTGCCAAAATGTCCATTAATTATTATTTTCAAACTTGTTGAAGCTCCAATAATTTTCGTCATTTCAAATATTCCTTCAGTTCAAGGTGCGAATACAGAATGGAAACTCTGCTTTATCACACTTTGTAAATCTGCAGTTATTCAGTAATTTCCTTTTTTAAATCATTTTAACTGAGCATGTTTAAATATTTATTTAAAATAAATTAAAGTAGATTACGGAACTTCGGAGGAGATTAGGCTCACACAAAAAAAAAAAAAAAAATGGAATTTTTTCTTTCGAGTTTAAAGTTGCACTCCCCCTGCGCCAGGGGCTCGGTCGGGTTGAAAGCAATGATAAATTGACACTTACCTTGTCTGCGATGTTCTCCAAGAAGCAGTGCCTGTTACCAAAGCCCTCTGCCGCCAGACAAACCCTCTCGCCGGTGGCAGTGCACGAAAGACAAACCATGTCTTCCTGAAATATTAATCATGAACACAATTAGTGACCGCGCATATAACATGTTGTAACGTCACTTTTGCAAGGAAAAGTGCTGCTTTTGTTCAAAGACCGCGCGTGTCGTAAAAATTCGCAATAAAGTGAGCTCGTAAAATTCTCTTTATTTCGCGTGCATTTCGCAGGATTAAAGAGGCAAAAGGGCATTCGTGCCTGCTCTAATTTGGGGGCCTTTGTCTGCCTCTGCGGACTGCGGGTCGGGATTGCGACTTTCTAAAGCGCAAAACTAGTCCTTTCCAGCTGCTGCTTTTTTACTACCGGGAAAGTAACTTTGTTTGTTTGTTGGTTCGGACCCATGTTTAATTAAATCCTAGAATTTTTTCTCACTGCACACAACATGTTGCTTTTAATTTAATTTTCCAACATCGTTTAATGTTTCTAAATTGATTCAGAGTTTTGATTTGGGAAATTCGCCTCCGCCGTTTATTGTCTCGGGGTGATCACCAGCGTGACACCACCTTGAAGAGGACCAAAGAATCCCGGCTGCCTATGTACAGCTTTCATGATCTATTTTAAACCAGACTCACTGCTGTGCGTGTGTGAGAGCGGAGGCTGCTTTGTGCACTCGGGTCCAAGCTTTGAAGCACCAGCAGCCGTTCACCTCGTTCAGTGAAAATTACCAATATTTACTCTTTGAAACGCAGAGAATTAAAATTTCCGCTTAGAAATGAGCAATCACATCAATGTGATTTTCTATTTCTCATTTTAAGATATTTAAATTGTTCAAAAATTTATTTCACCAATTTTTACAATTGAATTAATGCTAAAATATGAAATTTAATGAAATGAGAAACTAATTTAAAAAAATACTGTACAATGTGAAAATCTTTAAATCTGCTTTCAAGAAACTTATTAAATTTTGTCGCAATTGCAATATTTTTCAGAATTTTGGTCTTCTAACAAGATTGTATTTACTTACTAGCTACAAATATAGCATTTTTTTAATAACCAAAAAAAATCCATATAGACTATAGACACTTTTTATTATATAAAAATTAACTTTTATCTCAAGCTCATATTTTATTAAAATAATCTTTATTTTTATTTTTAATTCATGCGTCTGAATTGGAACAATTTTCATCCTTAAAAATTGTGTATAGCTTTAAAGCAAACAACGATTATAAAGATTGAATGGGAAAAATCGGAATTAACCTCTTTTGTCTCTTAAAATGGAAATGAAAAGTGTCTCTAGACCTCTCATTATAATTTGCCACAAAAGACATTTAGCTTGCATTAGATTTCATGGTTGTGTTGCCAAAACAGCGGCGCAGCGAGAGGCATTTTGCAATGCAGATCCGCCGGCAGGAGGCACGAAAGTATGAATACTGCATGATTATCATACACGTTGGGCCGATCGATACGGAAATGTGCACGGAACCACGCTCTCACGCCTCGACATTTTTCCCTCCGCCGCACTCTCATGAATGCGGCAAAATGAATTCGAGTGAAGCACAGCACCTTAATTAAGGCCCGAGCACTCTCTCGCCGGTTGACCCTCGAGGTGGGCGAACGGACGTGTTTCCGAGTGGCAAAAATTTATTTGATGTATGTTTCCTGACCTACCCCACGAACCGCGCAAAATGCCACCCGATGACGATCGTGGCTCTTGCAGCCTGTTATGTTTATACTTTGATCTCGGGTATTTTTAGCAAGCGGGCAAAATTGATGGGATTACTTGAGGACGCAAGAGGCTGCTGCAATCGCACTCTAATAAAGGTAAACTCGAGCTAAAAACGACGAGAACTTTTCTTTGCAACCAAAGGCTATTTTTGAAACTTTTCCATTTTGATCCATTTTGATTTGTTATATAATAATTGATTTTGTAATTCTAAATGCCATTTATATTTTTGTATTCAATTTGGGACCACTGCAAAAAAGCGGCTCCATGAAACGCCGCAGCCATTTGTTCAAATTTAAAATGCTAAATAGGCTGAAATTTATGTTATCTCAGAGGAACATTCCTATCATACTAAAATTCTGGGTTTGTTTGATATCTGACGTCAAAACAGCTGCTTTGTTATCGGTCTAATGCATTAAACCCTTGCTTTTCTCATTTCCATAATAATCAACGCAATATTTTACCTCATTTGTTCTACATTTGAGCAAAATTTCTGGATGAAAAAAGAGACCAATAAAAAATGTAAGGTGCGAATTCTCCCCGATATTTTCAATTTTATAAATTTGTATTTTAAATTTTGATTGTTAAAACGCACTGTTTATAAATTTGAAATTCATTATTTTACCATTGTTCTTTATTTGCCATATTGTTGACAGGGAACACTACATTGTTGTGGATGTAATTTATAAAATGCTGAGTTATTGAATTTATAAAAATAAAAATCTATTAAACTACATTTTTTTAAATGGACAAATAAACAACAATAATTAAAAAAAATAATAATCCTAATCTTGGAACAGCATATTGTTACAATCAGTTTTAACAAAAAAAAATTGTCAGACTAAATTTTAAGAAGCAAAATATTCTCTTTTTAAATTTGCTGACCATTGTCATTTTTTTCACGCATTAATATGTGATTATTAAAATTTTTTGGTACATTTATATTTAATGCTAAAATTTTGCAGCCATAGTTTTTCTCTTTTATTGTATTTCTGCTTCATTTTATTTATGACATTCGCGCAGACTTTACAATAAATTTTTTAATTTGCCGCAGTGCTCGCCAAAATAAAATGCTTTAGAGTGTGTTTCTTTAGCGGGGTGCGTCGAACAAAAGAAGCATGACACGTAACAAGTGCTCAGGTTCCGATTCTTTTGCTCTGCACAACCGCACCATTCATTTATTCTGTACATAGCGTACGTGCTTTTTCCAGGGACTTTCGCCAGCGATGGCGTGTGATCATTATTTTTCCCACCAAAGCTGGCTGAGCTGTCACCTGTCACCACCGAAACGCACACCTCCACAAATTCAAACCGCCCATTATTTTCACTACCCATTTTGCCCAAAGTTGCAGTAAAAAAAAAAATACATAATTAAATGGGAAGTGCCCTCTCAGCAACTAGTGTGTTGTGCGGGGGGAAAAATGAAATAACGAAAACAATTCCGGCCGAGTGAAATCGATTTTTGCGCAAATGTGTTATTGCCCCTCGGTTAAAGAGGGAAGCGTTGCGAGCAAAGCGTGTATGATGTAAAAAGAGAATAATCCGTCTGGGTGCAAAAGAAGCGCAACCAGAGCGTTGCCGAGCCTGGAATTGCCGCATGCTGCACCGCGCACCGCGGAAAAGGGAGATACAGCAGAGCTGGGCAGGGTGGAAAAGAAAGTGAGCGAGAGGCCGGCCGGCCGGCCAGCCGCTCGGATCGAGAGCAATAAAAACAAAACCTCTCAAGAAGCAGCAGCGCAACAGATCAACAACGGCCGCAGCTCTTTATCGGCCAAAATGGCAGAGCCGAAATAGAAAACGCGCATCATGCATAAGGTCAGCGGCGGGTCTATTTCCCTGACTGTCACAATCACCCACTAATGGAATTAACCCAACCCCACACTTTTCTCTGCCAGTATTATTAGAGCTTCTAGATAGAAGTTTTTAATTATATTATTAAATGGATTAAAAAGGCACTTAAAAAAAAATACCATTAAATTACGTAATGACTAAAAAATTTACTCGCATTTCTATCAAATAATATTGCAACCGTGCATTTGGCTCAGTAAATTTGATTTCTAATAGGGGGATCTGCAAACTTGAATTCAATCGGAATGCTTGAGAGGGGAAGCGTAGCTAATTAAACACAGTCCTTTGTTTTTACATGCTAAAAACGCCTCGTGGTAGACCCCTTACAATTATTTTTAGACTTGCAACTTATATAATTAAAAATAAATTATATTTTTTAATTATTTTTTAACTGAGGAAAAGTTTCGATTCTAATTTGGAAGGTTTTTAGTCAGCTGGAAAATTGAAATCACATCCTTTCACTTCCTGCTGCTCGTATTATTTATGTTTGAGCTAACACGCTTATATGCCCAGCTGGAGGTAAAGTTTACACTTGATCACTATAAGGAGCTTACGAGATTTCTCTGCAATACTGCTGCACAGAAAAATATCTGAAACTATTTCAGATTTATATTGGGCACTTTTCAATTGTTGTGCAACGTATAAAAATGTTTTTACTAATTATTTAAAAGCAATTATGATTTTTTTCTAGCCTTTCCCGTCGCTTCTTTAAAATTCGTGAATTCAGAGCTAAATTTAAATTGAAGAACAAAATTGAAGAAAAAAATTATTTACCGTCCTAAGGAATGAAACATCATCCTGTTCGGACCCTCCTTCGCTGTCCGCCATGGTGCAGTCGGAGAGTCTTGCTTAATCCTGTGCGGAAAGATCGGTGGTGATTTTTGCGCGAAACCAGTTGCCTAGTGCGGCAGCAGAATTGACATATCGGAAAAAGTGCCCTGCTTGGAGACCAAGCGAGCCGAGTCGGTCGGTGCGGTCGCTGGCTTCAGTGCGCTCAAGCACCTCTTCTTCGAGCTCGGCACCAGGAGCACACTGGTCAAAAATAGTGCCTTCCGCCCGGCCTGTGTTGACTGAGTGAGTGCGAGTGAGCGCCACAATCGCACGTTTTCCGCACGACCCACGCCAGCCAGCAGCACAGGGCTGGACGCGCCGCACACCACCCAAACACCCCCTCTGATAATGATAACACTTTCGCCCCGCCGCCAATTGCGACGCGTGCCTCGCGAAATTTGCATGCTCCGCCTGTCGTCGGCCAAATTGCTGCTCGCTTGCTTTGTTCTCCGACGCCGATCCCAGATGATGCAGACAAAACTACATCTGCGCTTGATAAAGTCTTCATTTTCTCAAATACTTTTCTTCCAATTCTCTTCTTTGTTTGCTTAAACTTAAATAATTTTCCATGATAATTTCTACTTGCATATTGCGATCTGCTTGTTCAATTCTAACTCTTTGATAAAACTTTGAACCAATCAAACCATTTCATTACCTGGGAACAAGTTTTTTGTGCCTGAAATGCGCAAACTTTGGCATGCAAATCTACTTCAAGAAAGCTCAATTTTATTAGCATATTAACTGAGCTGAATTTGCAAGTTCGCGTCTGGCTGAAAACCAATTAAATGGTAGCGACTGGATCCTGTAAGCTTAGGGAGTTCACATAAGCGGCTTTTCTTTACTAAAAGTCGCAGAATTTCTTTTTTATAGAGACGCTTTTGCAATAATTTGCCTCAATTCCGAAAATTTATCTTGTACAATCAATCATTCGCATTAAAATTATCTGTATGTTAAATTTATTTGCAGATGATAAATACACTGATTCATGTTACAAATCCAAACTGACACTTGAGAAAAAGATACAGAAAGAGATTTGAGTTGTGGACTTAGAAACTTGATTGGTGTTGCATTTTCGTGTTTGGCGCAGATGAGTTTTGATTCCAGGCGCTGAAAATTTTAAATGATTTTAGTTCATTTGTATCAAGAAAATTATCAAGTGGCAAACCTTATTCCTCTTCTTCCTCCTCTTCCTCTTCTTCCTCCTCCTCCTCCTCTTCTTCTTCTTCCTCTTCTTCTTCCTCCTCGGCGGCCTCCTCCTCTGGTTCAGGCTCGAAGGTGGGCTCTTCCAGGATGTCGTCGTCGGCGGCTCCCTTGCCACCCTCCTCATCGTCGGGGGTGTCGGACTCGCCCTTCTTCTTGCCAGGTCGCTCGCCGAACCACTTGGGCAACTTGGCTGAAATTGTGCAAATTATCGTCAAAATGTTTTTGGATTTGCTAAAATTCTTGACAGACGAACACAGAATATTTGCTGTGCCCTTTTAACCATTTGATTGTTTTGATAGTTTACATCCACACACAATTAATTATAATAATAACACACAAGTAATATAGTTTAAAATTTAAAAATATCTAAATAAAAAATAAAAAAATATGTTAGTATTATTGAGGGGGGATCATGCATTTTGAATAGGAAGTTTCAATCCAAATCCAAAACCCAAGAAATCGTGCACACGCAGTTACTTATAATTCCCTGAGAGCTAACAGAAAGGTTCTATATCTCTATTACATGTCAGTAGATTGCTCTAAGATAATTGTTTGCATATCGACACTGAAACTGGAAAAAGACTGAAAAACCTTGCTGTGCTAAGTTATAAAGAAAAGGTTGAGTTGTTAAGTCAGATGAAATGCGCTAAAATGATTTTTTTTTAGCAAAACATAAATCACAAAAGTAAAATGAGAACAACGTGAATTTGGAAAATACACAAAAATAAAAAAGATAATTATTTTTAGTTTTAATTAAAGCCAATTGGATCATAAAATCATAAATTTTAATTGTCTTATTGAATTTTTCGTTTTCAATTCTCTGTCATTTGATAAGAAAACTTACATTTCTGACGTTGGCCAAACTGTTCCAACCTATCTGCCCATTGACGCTCCATAGTTTCTTTGGTTAGAAGTTCTAAACCCTGCGCAGGTGAATCAAAAATTTGTAACCACAAACTCGGAAAGCAAGCCACACTCAAAGTTTGTATGTTTTTGCATTTGAATTTTAGTCAGCTTTAGAGGGGGCAGCTAGCAGGCGTTCGTCCCATCATCTTTGCAGGGTTAGTAGAAAAATTATTAGCAGTGGTTTTTGTTTCAAAATTTCGGGAGTTGCTGGTTCATCGCAGAAAATTCGGTATGGTATAATATAAACATCTCCGGCAGCAGGCGGTATATTTAGGGCCCTTTTACTTACTCTTGCTCCTCTTAGTGAACGTTTCGTACTTTTGTTTCCAAAGTTTCTCGATCGATTCATCACTAATAGTGGTCCAGCCCTACAATGTTAATGACGGGTTCAAAGGTTATTAATTTCCTAAAACTGCCCGCAAAGCTTCAAATTATCGAATTTTGAAAAGCCTTCTGGATTTTTAATCTGCAGACCGTTTTGCGATTAAATGAAGCTTTACAAGGGTGTCGGAGAAACTCCTCTCAAGCTCATTTCCTTAAACGAAGAAAAATGGTGTGAGAAAGTGTTAATTACTTCAACAGTGAAGTGCTGGTAGTCTGTGTTAAGTATATTTGTTTTTCCCTGGATGGAAGTAAAGATATTTTGTCCAATAAAATAACACCAAAAGTATTGAAAATTCCAACTTACACCCTCGAAGAGCTTCTTTTTGTCGCCGTACGACCTCGTGTCCACACGTCGCTCGTATTTGGAGGCTACTTGGATCATGGGCTGAAAAATAATTTTTCCAAAGATTGCTGACGCTTTTAAAGGCTTCCTTGACTACTTACAGGATACTTTCCGGTGAGGGCTCTGCAAATTAAAAGGCAGTTAAAAAAATGCTCTCTTCAAACCTTAAATTTTAACTTACTCAGGGTCAAGACCCTTCTTCTGGGCTTTGTGTCTCAGCTGCTGCTTTTGACGTTCCTTCAACTCTTTCAACTGGAGATTCGAAACGAGTCAAAATTTTTGAAATTAGAACAAACAATCAAAAACTCACGTCGTAGTCCTGTCTCTTCATCCTCTCCTCCAAGTCGTATTTCTCTGTCTCCAGCTTGACAATGGCCTCCCAGAGCTCGTTGGCCTTGGCGCGGAGCTTAGTCACGCCGAGTCCTTCGATGGCCAGGGGCTTGATACGGAAACTCAGAGAAATCTTCTTTTCCTCCTCGAGCTGCTCTTTCGTCTTGCTACGCTCGATCTGAGCGTTGGAGAGGTTGAACTGCAATCATGTTAAAATCGTTTTCAATTTTTCAAATAGGGCATAATTATTAGTCGTATTTACGGTGTTGTCCTTCTTGGTGATGGTGAAGTTGGGTCCCTTCTGGGCCTGGTTCTTCATGGACTGCATCATGGCCTGACGCTTGCGCTCAGCCTCCTCGAGACGCTTCCTCTTCTCGTCGATCTCACGCTGCTTCTTCTCCTCAGCCTCACGCTGGCGACGTTCTTCCTCTTCCTTCTTCTTCAGAGTCAACCTTTTCTCCTCATCAGCGCGGGCGACCTGTAGACAATTTATATATTTTTATTCCGAAATGTCAATGAATTTTAGGTTTTTTTCTATTAAAATAAATTTAATGCGATTCACCTTGCGCTTGGCCTGTTTCTCCTTCAGCTTCTTGAGGTCATCCTCCTCCTTTGAGCGCTGTTTTCGCCACTCAGCGATGTACTCCTTCAGCTGTTCATCGAGGTTGGAGCTCTTCTGCTGCTGGGTCTGTTGGACATTTGAAATTTATAAAATAGGTAAATTCTTAAAACGCTATTCTATATACCTTGATGAATTCGGGTCCTCCTTCCTTCTCATCCCTGTAATTATTCTTTACATTAGATTTTTTCTAACATTTATCACGCACATAGAGAAAAGATGTAACATTTTTTATTGTATTATTTATGTAACATACGAAAACTATTATGAAACCAACTAAACAAAAAGATATCAGTTTCGCAGCTTTGTGTTCTGTGTGACTGCTTAACTGTTAATGAATTGTTTCACATGGTTATACGCTCTGTGTAAATTGCAGTGAGCTATTCGGGTTAGAAACACACCACAAAGGAATGTAGGACTGCTAAAAAGGCATGCAGAAGACATGTAGATGAATGGAGACGTGGTACATATTGACTTGGAAGATAGGGCTTTAAATCAAGAAATCTTGCACTGAAGGGGGATTACTGCGTATGCTGGGTTTTGGTGAAATTTCAAAAGGGAGAAAACTTTTGTAGCGCAATTAATACATAAAAAAGGGAAACAGCAGGACTGCTCCTTACTGTAGAAAAGATCGTTAATTTGATCATCAGGTGCCTCTTAATAATTATAGTCATTTAGGGGAGGAGTGCGCCTGCAAAATTATGCAGTTATGCAACCCCAATTCAAAAGTGCTTAACTTGTTGCCTACCAAAATGTCAAATATATCATAAAGTAGTGTTTAAAAGCAAAAAGCAAAAGCACGATAAAATATTGTGGACAGACAAAATAGTGAAAAACATTATTCACAAAAAGCTGCTGCGGACAACAAAAATTTAGTCTGCTGGTCGAAAAATAAATTATTATAAAAACAACAATAAATATATTATATCAGTGAAAAATAAATTTGAGTTACTTGAAAGCGAAACGAAGAATTTTTCATTTATGCTTTCTTGTTTTTTGTGTTGAACAAACTTACTCATCGGCTACGCTTTTCGTGGTGTGGTGTTCAACTTCAACTTCCTCCCTTTATGGTTCCAAATCAGGTCAGAGGCAGGGCAGGAAAAGGGAACAAGCATTGGAGATTAATGATTGAATAAAAAAATGACCTAACAGGTTTCTACTTAGGACTTGAAAGGTTACGCAAGCTGAGAAGTGGCTTTATATTTCCTATTTACATTTAGGAGCACACGATGGGACTGAATTTGGAATACTAGTCGACTGACGTAGGGTTTACACATAGGTACATTTTTTTCAATGACTGGGGGCTGAAATTTGCTCGTCTGTATTTTATTTATGATTGTAATTATTTGTGTTTAATTGATTTACGTTTTGTGTTTTAGCAGGTCTGGTAGCATTAAAAGTTTAGAGCATTTTGAGACTGATGTTTGAAATATATGTCTCAAAATTTTCAGTTTTTATTGCTACGTGCAACCCAAGTGCATTTGAACACATTTTACAAGTTTCAATTTACATTTGTTACCATTTTTTGGGCACACGTAAAGAAGCATATTTTTTAATATTAGCTAGCTTTTTATGGAAATGCTTCTGACTTACCCACGACAGAGGTCTACTACGACTACTCTACATTTTTACAAAAACCCACACCCATTACTTGTGTCCCAGAGGTCAAACTTGTAAAGAAAAGTGGGTTGCGATGAATCGTTTTTTTACTTACTTTCTGAAAAAGATAAAAATTATGACTAAGGCGGTTGTCTAGGAAAAATTTGGTATTTTAGATTGCTCGTTTGAAAATATCTACTTTCAAAAATTCTCAGCATTTACGAGACTAAAATTTTTCAGAGTCGCTGACTAATCTTGCAATACTCACTCCTCATCGCTGAAACAGAAAAAAAAGGAATTTGATCAGTTTATATTTTTTGGTGTTTGTTGCATGGAAATCTTGGCCGGACGTAGCGGCACGGGCGATTATGTTGAAAGTGACGTGAGCTTTATTTTTAACCCAGACCAAAAGTTGGTTGGCAGCCAACTTTGAGTTCAACAAATTTGGGACAGCCATTGGTGCTTTATGGCACCACTGAATTATAATTTGTCTCACTGCACTTTTAAATTAAAAATTTGCAAATATTAGCCAGATATTATTTTTATGATTTTATTATTTTTAGATAATTATAAAAAAGATTACTTACGAGTAAACACTCTCTTCATCCGACATGGTGTTGGCTTGTGAGGTTCAAAGGCTGGAATTATTAAAAACTTTTAAATAAACATTTAATCATTCCATTTTTTATGATACAGAATATCATATTAAAATTGTGGATCAGAATATTACCCCCCTGCCCCCCCCCCCCCTGAGTGATTTGGTTAATTTTAACAAATATCAGTCGATTTTTAGATTGAACTAATTCATCATTTAGTTTCGTTTGTTTAAATGTATTTTTAACTATTGGGCTTTTCACCATTTTCTCTTCTTTTCTTAAAAGAATGGTATCATTATTTAATTTTTTTATTTTTCATTTTAAGCAATTTGTGATGTTTACTTTGTATTTTAAATTTATTTGAGAGTTGAAGTGAGGATAGCAAATACAGTTTGAGGTTAATGTAAAATGAGGAGCGCAAAGACTAAAGAAAGAAAACACGGTGATGTGTTCTATTTTCAGCCGACGGTCAAATATAGGAGCGCTGTTGGTGCAGCCGTCCTGTTTTATATTATTGTCTTTGAGCTAGAAACTCTATTATTTGATTGCTTTTAAGAGAGAAAGTTTATTAAAATAATAAGTTAATTTTGAGTCAGATCCATTCACTGGCAAATTAAACCGTTTTTTAGAAAATCTATTTTTTTTAATTAATTGGAGTGGCTGAGATTTTTTAATTTACATCTATTTAAAATAATTATAGCACGGTTATATAAAAAGGTAAAACAAAAATATAGTAATTTTGACAGTGTCTAAATCTAAATATTAAAAAAGCAAGGGCAGTTTTTAAGATGAGTCCGCATTTCAAAAATCTTGTGTTTAAAATTTTTACTTGAAGCTAAAACAATTGAAATTTGATGCAAGTTTCAGATTGTGGCACTTAGTGTAGACCGAATTGTGGTAAAAAAATCGAAAATTCACAAAAATCGAAGCACTGATATTCCACAGTCCCGTTGATTCACAAAAATTCACCAAAATCACTCACAACTGGAAAGAAACCCCAAAGAGAAAGAGGCAACTCACTTGGCTAGGAATTAATAGGTCTCGCAGTGGACGTGCAAGACCCGAGAACCAAACAGAAAAGCAGCCTGGAATGTGAGTGGCTCTTTTTGGCGCTTCCTTCAGAGCCATCTCTGCAGAGAACGCCTATGCGCAGGGCACGCAGCGCTCTCGCTCTTTGCTCAAGTCGGTCCACCGCCCGACTCGAGGGGCGCATTCCTTGAATAAAGGATTCTTTAATTTTTAAAACAATTGGTGAAGCTGTTAAGTTAATATAAACATTTAGATTGCTGCTACAAAAAAGCATTTTATTAAATTTTGAAAAAAAGTTAAAATTCATAAAAAAGTCAGTTTTTTTACTTTTCTATAATTAAAAATATTATTATATGTTATTTTATTTAATCATACAATTTTAAATTTTTTTCAAGCATGATCTTTTGATCTTTTATAAATTAACGTCATAAAAAGCTTTAATTTGCTGCGATTTAAAAACAGTTCAGAGAGTGAAATTGAGTTACTGACACAATCTTATTGAAGACTTCTAAAGAGGAAACATCATGCAGTTTATTTTCAAAGACATTACGCAAACCGCAGCTTTAGTAAGTGCGTGCCTATTGTGTCACAATAGAAGTGTCAGTCCAAGAAGAACTCAAATTTAAAATATGCATGTATTGATCACACAATCCCAAGTCAAGGTTTAAAAAGAATCTGAATGGAAAATGGAATATCCCATATAAGCAAGAAAATATACGCCGATTCTAAAATTCACACTTATTGATTAGGCAATCTCTCAGATAAAAATTCATATACAAGGACTTTCCTTTTGCCAAAATTTAATTTCAGTTCCACCTTAATCACCACCACATACTCGACAACATAATTATGCTCATTAACTTTGTTAATACAACAGCGCGCCTGGCCTAACAATAGAAGTCCGAAAAATGTTCTACCTTGAGTATCGACTGACTGAACTGACGCAGACATTGCCAAAAGATTAGTCACCCAGAAATTGCTTTCAACAGGCCAGCCAGAACCGCCTGTCTAAAGATCGCACTTGCTTGTTAGATTTTATCTATTGGTTTCCTACAATCAATATGTCTTCCATTGCAGAAGTGAAAGAGCACAAAAAATGAGTTCTTATTCTTGGCACTTGCAAAAACTTTTTCCGCCGTAAATGACAGCTTCACAGCCAAAACCTAATCTTGGAAGTGCCAAATTTATTTCGCACTTGAAATCCTCCACTCGTAATAGATTAAAAATTTTCTGGTCAATGAACAGATCTAAATACAAGCTAATTTTAGAAAAGGTGGCAGTCGGAGACGAAAGATCCAAAATCTCTCTCCCTAGTTACGATATTCTCTCCTCCCACAGCGCTGGGCTGCAGACGGAGAGCCAGTCTAAATTAATCTGGCAAGCATCCCTTTTAAGGAGGACACTTTCGTAACGCGAGAAGGTCTGCTCTACAGGTTAAAAATACTTGGCTAGCGCCGAAGAACTTCGCTCAACGCAGCCAGATGTCAGCTTGACTCAACACGCTTGAAAGCTGCTTCTCTTGCTTAAGCAATTCTTATGGCTCAATTGCAATATTATTTTCTTTCTCAAAATGAAATGAACCTCATTTTATTTTTACATTTTTATTTATTAAAAGAATGAATTGAACAAACAATAACATCATTGGATCCAGTGAATACATAATTTAAAAGGCTATAGCTGGTCAAAGAAAATTAGTACATGTAACCAAATATCAATTTTTGGTTTCTAGAGAATGTTCCATTTTTTTATGTTAAAAAGCAAGGCATTTTCCCGCCTATTCTATTACATTAGCAGGCATGTTGTAAGCCCTTTATAAATTGTTTTAAAATAGCAGAAGCAACAGCCGACTCTGCTATTATTTTAAGTCTTGTTGACATTTTAAAAAGTGTTAGTTTGATTCGCATGTTAATACTATGACCAGCTTATATTCCATTTCCATTGAAAGAACCATTCAATAATCAAAATTTATAAAGCACACAGGAAATAAATTAGCGAAAAGAGCAAGTCCTACGAAAAAGGCAAAACAGCTCTCATTTAAGTTTCAAAATAATGCAAAGTTATGATAAATTCATCATTGGGCTGTAAGAAGTGGAATGTGCATTTACAAATAGGTGAAGAGAGAGTCTTGTGATTGAATTATTGGTCGGTGGGTTGAGCCTCTACCTGCCTGGGAGCCAAGCGGCTCACCAGTGCTATTCCACTGTGAACAGGACCCTTCAAGAAGGCAGGGAAACTGGGCTTGTTGGCAACGTTTTCCAAGTTGACTCTGATCTCCCGGAACATATTTCTTGTGTAGGGGTTGCGTCTTGAAGAATAGCGAAGGGTCAGGAAATTGTAGTAGATGAATGGTGTCAAAAGACCAGCCTTGCCCCTTAAAATCAAACACAAAAATCAGTTTAATTAACATTTTTGAGAAATTTTTTGTAGTTTAGATATGGTACTTGCACCAGTGGTCGCACTGTTTGCTTTGTCGCACACACGGCTGCGCGGCCCATAAGCCATTTTGGTAAATGGGCTGCGCAGCCGCGTGTGCGACAAAGCAAACAGTGCGACCACTGGTGCAAGTACCATATCCAATATTGTCGAAAATAAAAATTTGAGGCTGGAGTACTTACAAGAAAATCATAATGAAGACGAATGGCATGAGTAAAATTTCCGTGAAGGCTACCATTCTCAGAATGTTGACTGATTGAAACTCTACTAAGGAAATGAGCATCCTTGCACCCCACCAAGAATTCTGGCCCAGTTGCTGAAATTAAATTAAAAGTTTGGGGAGATTGCTTTAATGAGAAAAAATCCTTACATCCAAGAGTGTCAGGGAGTAGCTGGCAGAGTGGAGCATGGCAAACAAAACAACAGGCAGAAGCACCACTGTAATAAATGGTCAAAGAAAATATCTGCAAATGATTTAAATTATCAATCAAATTACTATTGTATTTCTACAAAATGAAAATAATTCAGAAAGAAGAAATTTTGTTCAAAAGAATTTCTATAAAATTTTCCGTTAGCCCTGTACAAGCCAAACTACAATATCCTGAATAGAACATTAGGTAATGATTTACTTGGAATATTATGTCCGATAGTAAATCGATCTTGCTTCAATTACATTAAAAATTCAAAATAGTAATTAGGAACTTCTGATAGATGAGAAAAATTACATAGCATATTATCTGATTAACATATTTTGAGTTGAGCTCAAATTGCAATTTAGCATTTTATGAGGGATCAAATTCTCATTATACTTTTCAATAATAACCTAGTATAGATAAAAAAATTTGTGATGTGGCATTAATTTCAGCTGATTATCTATTACAAGAAATTTTTTGCTATTATTCCTTCGACCAGTGCTAAATTATGAAAGGATACGAGCCAGCGGCGAGACGTAGAGGAAGATGAGCGAGAAAAAGAGGTAATGACAGCTGTCCTCAGCAACCAGTTGGGCAAAGAACTGTTGTGACAGTTGCACTTGAGGCAGACGGAGGTGCAACCGCAGGGCACTTGTAGCAGCATTAGCCATCAGAGCTTTGTAGTAGCAACTGTATGCATTCCTGTGGGAAGACCAAAGGGTTTTAAATGCCTGTTCATAGTTTGAAAAGTATTTTATTACCCAGTAAGTGGGATGAAGTACATGATGGTGAAGAAAATTGTACAAACTCTTGTGCACCATAAGGCAAAATCCAATTTGTGCGCCTTGATGTGGTCGACAAGTCCGTTCCAGTTCAAAGGGTTTCCCGCAGGCCGACTTTCTTGCTGCGCGCTGTCAGGTCCTGAATTCGCGTCTGAACTCATTTTTAGCTTGTTAATTACTGAAGGTTGTCGGTGAAACCTGTGACAAAAAGCAAAACAACTGGTATTAACTGACGGTGTTATTCGGATAAATGAGACTGCAGTTGACAGAAAACAGCTGCAAAGCACCCCAAGGCCCTGCCTGCAATGTGTTGAAGGGAATTTGCGTGGTCACTTTTATGACTCGAAAGCACCACTTTAAGACCTGCTGTGCAAATATTCATGAAATATTCAAGATCTCCCGATGGATCGATAAATGGCACAGGAACACACTGAAGAAAATTACCAGAGAATTGATATGGCCCACAAAGGGTCGAAGGAGCGCAGGACTTTCTCGTTTCTGACCTCCTCAGACTGGCCGACCAACGATCAAACGGGACAAATGAATAGCGAAAGCAAAACGCGAAACGGGGCACGGCAAGTCATCAACAGTGGTAACAACTTTCCAAAAATAGGAAAGAATACGCAAATAAATTTTATTGCTTGAATTCGGCGTATTAAAAAAATTATTTTTCACTTTTTTTCGTGTTTCGATTAAATTAATCGTTTTTATTTTAATCTTCGTTGAAAAAGGTATTTAATTTTATATGAATATATTTTGTTATGTTGGCACTCGTATTTGCGATCAGATGACTTTGCTCTGAAATTTTGACACTTCTGCCCAAGGCTTCTGCCTCTGTACATAATTTTTCTCGTTTCCTCACCTTTTCACGCCGCTATTTTAGCGTTCGAATAGGTTTATCTTGTTTGCTTCTGCAGATAAAGATTATTCTGATCTTTAGGTAAGACTCTACTTCTTTTGCGTGCAGTAATCGCTAAGTTAGATGCATCTCAATTTAGATAAATCCTATCAGCTAGCTCGATTTTGTTATTTTTGAAATTCTTCCTTGCGATGAGGCCCTGGGTTTGACCATAATCGGATTATTTGTCGGTGACGCACTAACTAAGATAATTTCCACCTGTGTTTACCAGACGAGTTACACTCCGCTGGCCACAATGGATGTAGGCTATTCGCTCTATCAGAACAGCGGCGGCAGAGGCGAGCGCGATTTCAACGAGTTGGCTCATTCAATAGGTAGCAGCATCCAAAAAATCTCCAAAAATGGTTTGTTTCAATTTTAAATATCATTTTTTATCACTTCATGTATTTTTTTTCTTTACTAAATTTACAGTCACTTCAATGCAACGAATGGTCAGTCAGCTGGGAACCCCGCAAGAGAGCTCGGATCTTAAATCTCAATTGTAAATTTCTCCTAAACAAACAATATTCAGATATTAAATTGTTAAAATTGTAGGCGCCAGCTTCAGCATTACACTCAGCAATTGGTGAAAGATACAAACGACAACATAAAGGAGCTCTCGAAAATCAACACATCGATTCCGTCTGAAAAGCAGCAATGGAAAATGCAGAAGGAGCGACTCACCGAAGAATTCACATCTGCCCTCACGTCTTTCCAAGAAGTCCAGAGACTAGAAGCTCAGAAGGAGAAGGATGATATTAAAAGAGCAAAGCAAGCATCAGGCAGAGTTGCCTTGTCGATGGGTAGTTATATTTTGAAAATTTGCTTATGATAAATTCTCATAAATTAATTTGACTAAGATATATTTCTGTGAACATAAGACGACTAAAATTTAAGTTTTTATTGTGAATTTGCTAATTTTGAATTTTATACTAGATGGTTTTGGTGGTGCCAGCACTAGACAATCTGAGCAACTAATCGAACTAAAGGACCAGCAAGAAATGAGACAAGCCCAGATACAAGAGGAACACGAGCTAAGGGAACTCGAGGAGCGGGAACAAGCAATCAGGCAATTAGAAGTAAGATTAGGTTGCCCATGATGTATATGTTATATAATTTTTGCTCTCCAGAGTGACATCGGAGATGTTAACCAAATCTTCAAGGATTTGGGTCAGATGGTTTATGAGCAAGGAGAGGTGATTGACAGTATAGAAGCTCATGTCGAGAAAACTGAGATTTTTGTCTCTGAAGGAACAAGTCAGCTACGTCAAGCCAGCACCTATCAGGTTTGTTAATTTGCTGTCAGATAAATGTGTTGTTTATATAGTCAACTGATTTCAGTCAAAGGCGCGGATGAAGAAGTTCATTTTCTTCTCCTGTTTGGCGTTTGTTGTGGCTGTGATCCTTGCATATATTATTTACGAATTATCAAATTAATCGGGAAATATATTATACAGATATGATCAACTTAGGATCTTCTTAATATAGATTTATTTATTCTAAATACTCATTGTCATTCCAATTATGATCTATCACCAGTAAAGTTCCTTTTCTGTTTTTGCCATAATTTGTAACATCTCTTGCACCCTTCCAAACCTACTATTGTCATTATTAATTATTCTAATATAAAGGTTTTCTTTCAACACTTTAAATTAGATTATCTTGCTATCTGCTCTCAGAGAATAAAAATAATTTTGATGAAAATCCAGTTGCGTTTTAATATTGTTGAATATTAAAAAAACTTTTGGTCTTTTTATTTTAAATCAATGACTCAAAAAGTTGTTTTAATGTTTTTATTGATGGAAAAAAAAGAATTACATAATCCTCGTAGGAGGGTCTGCGACGGCAGGTTTATGGTCACTGATGGGCTGAGTAGGCAGAACTTCTTCCTTAGGCTCAACCACAGAGACGTTATCAGGAAGGGGCTTCTTGGGTCCAATTTTGCCATGTGGGTCCCAAGGCAACATGATTTTCACCTTGATTCCAAGCACGCCTGAGGATATCATTTTTTAAAATTATTATCTTCACATTATTGGGTGAAAAAATTGCTGTGCTTACCTTGACGCAATAACACGTGACGAGTCGCACAGTCAACATATTCATTAGTGGGCTCTCCCGAGTGGATCATGAGTCCATCAACAAACTTCATCGACTTGGCACGCTGTCCACGCAGCTTGCCAGAGACAACGACCTCGCAACCCTTCGCCCCAGACTCCATGATGTACCTCAGGACACCATAGCAAGCTCTGAAATTAAGAAATTTCTTAGTCTTACAATATTAAACCTCCTTTCTTGGCTCTTAATATTTTTAATAAGAAAGTAAAATCTAATTTATTTGCAAAATACATTTCTTTTGTAATTTGAAATAGACGTGACAAGGCAGAAAATTAGCAAATAAATATGTTAATTTAATCTGAGTTCTTATTCAAACATATTATATATTATACCTCCTGACAGCAAGTCCACCGATGAGCTTATATCTGAGAGACTCAGCCTGAGCAATGGCACACAATCCTCTGGTGGCCACCTTCTCCGCATACAACTCCAGCGACTGGTCAGCGAAGTTGAACCTTTTCTGCACAACAGAGGTCAACTCGCGAATCCTCCTACCCTTCTCGCCCAAAACACTCTGTGTCCTGGTGGCCATGATGATGATCTCAGTACGAGTTGGGGTAACTCGCACCTCAACACCGGAGTAGCCATCCTCAGCGAGCTCACGAGTCAGGAACTCGTTGAGCTCAGCCTTGAAGACTCCGTCGCCGACGAACTAAGAACACAATAAATTAATGTTTAATTATTCAAAGTCTGTTAATTAATGTGCTATCTAATGTCTGGAAAAGCCTTTAGCGGTGTGACATGTCCTTTGTTTACGTTTTTTTTCTACGTTTTGAGATAAAAAAAAAAACTTAAATTATTGAATTTACAGAAATCATAAACGCTTGCTTGCAACTTGATATAAATTATCTATAATGAATGAATACTTGATAAAATTTACTAAAAAAATAAAAACATGCCGAACGTATGAAACAGTATGAAATTGGATGACAACTTGAGAGCGACTTTTTTGATCCACTATTTTTGAGAGCAGGGTAAAACATTTTGGGAATTTATAAGTTTCAATACCAACAGCAAAGGTGAAATTTTAATTCGGAAATGAAATATAGCGCTGGAATTCAGCGATTACAGAAATAAATGAGGATTAACTCACCTTTCGCTTTTTGGAAATTTGTGCCGCCATACTCCAACGTGTTAAAGGTGGACTCAACGAGGCCAAGGAGGACGACCAAACTACACGTCCAACAGAAACTTCCACAAAACCGCACAGCCAATCACATTACAAAATCTGGTTATGGGGCTATCCTATTGGTGCAAGGTTTTGTGAGCTACCAATCACGAGTGAAAAGTTGAGTGAAAATGAATATTATGTTTACAAGGAGGTTTCTGAAATTATTGGTCCTAACCGGTCCCAAGAAGTATAAAATGACCGGTCCTAACCAGGTCCTAACGCAGTTACGCGTTACGCACATGCTGCGGGATGCGGGACTGCATATAAATCAGGAGTTTCGTGCAAAAACGCTCTTCTTAAGTTTTGAACAATGTTTTGTTTTTATTTTGGTGACCTGTTTCGATCTGCAAACTTTGCTTTGCCATAAAATGTGCGGAATATTATGCACCCTTTGCAGAAGAGATGAATTTGCTGAAAAAGCAATTTATGAGAGGCTGGTGCGTATAAAATTTGCACGTTTATTTTAATAACAAATAATAATATGTATTTTTATCATGTTTCAGTTGCCACTTGTCAAGAATGCTATCCAAAGAAGAGGTCCAGATTACTGCAGAGAAGAATGTTTTGAAGTAAATGATTGGAGAGTATGCATGTTTGCTTCCGTCCTGTGGCTTCAAGGAAATGAAATAGCTCAACAACCAAAGATTGATGAAAACAGAAATATTCTATTATGGAATGGAGACATTTTTGGAGGATTACCTGTTGCAGTAATTATTTTTAATCATGTTGATTTAATCCTTTCACACATCATCTTTGCAATCTTTCAGGAAGGCATGAGTGACACCCTTGGTTTGTCAGAAGCGCTGGAAGCAACTGGAGGATCTCACGAACAAATCCTCCAAGTCTTAAGCTCCATTCAAGGACCTTGGAGTTTCATCTATTGGTGCGAAGATAAAAAAGAACTCTGGTTTGGAAGAGATGCGCTCGGCAGACACAGCTTATTGTGGAATACTAAGTCGCAGAACTCGTTAGTGGTGACTTCAATTGGAAAACGTGGATACGACTTAGAAGAGGTTCCAGCTATTGGATTATTTGTTGGCAATATCTCTGATGAGAATTTTAATCTCAAACTGTACCCTTGGCATACAACAGAAATTCGTGCTGCTGTCCAAACTTTTCACTTGGAAAAGATTTTGAATTTAAGAATTTCTGATGATGTGAAAGTGGTCTCGAATTACTGCCCAAGTACTCTTCAAGTGCCTGCTGAATATGACAACTTCATCGGCCTAATCAAGGACTATGCCAATCAAACTAAAGAATTTGACGTCAAAACGTTTTATGAAGTTCTTCTGACGGAGCCAAAAGTGAAATCCCGTGTAGAAAGATTAATCTACGAGTTGAAATTAGCTGTTGACGTGAGATGCAGATTCCAACCTGTGAAATGCAAAACTTGCGTAGGTATTTTAAGAAAAAATTATATGCAAATATTTTTAAAATTATTTTTAGGCCTCTAGTCGAATAGCCCAATGCGAACACTCCACCGTGGCTGTTCTATTCTCTGGTGGGCTGGACTCGACACTCATAGCCGCTCTAGCCTGTGCATCTGTTCAGCAAAACAGGAGCATTGACCTCATCAATGTCTCCTTTCCCTATTCACAACCAACGTTCTCATCAAAAAAGAAACAACCTGCAGATCCGTTTATAAATGTTGGAGAGAAGATTATACCTGAAGAGCTACTCATAAAGACTGATCCTAACTACGAAACCCCCGATAGAAAAACTGGGAAAGCTTCTTTTGCAGAATTGTCAAAAATCTTCCCAACAACTAAATTAAATTTTATTGAGGTATACTGATATTTAGAATTACTGAGTTATCAAGATATAAAATGTTTCATTTATGCAGGTCAACGTTACTAAAGATGAGCTCATAGAAAACAGAAACAAGCATATTGCCGATCTGATATATCCACTTAAATCAATTTTGGATGACAGCTTGGGGTGTGCCTTGTGGTTCGCTGCAAGGGGAAAAGGCATCAAGCATAATTCAACCGGACAAATTGTTTCGCGGGAATACACATCAACAGCAAATGTATGGGATAAGTATTTTATTTTTGTTAACATCTTTGAATCTAGATTTATCAAAAAAAAAAAAAAAAAAAAAATACAAAGCACTAGTAGGTGTGTTTTTATAACACTTTGGTTCCTTTATCAGATCAGTGTGCCATTTTTTCTGTTTTTACTACATATTTATTAAATATTGGCCCAAATGTGTATAAATAAATAGAGATGCTTAATTTTAATTTTCTTGTTCCAGATTTTGCTGCTTGGAATGGGAGCTGATGAGCTGTTAGGTGGTTACTCAAAGTATCGCAAAGACTTTGGAAAAAAAGAAGACTGGTTAAAAATAGCAACCTTATTAGCCCATGATTTAGCTGTGATACCCTACAGAAACCTTGGAAGAGATGACCGAGTTGTCAGTGATTCAGGTAGTAAAACAGAAATAAAAACAATGTAAAAATTAATTGTTTAAATTCTAGGACGTCAAGCCCGCTACCCATTTTTGTCGGAAAATTTTGTGCAGTTTATCGCAACGGTGCCAGCATATCTTAGGACTGCTCCATTTGGCTTCTTGCCCCTTGGAGTTGGAGAAAAATTGCTTCTTCGCTTGGCTGCATATAGTATAGGACTGCAAGTGTCGTCGACAGCTCCAAAGAGGGCTTTGCAGTTTGGCTCAAAGATTGCTGGGCTGGAGGGCAAAAGCGAGCAGGGTCATAATGTTTGTCCAAGACTGTTACTGCCAGAGTGAAATTTATATCTGCTTTTAAAAGATTTAATTAAAAGAAAAAAATTGAAACGTTTCAAGTTGAAGAATTTTATTGTTTAAAATCTTTTTGCAATAAGTGGAGAGAGAAAAAAAGGGCTCATACAAATTACTGCCCAGAGCATTAGTGCGCCACCGTTCTTATGCTAATCTACAGGTGGCTGAAACAGCACCATAAACGATAGCGCAACTTTGCGCTGACGCCATGGCGGCAAGGAGGTCACAAGTTAATTGCTTTTCATCTGCAGTGCCCCTGTAAGGTTGGCAATGGCTGTCTGGATTGGGGGTGTACGTTAACCCGTTGACGAGCCATCCGAATGGACAGCAATTCTCACGATGGCATCAGTAATTTCTTGGAAGTTGCCGTGCAAATCGTGCAGGCAATTCGCGGCAGTCGGCAATTGATCACGAATGCACGTGCCGCCGCAAAGTCTGCTTTGCTCCGTTGGCAGCACTGCATTCTGCGATGTCACGCCCTATTTTTTACCCCTCTGCATCTTGCGTTCATTTCTTCTGTCGCCTGTCGCGCCCAGCTTTATCCCGGCCCCACCCAATATAACATATTGTTGAAAAACATCTTGAACTCTCTTGTCCACAACCCGCACGCTTTTCTTAATCAGCAGTCCTCCTCCGCCACCTGCCGAACGTCCGTTGCGAGTGGAATAGAGTGCATTCACTGTCCTGCAGCCGCCCCCGGAAACAGACACCGTAGTGTGCACACCAAGCAGCCACCACCACAGACACCCACCCCGAGACGCGCCACCCAGACCTTGGGCCGAGCAGAGCGAACCATGAGTGAATCTGACTGGCAGTAAGTGAGTCTCTTTATCTGCGTGCATAATCATATGCCACTTAAGTTTTTAGTTAGCCAACAACCGTCCGCCTGCCATTACGCAAATTCACCTCTCCGCGCTCCTCTCGTGTATATAGCGCAATGACAGGCAATCGTTCGCGCGCCCACCGCATTTTCGCGTTCTTGACCTGACCGTTCGCCAGACCCTTTCGGCCGACGCCGTGCGCTTGCATTTCGGGCGTTTGTCATTTCGCTGCAATTCCGCAGACGTAAGGTGAGCAGAGCCCCCTGATTTGCCCGACCGTCTATATACTGCAGGTATTGATTTGTCGCTGAATGGCGTACGTACGTACACACTCACTTGCGTAAACAACGCCCTTAGCCGAATTCAACCTTAATCGCGCCCAACGGCTCCGGCAAAGGGTTTATTTTGCTTCGCCCACCATTCCAAGCCAATCTGCGTTCAATTTGATCGTCAAAACGCACTTCGGGCGCGAGCATAGTCGGACTGTCTGTGGTCACCAAAATGGCTCGCCTTTTGCGATCTGACCTTTAGCTTTTGTTGCCGAGGGAAAAGTTTCATATTATTCTCGTGCAGAGTGGAATTACATTGGCGGTTGAACGGAGACGAGAGCGGAAGGCTCCTTATCTTATCAGCGAACTGTTATTAAAAACGTGTCGGCGAACGACGGTGCTCCTTGGTGCCCATTATCGCAGCGAATTAATTTCTCAGCGGCGGGCATAGCCAGAGTGGTGAGACAACCGCAAAGCAACCACTTAATTAGTTAATTATTTTGGCGGTGGGCAATTATAGCGTTTAGTCCTTCCGAATATATCATATGCATGCGAGAGAGAGATATTATCGGAGATCTGCATTATTGGCGAGCGAGCGCGGGGGAAATCAGTCGGCGCTGAAAGTAGGCCAGTGCATTCTCCACAGACGGAGAACAAGAAGAAAGGTATTATTAAGAAGTAGCACCTTCGGGCGAGCAGTGAGCGTTTGTTCGGGACGCTCTTTCTCTTTCTCTCTCATTCTAATCCATCCGCGCGGGTCGCGTTTGTGAACAAAGCGTCACAGTTGGCTGGAGGTCGAAGGATGCGATCCAATATCAAGTGTCACTTTCAGCAAAGCCAACCAAGCGACCGACCAACCCCTTATTTCTCACCAGCCGAGCCCGAGTAAGAACAGAGTGTGTAATTCAATCTAATCCTTAAGAAAATCAGCAGGCAGCACAGATTTTCCGCGTACGCACTGCAATATTAACATTATTATTTTTTTTTCTGCCCTCCATTATTATTCATTTTTTTATTTTTATCTTGGTCCGCTTCTCGTCTTCTTCTCCTCCGCCGACGACCATTGTGGCGCAGTGCAGACTTTTGAATGTGTGTGTGTTTAGTTAGTTGGTCGCCGCCGCCGGCCAGAGCCACACAGCCGCCGCCGCCGCTTCTTGCTTTGCTGCAAATGTCGCGCACTAGCAGCAGCACCAGTGCAGAGTCGTCGTCGCCAGCCTGCCTGACTGCTTGTGAGTTCCTCCTTTTTCGCCCTTTTTCCGCCGCCGTCGCCGCCGTAATTAATGGCATGCAAGTGGGCTGTGCAAAAGAGCAGTGCACCCACTAAGGCACGTACCACACACACCACCGGGGTAATTGCCAGCATTCTTACTTATGTATGTGCTCTGGGGCGCGCTGGCACCACTCGGGGGCGTAATTCTCTGGATTTCCCGTCATCTTTTCCTGGAAGTAAAATCGAAAAATCGCGTCCAATCTTTCCTTGACGTCAGCCGACAAATATAGATTCACTATTTTTTTTTATTATTTGACAGAAGAACCATTTTCAAAAAGGGTTAAATAAATATTGCCGAGATTGACTTAATTTATTTATTTTATTTTATTTATATGAATCGAGCAATCTTGCGCGGATAGCTTTTTATTGTTTTTGACTTGCGAGAATATTGTGATCAATCTTAATAGAGTATTATTATTACTGACTTTTTATCTTCATACCACTTTGCTTACAGTTTTTTTTTAAATTAGCTTCTAAATTTTTATCATCGGTTTCTGGCGGTTCTTTTTTTTAATGTCAGCTGACCTCTGCTATTTTTGTTTAAACCCTTCTTCTCTGTTTTTCCACATTTTTATTTTTATAGTGACTAGTGACTCGAAAGGAATAATAATCTCTTAACCTCAAACTCCACAATTTGACATTGGAGTTTTCAAGGCTTACAATGCCACTTATTAAAAATGAATATTTAAAATAAAAAATAAAATAGTTCCGTAAAAATTGATTCCTAAATGATAGTTACATAAGTTTTTTTTCAATAATTTATGATATTTTTCGTTCACTTTTGGTTTTTCCCATTTCGAAGTAATTCAAAGTACATTGGTGGATAAAGAAATGTTCATAACTTTTGCAACACTGCTTGGTCGAGCGTGCGTTCAGTGATATCACCTTATCAGTAAACCGCTGCCTGACGAATATGTAATGTAAACATAATATATTTTTACAAATATAATTTATGAAAATGTCTCAATCTTTCTTGAAATAACTAACAATTATTTATTGTTTTTATTTTTAAATTAATTTATTTCATAAATTTGGCCAAACATGTTAATTTTTTTAACAAAAAGTTTTTATCTTGATGGTTTCTTTGAGCTCCAGTGTGTGTTCGCAAAAACTTTGAAATTCTCTTTGTCGCTGCCAAATTGAGATTTTTGCGCTTTTCGCAAAGTATTCATGAGCATAAATTTTTGCACCGTTTATTTACCTTGGTTTTGAATAGGCGTCGTCAGTACGGAGGGAGCGCATAAAGGAGTCGGTTTTCCCTCTTGCAAACAGCCCTTCGCGACGTCAACCCTTTAGAAAAATTTTTGCGCCCGAGTGCATTAGAGGCGGCAGCCGGTTTTTATTACTCCAATTTGACGACGAGCGTGTGTTTGCTGTCGGTGCAAGCGCTTATGCGTGACGCAATTATTTTAATGCGAACGACGAATGAATTTGCCCTGCGTGTGCACTCCACATACATGCATACATATCTCGTCGTCCGAGCGAGCGAGCAAAGCGGGGGTTTGAATTATTTACTCGAATTTCAGGGCGGGTGCGCACATTTTTATTACTCGCCAGGCTGTGGTGGCACAAGTGCGAGTTTGTTTTTGCTCCCCGAGTCAGCAAAGCGCTTCCTTATCAAAAGAGGTGGAAAGGTCAAGTGTGCGCTCATTTTCGCAATTTATCTTTCTTGTGTGCGCGCGGGAGAAGCAGCAGTCATAAATTATTGGCTCTATGTTTTGAATTTAAAATGTCCTTTATCACTGTGGTGGGGAGACAGAAACTCCCTCCATTCGGGCCGATTTTCGATGCTGCGATTAATTTGTGGCCTCGTTTTTAGACAGGCTGCTCCCTGAATCGTGGAGGGTGGCACGCTATTGTGTAAACACCCGAGATAAAAAAAATTTGCCCCTTTTTCACTGTAATATTTTTTTTCTCGGAAATTAAGCTTTTAATTGCGTATTTTGTTCATCCAATAAAAATTACTAAAATTCAAAGATTATAAGAAATACATCTATCCATTTATTTTTATTTTCCGTGTTTCTTTTGAAAATTCCAAGGAATTCTACAAAACAAATTGAACTATTTTATAGAAAGTAAATTTTCCAGTTCAAATAAACATATTTTAATAATTTATTTTCAGCTTCTAGGAAAATGATAAAATATCTGATTTTCCTACTTTTCGTTAAGTTACAAATGCTTCTATGTGAAATATGTCAGGAAATGCCAATCAGTGTGGTAAATTTAACTGATACGGCGAAAAGGAAAATTTATCAGTGAAAACAGCGGTCTGCCCTTCCGGCCCCTGTTTTTTGTATCCAGCTCGATAACGTCCTACAAGAGCCATGTGCTATCGGGAAAAAGCTTGCTGGCGTTTTTTACGCTTTGCATATCAGAAGCACTTTCGATTCACCTAACAGAGTTAATTACACAAGTTGTCCGCGCAGACGAATTAAAGCTCCAAAAGTGCCGTCGGGATTTTAATAATAATGCAATAAAAGGCGACGAGACGCGCTTTTTAACACCTCCGTAATGAAGACACGAATTTTCACATTTTCCCACGGCGTGAACGAGATTCGTCGCAATATCTTTTTTTTTTTTGTACACACAAGGACAATGATGTAGTGAGTGAGGGCCGCGTGAGAGGCATTGCGGCACTGCAGACGTTTGTTTTCTGCATTATTAATCGTTTAATCCAGATTTTTTAGGTTCGCTGCCGGGCAGAGAAAAATACAAAGCAGCTCGAATAAGAAGAGGAAGGAGTCGCGCGCGCATTGTGTATTCTGGCGTCTGAACAAACTATTATGGCTTCCAAGCCGTATTTTTATGCACTGCACACAGGCCGGCCGAGTAATACGAGCGAATATAAAAGTTGTAGTATAATTTGAAAAGTTTATGGCGTTTTTGAGGCTGTGCGCTCGCTTGGTGCGCGTCGCCGACCTGGGTGCATGAATTTAAGTAAATAGCGAGCGCGCCTAGCTCACACGTAGGACTCCCTCGCTCGCTCTCTCGCTCGGGTTGGCACTCGGAATAAAAATAATATATTTTATGGCTTCATCCCGCGAGGAAGCCGGCGGGGAAGGAGTTTGGCCGCGTCCCCGGAAAGATGATACAATTCTCTGAATATTATACATTTGTGCCGCTCCGCCTAATTAGTTAATGGCTGCAGCAGTCTCTCTGTTATGCTGGGAAATTGAGCGCGCGCGCATATAAAACACAATCTGCCAATTAAGCCACTTAATCTAATCACTCGTGCCGGGCCAGGCCCGGAGAACAATGCGCCACACAGATGGGGGACAAAAAAGAGGTGCTGAAGTGAGATTGTCGCCCCCCTTTAATCAATGGCAATCTGCCTGCTTTTCCTTCGAGAGGAAAACCTACACTTGGCGCAATCAATAATCAGTGCTCTTCTTTGAAGGGCTTTCAGCGGCAGGTGCACTTGTGACGAAAATCATTTTTATAATAACCTAAACGATGACTGACGGCAAGAAATTTCGTAAAATGCCTGAAATGGGCCAAAGTAGGCAAATTCTCTGCAGACGGATTCGGCGGGATGCCTAAATCAAAAGGCTTTGGCCGCCTGAAATGAGACCAAAAGCGGCAATGATTGTTTAAAAAACGATCAGCTCAAGACCATCGAACCAATTTTATTTCAATCAGAGGTGGTAAATTGAGAATTTATAATACTAATTATACTAATAATTATTATTGCAAAAATTCATGGCTAATGGATATTAAATTATTTTGCTTTAAGATTAAGTTCAGCGTGGGGTATAGTTATAAGTAAAAAATATTATAAATTAAATTACAATTTTAGTTTTAATAGGAAATATGAACACGCTAAGTTGGCAATTCTCTTAAGCTTCTACTTTTCATGTGAATATCATTCATTATTTGTAAGATTTTTCTAAAAAATAAAAACACAATTATTAGAGTGGTTAACGATATAAAATGAAATTTTTATAAGAATTACAAAATGGCTTAGGAAAATTGAAGCCGAAAATTTTGTGTAATTAATTTTAATATTTTATTCAATATTAATAGAAACAATTAATTTTTTCAAAAATAAAACCATTATTGGTTAATGCAGCGTCCTTTTCTTTAGGTACAAAGGTGTCCAAAAATTGGCAATCGTTGTGTCATTTTTTTTTTAATACCATTTCTTCATGTATACACTGCCTTAAATTTTGAATTGAAATTTTGCCTATATAGCTGGTTGCTGCACATACTCTGAAAATAGATTACTAAATCAAAACATTCGGAGCGGAAACTCTAGGCGACAAAAAATTCTGTCAAAACCGCAGGCTGCCGACGCAACGTCGCCATAAATATAGTGGTGGGTAGTAAAATGCATACATGGGTGCGCTCAACAATTTTGCGCTCGCGCTCGCGCTCGCGATCACTGGCAACAGTGCGCTCGCGCTCTGCGCTCGCGCTCAAGATTTTGAAAATGTTGCGCTCGCGCTCTGCGCTCGCGCTCATTTTTTTAAAAAGTCTTGCGCTCACGCTTTGCGCTCAAAAATATTTTTACCCGAAGAAAAAGTGCGACTTTTTAGGCAATTTTTTAATATAAAAAAAAATCCATCGGTTATTGAAAATGATAAAGTTGAAGTTAAATTACAAAAATTGGGATCAGTTTTGAAGTTTTTGGTATAAAAACACTGTTTTTCGTTACAATTTTTGATCAAATTTGGGAATTTTTACTTTTGGTTTGAGCGCAAAATGAGCGCAATTGAGCGCTGCGCTCAGCGACCAATGCGCTCGCGCTCTGCGCTCGCGCTCACGATTTTGAAAATCGTGCGATCGCGCTCTGCGCTCGCGCTCATGAGCGCAGAGCGCGAGCGCAGATCGCAGAGCGCAAAGTGCGCTCTGCCCATGTATGGTAAAATGTGTCAGGCTTGCTACTCACTCACTCACATGCGTGCATGTATTTTAATTGGATTGGGTTTTGAAAAAAGAAGTGTTATCGTCCGGCGAACTCGCGACTCTCTGCTGGTAAACACCGCGGCTCCCGACTTCCGGCGATACGGAAAGTTTTCCCGGCGGCTCTCTGCACTCGCCCGCTTGCTTAATTCGACCGGAAAATTATATCTACGACTACATAGTGGGCTGAGTGAGTGCTCGCGTACATGCACAAGCGCGTCTTGCCGGCCATAATTCGTGTGTGCGCGGCGCCAGACTGGCCTCCCGCACCACCCGATCGATCGCTTTTTATTGCTTTGAAATCAAATTAATTATTTCTCGTGCGCTGTGTTTGCCGGCCGAGGACGGAAGCAAGGGTTGCTGCAGACCTCTTTCTTTCTTTCTCCATTGCGGGTAATTAGAAAAATTGATTTTATCCATCACGCCGCTCGTTCTTTCTCTCACTCGGAAGTCTGCCAGCCAACTTTTGCCACGGCATCTCCAGCAGCAGCAGCGTGTTTTGCTCGCGATCCATCGACACTTTCCGACGCCGCCGAGCCTCGTGGTTTATTTAACCAGGCTCACGAAGGGGCGTTTTCAGCCGCAGTGGTGCCCGTCCGTTTCGAGTTACCGGCCAACTCCTATTCCGTCGTACTTTTCCGACCCAGACTATCCTAATGGGCATTGTTACATGGCTAGTTTTCGCTTTTATTACCATCCACTCGACCTTGTCACAAACAACCTTTGAGAAGAATTTGACACTCGGCTGCTTTACACAATGTAATCGTAATCCTCAAAATTCAACGTAATTAAGAAATTTTGCAAATTGCTATAAAAAAAGTATTGAAAATTTGGTTTCATAAATTCTTTCAAATCTGGTTTGTGATTTAATTATATTGAAGTATTCCTCGGTTGCATCTGTATAATATATAGCCCTTTGTAATTTGGAATTATTTCAAATTATTTAGAAAATTTCCTTTTTTTTCAATTCATAAATTAAATAAGAAAATTGCAAAAAATAAAATATTTAAATAGAAATATAAAGTAGCAGCATGACGTCTAAAAATAATTATAATAAGTAGCACAAAAATTAATTGAGACTGACGGTTGTTAGCCGAGTTTGCTCGTTAAACCGGAAGTTTAATAAATTCAACTTGATTATTCCAAATCACGCTCCCATGCTTTTGTCGCAGTACTGACGAAGAAGTGCATTAATTATCGTTGAACCTGATATTTCTGCGGGAAAATAATTACCCAAAAAGCATAATAAGTAATAATATCAATGCAGAGCTTAATTATGGAAATGCAAACAGCTTGTAAAGAAAAGACAAACAGCAAGACGCGTGATACGTGATATGTATGTCATGCGGATTACCTGCATTAGCCCACAATTTTTTTTATCTGATTTGCCATCGTGTCGCGGCATCGATTCTCCTCTCAACACACCAATTATTCAAAGCGAAGAGGCTCTCTCTTTTTTTCCGACTATTTGGATTCGGGAAATCCGCGGTATAGCGGTATAAATAAAATATAAGTCGGTCCCTTGACCAAGTCGTGTCTGTCGGGCAGCAACAATTTCTCCTCATTTCAATACGAAATCAGATCGCCAGAATTTTGAGTGGATTGATTCGCATCGATTGCTGCCTCGCGTCCGACAAAGGCAGCCGAGGAAGACAGAGTGCACGTAACGCTACACATGAGACACACGTAACTTGCCGGAGGTGCGCATATCGATTCTTGGGCCAGGGAGGAAAATTGTCGGTATTTGGGCGAACACGCGCCGAACCAAATTATCTCGGGGTGAGCGACTTCAAAAGCCGCACGATTTACCGTCTACGCCGCTTATTTATAAGCTTGAATTTTTTAGTTTATTATTCTACCTTTCTGTAAATACAACCTTCTTTTCAATTAAAATAATTTTTTTACCAAATTTATCAAATTGGAGCCCAAAAAATTGTTAATAAATTTTTTCTAATTTTTTCCAGATTGCTACAAAAATTACAATGAAAAAAAATTTTAAAAAGTAAATTTTTGCACCAAACTATTTTTTACACTACTTAAATAAATAAATAATCTAAAACTTCCAAGATTAAAATCACGCCCTTTGCCTCAGTGAGCCTTTTTCCTGGGAAATTTTTGAGATTAATATCATATAAAATTAAATTTGGACTTTTAATACAATTTAGTTTTTGAAATCATAACAAGATGAATGAACGTTGAATTTTAAAGAGAAGAAAAATCCTTTCTTTTAAAATAATGCAAATAAAACAATTTTACTAAAAGATTGAACTATAAAAAAAAATTGAATTAATCCATCCTACAATAGCCCATGTTTAAAAACACACCACTTGCGATGTACTCAAATGGAACGTGTCTAATGTCATTTCTTTTGAGGACGAGTTGGCCGGATGGTAAACGAAGCGATGTCAAGCCGCTCATTGAACGACGTCTATTTAAAAATGGGAGGAATATTTTTGAAAGTATTAAAAATACGCTCGTGTGCCAAAGATTCTCTACGTAACGTTATGGAAATAGAATATTAATACGCATGAGTCGAAAATAGCCGCGCGCCGCTCTCGCACTCTGGCGCGGTCGGTCGTCTTGGTCGTACTGCCGCTGCCTATCCTCGTTAGGCTGCCGCGAGAAGAATTTCACGCCACGCGCCGCGCGTAATTTGTCCCGATCGCGAAATGCTCGCCATTTATCACCCAAGACTCATTTCACTTTGCGTTTAACGACGAGATGCATCGTCTTTATTGTCTCTGGGCCGCCGCTTTATTGGCCGTAAATCGGCGGCGCGTGTTGTGACACACGCAGGTATTCATTTCGGCGGTCGCGCCTCCCTTGCCAGAGCCAATGGCCCGTGCCCCCGAAAATAACTCAAAAACGCCCAAGCGGGCCACTAATGGAATTGTCCGTTTGGTTTCAGGAAATTTCGGTTGTCGTGCCATGCCACAAATCTGGAGTTGCCCAAGAAGATCTGCATTCACTGAAGAAGCTTCGCCTGCAGCCAGCCAGAAAGCCATTTCAGCGAAATTGCCAGCCACAGCAGCAGCAGCAGCAGCAGCACCTGTTTCTTGTGATACGGAAAGGTTGGCCAAATCTTTCTTGTGAGAAGCCATGATTTTTCTTATAAACACATGAAAACTAGTCAATGTCCTCTATGAGGTGGATTTGTGCCTGAATTTGAGCTCCATAAATGGTCAGCGAAAAGAATGCCCATTCTAAACACTACAGCAATCAGCATCTCGTTTAAACAATAATCGCCAACAAAAAAAAAAGTAAGAAGAAGAAGAAACCAAGGACACTCACACAACTTGAAAAACAACTCTGAAGCGAGGCGGGAATGTATTTCCACTAGTATTGTGATAATCTTAGTTTTCCCGATATCTATTTTGCATATACAAACAACAATTTTTGTATTGTGATGACTTTCTGTATAAGCTGCATTTTTTAAATTTTTAAGCAAGCCATGCGAGTTTTTATAAGTATTTGTTACAACAAACAGCGCGGCGGCCACCACCTCTCTGAGTTTCACTGACTCGGAGACCTCAACACAACAAAACAATCAACTGCAACTTTTTGTGTGACCAAAAACAGTTGTTGCAAGTGTCGGGAGCTCGACTAAGAAGACGACAACGAACATGGCGATGGTAAACATGAACAATCTCCTCAACGGAAAAGACTCGAGGTGGCTGCAGCTGGAAGTGTGCCGTGAGTTCCAGCGGAACAAGTGTTCAAGGCCGGACACCGAGTGCAAGTTCGCACACCCCCCTGCCAACGTGGAGGTCCAGAACGGGCGCGTCACCGCTTGCTACGATTCAATCAAGGTGAGTCATTTCATTAGCCACTTTCATTGCGCGGCTCACGCCAACCAACAGCCCCTCTAAATGGTGAGTTGCTCCGGTCAATCAGAAAAGAGATTCCGCTTCCAAACTTCGCTAGGGGAATAATTATATATGCATGACAATAAGTAAAGGAACCTGGGTATATTGTACCGGTTCTTAAAAACAAGGAATTGGCAGTAGATTTTGCAAAATAATAATTTCATATCCAGCACCATGATTTAAGTAGAAATCAGTTGATATAAAGTTGAACTTTTTCATGTGATAAATTTTTTATGGAAAATGAGCAATTAAGCCATGCATTTCTTAAAGATCAATGTAGTGAGGAAGTTGTAGTAAAAATATTCGCTATAGAAAAGGTAAATTACGAAGAAAAAATGTTAAAAAAATATGTTTGATTTGAATCTACCGAATAGTAAATAGTAAACCTGGTACAAAAACTTGAGACGTTAATATAATAATTTTTTAAACATTCTGCTCTTATATTTCATGAAATTAGAGACTGCATTCAAAACGTTTCAGAGAGCAAATTTTTTATATTGTGATATTAAATTATTTAAGTGTACTGCTTTACAAATTTTGTTAATGATTGATGTTCAAACAATTACCCTACAACTAATTTTACAAAGTTTGAGATTTTACATATTTATATATTGATGTTTTTCTTTTATTTCTGGATTTCCACACTCCATATTCTTTAATTATTATCTCAATGTTAAAAAAAGTTACTTCATATAAATTGTATCCTAAATTTACGTGCAGGTAACGCTCAAATATTAATATAGCCTTGGAACAATTCCCCTAGCTACTCTCTTGTGATTGGCCGGAATAACTCGCGTTTTTAATGGAACAATTCCCCGCTGGAACAACTCACCCCTCTTAAATAATAATAATAATTGTGCCCACGAGATGAGCTGGCCGGGGAGACCACTCTTCTTTCTTCCACCGATTGCCCGCACGCAAAAAGCGGTAAAACAAAACCAAAGAAACAGGTTGCCCGAGAGTGGAGAACCGGTTCCTCTCTCTTGGTCTTTTTGTCCCTCTCGGTTAGGCCGGCTGGCCCAATGCAGACGTGTTCGTTATGGCAGCACCGACGCCATTCGGTGCACTGCAATTTTGTAAAAAAGCTGATTGCCTTACTCTCAGCAACTTTCCTTTTACGTACTCAATACCCCGGCATCAGGAGGACAAGAAGTGACTCTCGCGCTCGATTTCGTGCAGCGGCTCCTTAGCTTGTTTTTCGAGCATTGTCTGTCCCGTCGCGGTTTTTCGCTCGGCCCCGCCGAGCCACCGCAAAAATTTATGCAAAACGGCTTGCTTGCGACCTGCTCCTGTGCGTCCTCTCTAGATTGCAAAATCGATTTCCAATCCACAGCTCTTGTTGGATTTGAACCTTAATTCGATTTCAGACGCTCTATTTCCATCCGCCGGCTAATGCGGGTTTATTGCTGATTTTCAGCGCGAGGCTAGATTGCTAACTTTTTGAGGTCAACAAAAGTTAAAAGCCTTCGTGACCACAAAATCGTGTAATCACACTGCTAGGCAGCGTCTTTTGTTTTTTCTTTAACTTTAATCAAAGGGCTGAAATAAGGGGTGTCGTTTTCACGAAAGGTGAATTAATCCAAAAAATTATTATTTCAATCAAACTGGAAATAATTTCATTTTATTTAGAAACCAAGAGTCCCCTAAATCTCTTCGCGGTGACGCATCTGCCTGTAATTAAGTTATAACAACTGCTGGGGGAACGTCAAGCTTTTTATCCCCGGTGATATTTAAGCCGCAAGAAAATTTAACGCATTTTAGTTTCGACGCCAAGAAAAAGTGGGGCCAGGCCGAAAGTTTGAATGGACGGCAGGAGGAAGTGGCTTTTTCTACCCCTGCTAAAATTAATTTCGATGTGTAAGCACGAGGCTTTTTATTTAATTCGCCGACCGCGCACGCACTCCAACACATCTCTGGCAGGAGAGTTAGTTGCAAGGGACACGACAAGATGAACGGCATTTTCAAGTGGCCTGGGCTGCTAGAGAAATGCTGCTGCTGTTTTATTAATTCGCCTTCCACATTCATTACTGCCGAATACACCTGGCTCTACACGAGCTAGCATGCGCGCCAGCGAGCTACATTTTATTAAAATACATAAGCCCTCTCTCGTGTCTAAGGCTTCGCAGCGTACAAAGTTATTCTTGGTGGGACCCTTAGAAATGACACACGGCACCACCATATTGGGAGGCCCAAATAAATACAAAACCTCGACGGGATGACAGACGGAGCGGGCAAGCAAGCAAGCCAGCGCGCTCCCCCTGCACACACACACCCGCAATAAAGTGAAATTGATCGAAACTACCTCCAATGTTTGCCTCCGACAAATGAAAACATCTGCTACTTTATCTCAATTTGCGTTGAAAAAACAAAATTAAATCTCGAGAGCCTTCGTTTTTGTCCTTTTTTTACAAAGCTGTTTTCTAATTTATTTATTTATTGAAACGATTTAATTTTCAGGGCCGATGCAACCGGGAAAAGCCACCATGCAAGTATTTCCACCCTCCACAGCACCTGAAGGACCAACTCCTGATCAACGGGCGCAACCACTTGGCACTGAAGAACGCCTTGATGCAGCAAATGGGGCTGGCCCCAGGACAGACCCTGGTGCCAGGACAGATGCCTGCTTCAGCCGTGGTAAGATGGCAACATCCTTTGTCTTGATATTTATACTGACTTGCTGTTTTTTTTTTCTCACTTTTTAATACACCGGAATGGTTTGTGTAGTGCCAAATTTTAATTGAATGTTTTCTTTTTTACTTGTGTAGGCTGGTAATGCTCCCTTCCTGGGTATCCCTGCTCAGGTGGCTGCTGCAGGTTCCTTCTCCCCTTTTTATACACCAGGTTCCTCTGTCCCCACTGGACTACTTCCTGTAATACCTGCTGATAACTCTGCCTCACAGTTGGCAGTCATGCCTCAGGGCGTCACTGGTCATCAAAAATTAGCTCGATCAGATCGTCTTGAGGTAAGATTTTGCATTCTCTCTACCAACTAATCAAATTTATTACCACTAACTTACTACATAAGCCAATGCCTGTCTAATGGGATGATAAAAATAACTTCTCTTGCATGCAACTTAAACCAACCGTACAATTAAGTTTAAGGGCTTTAGTTTCATCGGTATGGTTTCTCTTTCTAACAATTAGTTTCGTTTTTCGGCTGACTACTTCTTGATGGTTTGTTTTATTAATGTCGAAAAATATATTTTGGCCAACGTGCATTCAAATGAAACCGATAGTCAAAAAACTAATCAAAATTCTTATTTAAATAATTTTGATAATTATTATTTTTGCAATAAATTTTAAATTTATGCATATTGCCACCCACATTTTGGCAAGTATTGCAATGAAAAGTGTGCGTCACGAGCATTAGAATTTTGGCTGGCAGTCTCATTTGAATCATTGGGCTCTATTTCTGACCCCCGGCGAAATAATAAAGCTTTCTACACCGAGTTCTCTTGTGTTTGTTTGCTTGCGCTGCTTTGTCTGCTGGATGGCTACGGAATGGGACGCTGCTTAAAAAAATTGGTGTGCCGCTTGGCTGTGTCGAAAACTCTGCATGTAATACTCTCACTTTACCCCGCCAATTAAAAGACTGCATCAGCTGCTGACATTGCATTGCCCAACTCAGATTCCAACCCTGTAATTCACCAGAGCTCAGATAACGCATTCCAAATGTTGTCTGCTGAAACTAAAGCAAATAGAAAGCGACCTGCACCGCAGTCTGCACCACTTGCAGTCCTTAACGCTGGATTGCCAGAGGATTCCCTACAAATGGTACACACACACCTCCCAATGATAAAGTTTGGCGCCGACTCCTTGCGGTGCCACAAATCACCCACGATGGACACCCTCTGGATCCAATCAAACGACCCCCGCAGGGGATCACTTCGATCTGCCTGCGCTCAATATAACTTAATGAAAGACAGGAAGCATTTCGTGCGAACAGGGGCATTTCTCTTTATCCCATTTTTTTTTTGTCGGGCAAAGCAGTTTTTCTATCTTGGGCTCTTTGCGGTGTAGACCGCATTTTTCCTTATACTTTTAATTTCTTCGGGAAGAATATCTTTTTTTAACTCTTTTGTGTTGGGATTTTTCGCATGAAACTTAACTAACTTCCTTTTTCTTGTGTGACATTCTTTTGATACTCCTTGCACTTTTAACTGAATGAGCAATGCGGTATGAAATGTTTTGTTTTTGGAAAGCAACGCGCCAGTAAGCTTTAAAAAAAGTTTTTCCCGAGACAGTGAAATTTTGGGTGGATGAAAACTTATTGGAGCATGAAAGCAAGGCCCAACCCTTTTAAAGAAGTTCCTTACTTTTATCTGCGTGCCGTTGTCTAATCAATGCTGCTCACGATTTTTAGGTGGACGTGAAGTCACTGGGCAATTTTTACTACGACGTAAGTAATGCGGTAGAAAAGCAGCTCATCGAAAACTAACCGAGCCCCTGGCGTCTTTCCGCAGGCATTTACCGGAATGGCCGTTCCTTACAAGAGAGCAGCCACTGACAAGTCAGGTGTGCCTGTGTACCCGCAACCAAGTGGAAACACACTTCAACAATTGATGACCCTGCAACAGCAGCCTACTTCGTATATTCCTGTAACGTGTGAGTATTCAAGCAGTACCGGTGGTACCACCAACCCGCAGGCCTCTTCCTCCCATGTTACTACAACAAGCACCACTGCTTCTGCCTTGATGATCACAAACTCTATGGCCTCTGTTTCCTCCTCCGCATCCTTAACCCCTTCCGCAAGCACACCTACGTTGGCTACTAATTTCCCTCTGGTCAACAATACCGATGGACCTGAAGAGAGTAAAAACCCCTCACCCTCACTGTTGCCTCAGTCTTTCATTGAAAACAGTCTGCAACAGAAGCCAACGGAGAACGGAAACGACGAAACCGAAAACGAGAAAAACAACAATGTAACAGAGACGTGCGACGTCTCTGCCTATTACCAACCAAAAATGTCACAGGCAAGCACAATCACGAGCATTGCGCCTTCCATAAGTCCGATGACTGCCTTGAATTACACGGGGGTTGCTTTGAACAAGCAGATGATCAATCAGACCGCCCGACTGCCGTTCCAGTCCATGGCCGCCGGCAACCAGGCCGCGGCCGCGCAAAACGCCTTTTCGCAGCAACTGCTGATGAGGGCCAACATGAACGCGGCGGCGTCGGGCCAGTCGGCGGCGGCCGCAGCCGCTGCAGCCTCGCAACTCATGCAGCCGACCATGAACATGTCCTACCTGAACCCGTTCATGGCGGCCCAGCAGCAGCAGCAGCGGCTGATGCTGTCGCCGCAGATGCTGAGCCAGTTCGGGATGATGCAGCAGGTTTCGCAGCCGCATGCACACCCCAGCTTCATGCAGCAGGCCCAGCTGCACCACTACCACCCGTACGCGCTGCCCCTGGCGGCCGCCAGCGGCCAGCAGGCGGTCGGCTCCACGCCGCAGAGCGTGGCCGCCGCGGCCCTCTCCTACAAAAAGATGAAGTCGATCTAATCGCTGGGTCCACTCCAATCTTGCCCCGAGACTCGCTCGAGAAAAAAAGTCTTTGCATTTGTGCCATACTATGGTGAACCAGGGGAGGCGGCGGAAGTTGAGTGGCTTTTCCATTTTTTGGCTGACGAAGGCCTTTTAATAGCCAGACCGATGCAAATACACAAATTGTATTTTCGTATTTTGTGAAAAAAAAAATATATGTGACACTCGCATATATGCAACAGTACAAGGGAATGTGAATTGACAAATTTAGTCGCAAAATGCCATGCCCCCGTCAACTCAAGCATACTCGTTTAATTTTTCTCCTCCTGTTTAGTTCCTGCCACTGGCTTGAATCTACCCCTTCCCTTCACTGAATCGAACAGAAACTTAGACTTTAGAATGCTTTGAATGTGCGTACGTAGAAGATAAAGACATAACCAATAGCAGTTAGTAGTTCTCACATTTACCCTAGCTCTATCCTACTCGTGGAAATGAAATCCTATTGAAATGCGTGCAGTCGCAAACTATTTACCTTCCATTGTTAGTGCGCGCCTCATCAACGCCCCCATCCTTTTTACTATTAGGTAACTCACAAAATCCACTACTTTGATTATTTAGGGTTCAAATTTAATCAGTTTCTCTTCCCCTAGTTCCTCCTACTAGTCTATTTAGGAAAGTAATTTTGTGTTTTTAATTTAAATTGTCAAATCGCGTCATTTGCTGCCGTTTTAAAATCACATCCCTCTTCTTTTTTTACATAAAAAAAATTGCATCAGTCCAAATTAACCCAAAAAAATACCTTACACAGGGTAGCTGTGATAATAAAAAGCGACTTCAACTGCAGTCTCGAATCGAAAAAAGGGGAAATTTGCTTTCAAGTACACAGTACACATCATCTGCTTTTTCACTGGACTCTTGAGCTTTCCCTTAAAAATTTGTGCAACAAAATGAGGCGGATCCAATGCTTGTGGAAGGTGGCTTTTGTTGGTGACACACTACTTGCTTGATCGCTTGAATTCCACAGACCGATGTTCGACAGATAGAAATAATTGTATTTTAATAATAACAGCGGGCTAAGAAATCTTTGTTATCTGAATTTCACACGCACTTCTAATATAACATTCAGGAAAAGCAAATTAACTCTCAAGATGCATTTAACGAGACAAATTCCAATGCGCACCAATCACATACTACTTTTGTTTTCTGCTAATAAATGCTTTTAACGATGGTGTTTGACTAAGCATTCGTTCATCAATTGATTACCAAGAGAGCGCAAAACCCTGCAGAGCTTTTAAACAGATTTGATTTCTCACAATGAAATGAGCTGCAGATATAAAAGTGAATCACTACTAAGAGAAGTAACCAGACAAGGCAGATCTCGCATATTTTGCCTTGAATGCTAAGTTGTAGCGACGATGTGAATTTTAGAAACTGAGTAAAATTTTATGTATATGGATTATAACATTATTGTTGTGTAGTCATTAAAAATTATGTGATAAATTCTGTAAAAGAATATGCCGTCGGCGGCATACTAAAATCATTACAAAAATGAGCCAAGTTAATTTTTCGAATTTTTGTTGTTGGTATGAAAATTTTGATTCACATGTAATGACGTTTGTTTATCTTTTAATTTTATTCGTGAAAAGCTTGTTGCATTTGTTGGTGTTAACACTAACTGATAATTATTTTGTTTTGATCTGGACATGCTTTTTATACAAGTAAAAAAGTGATTGAACGTAACAAGAATAAGTCACAGAAACGCAGATATATTTTCTAATACAGACCACAAAAATCAATTTTGATACATGAAAGAAAAAAAAAATGAAAATCGGTCACAAATATAAAGTATTTCCATACACTTTAGGCCTGACGCTTTGATTTGTATTGTTCCTACGTGAACTATATATATATTGTATTGTTAAAAATGTCTCCTAGCATTTTAAGTATAATCTACTAGTTATAATAACGAATGATTTTCACCCGTGAGGAGGCTTGCCGGGAGTTGCGAAGGGCGCGGCCAGTTTCAACAGACGCCAAAATTTGCCTTATATTTTGTGACGCGACACGTCTTATTTTTTACGACAATAATAGAGCAAAATCTGAAACAGCCACTGATGTCTGCCGTGAAACCGCGCTCTCGGACAGTGCCCGTCGCCAGCCTCCAACACTAAAGTAGCCATTTCTCAAATCAATCTACACAGATCGAGATCCTGGAGATCTCGCAATACTCTATGTTCAACAACAATGATGTGTGTGTACATATTATATTGAAACAGTTAATAGATGCAGAAGCAAAAATTTGCCGTAGTTTAATGTAGAGGAACAGAAATTAATTAAAACCGTAGGATGGAATACAATGAAGAAACGCATTCGAATTACAAGTAAAGTAAAGTAAAAAAAATCATGTGCCTCTTGCCTTTTTTCATTAATTGATACTGTCACATGCGTATAATACTACCACGTACAGATATGACATGATGATAACGTATTATTAATATTGTTTTATTTTTACTCGTGTAAGGTAGTACATAATGGAATAACCCTAAGGCCGAACGGCTGTCGTATGGGGCTATCTTGAAGAATTGATGTGATGCAAGAGGATTTGTTTGAAGAGAGCATTTGGTTTTTCACTAAACTAGGCACCAAAACAAATCCCACGTATGGTCAAAAGTCTATTCATTTTAAGCTTAAACGCTGTTTCCTTTGGAAATATGTATATGCTGGGGACTTGAATTTATCATTGGTATAAGAAAAAACACTAATGTGTTGGAAAAAAAGCGGCCCGCGCGGGCTAATTTGATTTCTAATTTGTGACAGTGCCTTTTATTTTGTGATTGTTGATTCAAATAGGCTGCAAAACATACAAACAGATGTGAAAAGATTTTGGAGGAGAGCAAAGTTCCTCGGAAAATTCACACCACACATCATTTCATACAACGCAAAGAAATTTTGTAAAGATTCGGAATGTAAGGTCACTTGGAGTGTTTTGGGTCGGATTTGAAAGAAAAAAAAATGTACGACTCCGAGCGACCAGTTCAGGACTGTGATATCAGAGAGAAATTTTTAAACACTTCTTTTCCATTCCAAGAGGCGACCCCGCCCTAAAATTTGTTAGTCGTATTGTTTTTTTTGTTGAACAAGAAAAGGTTGAAAAATGTCCCCTGCTCTAGACCTTAAAAAAAAACGAATACAGAATCCATGTACTGCGACATGACTGGATCGATTGATGCTACACTTTGCTACCAGCTGCATAGGCCACATAATTACAGTTGTTCATGTATTTGTAGATCACGCTTTGCTAAAAATTGGCACGAGTTCCACTCCTTGAATTAGCTTTTCCCTATTTATATATGATTGCTCTCACTTTGCCCTGATTAATTGCATTTTGACGCACACCAAGGTCAAGCAAAACTACCCTTGTTTGTACAAGACCAAACCAGAACAGTCCTAAAAAGCTTCTTCTGCTCTATATATGATGCAAAAAAAAATGATACCATGCAACCACATTATGACCACCGTTATAGTTCGAGAAGAGTGTTTGTGAAAGCAGAAAAAAATATATATACATTATTATATACAAGTGCCTATCTTAAATAATTATTGTGAAAGTTCGTATATTCGATGCAATTAAGTTGTTGAGGCAAAGTGTTTGATTTGTTTTATTTTCTGAGCTATTGCGTGTTGTTCCTGGTGCTTTAAGCTTTGTTGCAAGTGCATGGGTGAGCCAAAAGGTTCAAGCAAGCTGCTTCCTTAGACGCACACAAAATTACACGCGCGTTAGTGAGAGCGAGTCGGGGCCCGACTCGCTGCTGCTTTCCGAAAGGGCTGCTGGAGCGACTTTTGGCTCGTCCGCACTTGACCATGTCTTGTATCTCGTTTTTCCTTTTGGATGGCCCCAGTATTTTGGAAATAATAATTGCCTGATATGCATGAATATTTGTTTTATTAATGCTTCAAACTCCTAGCTCCATTCTCCTCTTTTTATGACACACAAACCAAGCCGCCGCCCTTGAATTCAAAATTTCAACGTTTTGCCATGCCATCGCCTGGTTGCCAGCAAAAAAAAAATCTGCATGCCATTCTCTGCCAGCCTTAAGTCACGGCAATTTCATTGGCGTCATTTTTTTCTCTCTCTCTATCTCATTATTTTATTCATTGTGATACTCTTTATTAGCAGTAGCTTTGTTGTCCAGACAACTGATTGTGTGTTTCGCTGTAAATATATGGCGAGAAAAAAAACTGCAACCAGGCAATGGCACGGCTGACGTGTCTTGAGAAAGGCGCACCTTGTTGGATCTTAGCGTGCTGAAAACAGTGGCATTTAATTAGACTAAACCTCATTACGTAAAAATAAACTTAGCAATATTTCAATTGATCTGAGCCACTGCATTACAAATCAGGTTCTCCAAATCTCGCTTTTGACGCTTAGGGGCACGGACGATCTTTCTCATTCGCTTTACACCCAGATAGTAATTTAGATTAATTAATATATTTGAAAAATGCTTCGGCAAGAAAACAAAATAATGCCAAACAAGCACGCTAGTCTGAGCAGCGATTTTGACTGTCCTTGTCCTTAATAGGTGGAAGGAAGCTAAAGTGAAATTTAAGTTCAGCCACTTGCTTTGGAATTCCTACTTACAGTTAGAAGCGCTAATTTATTTACTATACACAAAAAATATATACTTTGATAGCACACGAGTTTTGCTCTCTTTGCGTTCAAAATAATTCTCTCGCTCTGATTTTCATTTAAAAAAAAAAAACGACGAGGATTTCACAATTTTTGTGTGCGCCTCTGCTAAAAAAAAAAATGAAACAAAAAAGCTGTCGCTGGTTCTGCTGATGATTGTGTCAATGGGTTGATTTTTCGCACTTCACATACGCTCTCTCAGTCTGTCAGACCTGCAGCTCTTCTTTTGTGAAAAAAGATGGTCCTTGGTGCGCCACAAATTGAACGCGAGAAAATAATAAGGATTCGATCGCGTCGGGGATGAACGAAAAATTTCTGTCTGCTGATTGTCGGTGATTGCAAGAGTCCACAAAGCAGAGAAGAAGAGGACGACGCACGCCACCTGACCTGCAGCGACCTCAGACTGCTGCCACACCAACGATTCCCCTCAGCCCCCTTTCTCTTTTGCAATAATTCATTGCATGCTTTGATAGCCCCGCTGCTGGAATTTCATTTTTTTTTAATAGAACATTTTTTTACACTTGGGATCATTTTTGCCCCGCTGACTCGGCTGCCTAATTCTTTTTAGTTTCATATCCCATGCTTTTATTCAGACCTTGGTCATAGGGGTGGTCTGTATTTTTACCCCTGAATTCAGCCTTGAGCTACGATTTACCACACACAAAAATCACTGCTGATTGTGAAGTAAATTTTGGTGTTTAGAGGCTAAGTTGAATTTGCATAAATATTATTATTTGGCTTTTGCACCTTTTAGTGTTGGCAAAATCTCTTCACTTTTTATTTAATAATTACTCCAGTACTTCATTCGATTCATTTTAAATTTCCTTTTACGCTTGGAAAAAATGTAGTTAACTAAATTTCCCCTGCAGGAAAAACTGCTCCTGCCTGGCCGCTCGCGATTTTCAGTGAAAATCTTAATCTCACGCAACTTTTTCCACCGCGCTCTATTCGTGGTCATTAGCATAAAGTAGATTTGCACGTAGTATTAACCAAAGTCCCAACAGCCGACCTGTTTGTGAACCGTCGCTGTGGAAAGAGGCGAAAATCAATAACTTGTCGCGCTGCCAACGCTCGGATCACGCGAGCAGGCCGGCTTGTGGAACATTTTTATTATTTTTCTCATTAAAAATGATCAAAATTTTAACACGTCACCCTCGGTTTGATTTCTTTCTGTTCTTGCATGCAAATGAATGTTTTGTCTCTCGTCGTGGACGCCGGAATTGCCGCATGCCGCCTTTCGTTTCTTTGTCCTTTTGGCTTGCCGCTGCTGGGTTTCGGGGCTGCATGGGTCTCAGTGCTTCCAACGGTCTCGCAGCAGACGGCCAGCGGCCCCGCGCAGGGCCTCATGGTCCCCGCGGCTCTTAACCCGGCCGAAAAGATCACCTTCACGCCTCTAATTAGCAATGCTCACTCGGTCGTGTACACAGACGCAGAAGGACAGGTACAAAAACAAGCAAAATTATATTTAAAAAAAAAAAAACGCTTTTAATTTCAACAAGTGGCGAGCGCCATTTATTATGTATGCTAGGACGTAATATTATTGCAATCGAAGCCGCGTCTTTTAAACTTGGCTTTAGTCACGCCACGTAGATGAACAATATTTTTTAAATTCTATAAAAATTAAAGGTTTTGAAATTTTTACAAATATATATATATGGTCTGTCCTACACGTCTTTCATGGAGATATAATCGATTTTTTCTGATCGACCAAAATTGCCTGAATTTATCTTTGCCTTAAATAAATATAAAATTTATATCCGCACAATATAATCAATTTTTTAAACATTTATTTCCTCTTCCTCATTCAATTTTATTTTAATACGAAAAGAGTTAAAGAGTTTCATTTCTTAAAATTATTCCTTTTGAGCTGGAAATTTCTATAAATACAAACAACTAGTGTGTAGTGTTTGGCTTGCACCACCGTTTCGCCACTGCTTTTGGTGCTTATCAAAGGGCTACATGGGCAGAGTAGAAAAAGTTGCTCAAACATGTACATACAAACACTGACATACATCTCTCCACACAAACAACCAAAACCGAGAAGAAGAAAACACGTCCCAAAAAAAAGATACCCACCGAAGACAGACACGATTTTTTGCAATACATTGTTGTCCTGCAGTTTTCGCTTATCAGTGTTTTTTATATGAGTCCATATAGGCCAGTTGCTGACTGTTTTTTACCATTCATTATTATCGAATTTTCCATCTGCATGCGTGTTTCTCTGCAGCAGTTTCTAACACCACCACCACTGATATGATTGACATGTACGCTAAAAATATAAAAATACAAATTAACCGAGATTGATTAATTTTTGGTTAGTGTTTTGCGGCACTACTTGTGTTGGATGCTCTTCTGTCTCAGTGGTTGCAAACAAACCAATTTGCTGCGGCTTGAGAGGGTATTGATGAGGGGGTTTTCATGTTTTGATTGTAGTTGCTGGACACCCTCCCGGTTTGCCAAGATTTTAGTCGAAATTGTTGCAAGAGACCGGCCTGCAAGTTTGTTCATCTCACAGAGAGTAAGTGCGAGATACGCTAAGCAGACACACCACGTCATTACATATTTATTGAAAAAAAAAAAATGCAGCCACGCACTCTCTCCGTCGATTGCCGCGATTCCACGTCTGCACGAACACTTGAGAAAAAGCACAACCCCTGCGTGTCGCCGGCGTATGCAACCGGCGCGGCCCACTTGTTACGATGGTTGCATACATTTCGAAATCGGTAGATTCAGAATCAATTCTTTCGACGTTCATATTTCACCTCGCACCCCCCAAATGCATAATTCAGCTCCGTTCTCTGTTTCTTATCCCAGCCAGGGTCACTAATCCGCCGCACCCGGGCCATGAAAGCGTAATTGCTCCGGACCCGAGTTTAATTATAACACACAGGGCGTTAAAGTGTTGAAGCGAGGGAGAAGTTCTCGTCTCGTCGGTACTTGTCCATAACCACAAATTAAACGGCGCCTCTATCCCTTGGGGTAGCGGCTTATTTTGAGAAAATACGGCTCTATTGATCAGAGAAAGGCGAACAATAGCTTTGGGAAAAATGTTGGGATAGGATTAAGAAACAAAAAGCACTAAAAACCGCTAAAACCTTTTTCAAATTAAACATTTTCGTTCAAAGATTTAAAGAAATTAAAGTCGACGTAGGAAAAAATTCGTCTAAAATGAAACTTTTTTTTAAATAATTTCTTTCAATTTTAATACAAAATATTGATGGGTCTGTCGAATTAAAACCTTTGAGAAATTGAGTTAAAATTGCACTTATTTAAACTTCATTAAGTTTCTCAAAATATTCGTATATAAAGTAAATATTTTTTATCACCTTTGAAAATATTTTGTTTAATGAGCAAAAAGACATAATAGACGGAGAGAGTGCGCGCAGCAAATTGTGGTGGCTTATTGACACGGCCATGACGCACGCACGACTAAGCAGGGTGGTTGGATTGCAGGTAATGTGGAGGTGGTTGACAACCACGTTACTGTCTGTCGTGATGACGTGAGCGGCCGGTGCACGCGCGCCCTTTGCAAGTACTACCATATACCTGTGGAACTGCCCCCAGCTCCGCAAATGGCCCGTTTGCACAGCCTTGTCAACAAACCGTCGGCGGCCAAGTTGGATTCCTCGCAGCAACAGCATGAAGTGACGGTGGTGCACCAGCAGGCCGCCCCCATCGTCTACGCCGCTCCCGACGCATGGGTCGCCAACGATAATGAGCCACCCCTAGCCAACAACAATAATGGACCTTAAAAATATGATGCCTTCAAAGAGAGGCAGAGAAACGAAAGCTATGAGAAGTATCAAACGCCGAGCTCGAAGGTTTTTGCTGATTTTTACCAAATATAGAGGAAAAATATTATTAGATCTCGTTGCAAAATATGGGGTTGTCTCTTTTGAGTCCAAGAAAAGAATCGAAACAATTCATATTTTAGAGTCTTTCAACAAATTTCCTACCGTTCGGGCGGACTTTTTGGAACGGCTTCGAGGGGCGTACACTATTAAAATTTTTACCTTACTTAAAAGAAAAAAATCAATTATTTTTCCACACATTTCTAACTTTGAAATTTCTAAGTAAAGCAAAATTGGTGTGCCTCCTTGCGGCTTATTTCATTATTATTTTTCCAAATCAAAAGTCAACTTAGTCAACCAAGTTGCAGATTAAATTATTCCGTTTCGAAATTCCTTAACACGGCCATTCGTCACTCCCTATCCTCTGCGTTTTTCCACTCGATCACACGCAGCGCTCAGGGATTTGAGATGCCATTTACTTTGGAGAGCCGACGCTGGCCAAAACCCCAGCGGATCAAAAACCTTTCAGCTCGGCGGGCGAGAAGTGGGTTGTTAGCGCTAGGAGAGCGAAAGCACTGTCGCTTCATGTCACTTGATTCAAAGGGTCTTTCGTCCTGATGCCATTTAATTTTGTACTTTGAATGATTACAGAGATCAAACATAGGTATTAATTATTAACTTAGGAGCGCAGGCTAAAAGCCTCACACTACACACACACACACTACTATTACACACTCACACACACACACACACACTACTTTCCCGACGAGGAAATGAAACTCTTTCAACAAGAAACGTGGATGTAAATTTAATTATAATTAATATATAAATATTAACACTACTGAAATGGTGATGAAAAGATGTCTGGGCTATAAAGTGCGATTTCTTTTGTACTGCATACACACTAATTTTATTGAAGAAAGAGAACGAAGAAACTTAAATGGTCAAAAATCAACATGAATATAATATTAAAGTAAAGTAAATGTTAATATTTCCATCAAAATGTAACTATAAATGGGAAAGGAAACTTAAAAATGTCGTAGGTAGTTTTTATATTTTGTTGGCAGTAGAAACATATTATCGTTGTTTGTCTTTGAAAGTTTATTTTGTCTGCATTATTTTTTCAGTCTCGTCCTCACAGGAGGCTAATTTATTATTTATCTATCAAAATAAGTCAGTTGTTACGTACAGTATTCGAGAGTAATCGTTTGCCATTAAAATTGGTTCCTTCACCGTTTGCGTTTTATATAATAAGTAATTTAAAAATGAAAATCAATTACTACTTATTGTGTTAGAGATGCGACATCCTCATAATTTTTAAATCGTAGGCGTCAAATACTTTAGTTAGCGATAGTCCATTTTAGTAAGTATTAAGTTAAAAATTACATTTTTATTGTGATGTGATTTCTCTATTCTCTCTCTCTCTCTCTCTAATGAAATACGCAAGTATTTATAAATATACAAAATATTATCTATTTTGTTTTAAACAAATGAAATTTTTTAATTAAGAGACACTGAAGATAACTGTCATACATATATTAAATGTGTTACTTTTCTGTGAATCTGTGATAGAAATTTGATGTTATCTGGCATTTATTTGCGAAAATGACCCTAAAGTGATACAAGATAATTATTTTTAGAATAAGTTTATAATATAATATCGAGGTATAATACTCTTGCTATTAATTGTTCTCATGCATGTGTCACACACAAACACTCACGTACACGGCGACAAAACAAAAAAAGTGAAAAGTATAGCAAACAGTTTTCCGTGGACAGCCTTTCGTGTACGTTTTTCCTTTTGAAAAAAATCAATCATAAGGAGAGATCTAAAATCTAAATGAAAACGATCGAGCAAAACTCAAGACGTGTCAGTTTACGATTGAAAGCATCTCGACATCACAAGCAGCAAGCAGTACTTCAAAGTAAAATAATAGCACAGTACCTCTTCAAATTATGAATAATGGATGTAGAAATTAACACTCACACGTAAAATGTTTAAAGACCTTTTTCAGTATAAAAATGTAGTTGAACAAAGGAGAGGACTTTCATTTTTTCCATTACGAATGGGTGCATGTTTTTTACAAAAGTACTGATTGACGATTTCTCTAGTTTCGCAACCTCCAAAGTATTATAAATCGCGATTATAACCGACGAATAAAAAAAATCTGATTATTTTAATCAAAAATAAATTTTGTCCTCGTTGATGGTGAATTACGAATTTTTTTTTCAAAGTGACTAATAGCGTGTATTATTATATTTGTTGAATGAAATCTCATTTAGTTAATAAGCGTAGAACATATAATGATAATAAACTAAACACGTTTGCAACTGCGAAGAGTAAATCGAAGCGATAATTATATGAAGAGCAAACAAAGTTGCCAATGTGCTTCGATTGAGCCTTAAATCAAATTACAAAACTTTAGATCGCAAAGATACCTTTCTTGGGCAATTACATTAGGCATCTTTGAGAACTAAAGCAGTGACACAATGTCAAAATCACATATGATAATTTTTCTAATTTTTAATACAATACGAGAGGTGGATTTTGTGAAGCAGCAAATTTTTCTAAATAATTGAATGACAAGGTGAACGAAAAACGAGAGTATATAATTATAACATTAATGATTTAAGGGAAAAAAGGAAACAGAAAATCAAATAGGGCAGCTCTTTCACACACACACACAGAACACACCCAAACACACACCACATTACTAATTGTAAGTAAATGCACTAGAGAAATAAAAGTGAAAAATTTTGAAAACAACGCGTGAAAAGAAGAAAAGCTAGTTATATAAGAGAAACGTTTATATTATATTATTCGAAATAAAAGATATTACTTGTATAATTTTTAACTATAGAGGCGAACACACACACCACACACGTCAGATAATAGTAATTAATTATTATTTAACTACTGTTATTATTAAATAATTTTTGCAATGTATTGGAAAGTATAATTATTACCATACTCTATATTTATGTCACTTGGATGAAACAATAAATAAAAGAAAATGGCGAGTTTTGTGTTTTCACTTCGAGTGTTTTATTTCGAGAGTTTTCAATTCTCTTATATACATAATTTTTTTTTATACAATCATAATATACCATCTCTTTGCTACCATTTCATTTGCGTGTATAAGTTGACAATGAACAGACAATATTTCTGCGGCTCAGCCTGTGTTGATTTTTGGTATGTAGAAAGGGAAAGAGGACACATCCATGACAGTTAAATGTGTTTAATTAATAGACTTCTAAACACAACACTTGGCCAGCACATGAATTTGTTGTGCGCCTCGTCGATCTCGGTATTTTTGCGCACACGTGCACTCACATCAAAAATACTTACGTACATTTATATTTATGCATTATGCATGTAAATTGTCTTAAATTTTTCCACAACAAAGAGAGTGCTCGCTTGGGAGGAAGTCTCACGCCTCGGAAATCGATCCCGGGCTGTGTGGCACACAATCTAGACACCATACTAAACGGTTTTCTTAAAACAATAGTCAAAGACTTTGGTCGCGAGTAATAATAATAATACAAAGGAAAGGAATTTAACCTTGCAATTTGGGCAAATTTGTAAATTTTTATTACCATCTTCCAAAATAATTTTTATTTCTTGATTTGTTGCCTTAATTCCTTTCATCAATTTCTATCAATATGAAAGGGAGCATTATTTTCTTTAGTTTCAGTTTTAATTAAGATGAATTAAGAGTAGTTTTGTAAGTCTTCTTTTCTGCCCATAACCCTTCCATTGACGACTCGTAAGCTCCTCGCTCAAAACTGGCTCCAGGGAGATTTCTATAGGTTAGTTGACCTAATCACGACATTTGAGCTTTTCATCTACACTTTTTCTTCGCCAGGTAAGGGTGCGGCAGTCGAGCGGATAAACTGTGAAAATATTTAGCATTCCGTATTTTATGCTTTTATAAATATTTCATTTATATTTTTGAAAATTTGATGTAATGAGAAATTTAAGTGCCGAAACCAATTGCAATTGATAAATCTTTTTCCATTCTCTTAATTATTATTAAGTCAATTATGACTCAATTCAAAGCAGTTTCAAAGAAATAAAATAATTAGCAGATTCTCGTAAAAAAAAACTTCAGGTAATTATTAAATAAATTCTGATTAATCTCTGCCAATAAGAAATTTAAAACAAAAAATATTCAGTTGAAAATGGTAATTATAAAAATTTGTGCATAACTTTTGATTAGCGCTGCTTGTGCGCAATGACTAATTGTGCAGCACTTCTATTAAAAACTAGCTTAGCAAAAATATATGCTGAACTTTGAACGGCAAACGAATTTAAAAAATAATACATAGCACTAGAAATTATTCGACACAAAAATATTTACATATTTCTCGGATGATCCGGATAAGAAATGTAATTAAATTCGACGCGCTCCTCGATCAAGACCAAAATTATGTTTAAAATCAATAATTATAAGCATGATCATGCAAAATTAAAATGAGTAGCAGATTTTTACAAAAGTGAAAAAAGATTATAATAAGATTGTATAAGATATTTCCGAAAATATGCGATTGCAAAATCTAATTATTCTTAAACATAACGTATTGAATTTCTAAATCAGTGCACTATAAAATTTAATTAGCACACAAAAATTTAAAATCTAGGACGCATATCTAAAAACTCACATTTTCAAAATGTTCTTTCCTTTTGGTTTTTGAAAAAGGCCAGAATTATTTGATTAGATATAGTGTTGAATCTACTTAGAATTTGGTAAGATTTTGAAAAGAAGAGAGAAACTTTTCAAAAATAAAGAAGAAAACGTCGAGATTGAGGTAAAAAAATATAAGTTCAAAACAACTTACTGTGACTGTTGTAGCAGCAGTGAACGAACTGGCCCTCGGCCTGAACTGCGACACGTGGAGGTTCCATTTGCGCTTGATTTGGGTGATTACCTGACATTTGGAATTGAATTAATCAGTTGCGGCGATTCCAGAGACGAAGACAATTGAAGTCGAAAAGAAATTAAGGATTAGAGAAGAAGTCTACGGTGATAAAGGGTAAGGGCGGATTAAAATGGCCCGAGGCAGTTGGTCCAAATTGAGCGCTCGGTCGAAGTTAGAGGACGTGATTGACGCCAGGTCAGGGGGTGCTTTAACTCATTGCGAACCGAATCCCACGTCTATTGTTCAGCAATCGCTGTGAATGGCCGAGATCGCGAACTTCCTTGTTAGCAGATTTATTGGGTGGCGAAAAGGCATCCCCAGACTATTCGTGAGAGGTGAAAAATGAGAACCATAGTAGAATGGAAGCTTTTATTTGCAAATATGTTGAATTAATACAACTTTATCTAGTGCTGCAGAGTCTTTGTTTTATACAATATTTATTATAAGTAAATTCTCAATCAGGGTTCATTTTACTTTAAGTTATTTTTAATTACAATACGTTCATATAAAATAAGGAGAATGACTTTATTGTTATTGCAATAATTTGATTTGATATTTGATCTGTGTAAGTTAGAACTTCTTTATAGTTGGTCTGCCACAAGAGGTTTTGTTTCTTTATAAGATCATTACAGAAATCTCTGAATGGAGAGACTGAAACAAATAAAAAAATTATTGGACCAATCAAACCTCATCCTCTCTATTATATTTTTGTTTTTGTGGTATTAAATTGCAAAAAACGTTTCAGCGTTCTTTTTATCATATCAATTTTTCTATGCACACAAAAATAGTATTTTATTTCAAATTACTTCCTCGATTGCCTATAAAACTTTTTAGCAAAACAGTACTGCTGAGATTGACACTCACGCCAGATTTCTTCTCCTACAACTGAGTTTGCAACGATTTATGTGTGGTTAGAGACCACCGAGGGCGGTTCTTTATTCTGAGCTTGGTCGTTTGGTAAATAACGGGCGCATAATGGCTTGGTTAATGATGCGGAGAATGAGCTTTGGTTTTTGAGCGAAGAGAAAAAAAGACGCAGAGGTTAAGTGGACGTCACTCGCACAAAGCTGATTAAATTTTTAATTGGAGAATTAAAATTTCAATTGGAAGCAAATCGACCCTCCCTTTCTTGACACAGCTTTTTAAGTATGCGCCACTGACTTTGCACGCAACTCTTGAATTTAGATCAAGTTGTTAACAACTTTATTGAAATGCGGAAACGCCAAAAGGCAACAACACGCGCATGGCATATATAAAAAAATTCAGTGGCTTGTTACAGCAATGTGATATTTTGAACAAAAACAGAACCACCTTAATTTGCTGCAAATAAAGATAAATATGCAAAAAAATCACTTACCTCGCCATTGCAGAAGCAGAAAAGGAAAGCCACGCAAAGGCCCTGCGACAAAAAGGGTCGACTGTGATAAAGAAAATGCAAAATTCGTTCCGACTCTAACCTGGAAAGAGGTGAATACGGCCGAGAGGACCTCATAAGTTTTCAGGAGGGGGTGAGTGGTGCTTTCTGGACGGAAGGGGGTGATGAGGTAGTGCAGTCCGAGCAGCGGCAGCAGCAGCAGGGTTGCCCTGACGGCCTGCAGGGCTGACGGAGAAGGGCCGCTGCCAACGTGCGGACCGGCGCGCAGTTTGACGATCAACACGCGCACAATGTTGCACAGGAAGGTGAAGCTGGCGGCCAGGGACAGACACACGGGCACCACCAACACCCAGTTGAATTTGCTCTCATGGATCCAACACCTAAATAAATGATAAATAAACAAAAATGGCTCTTCCTTGGTAGGTGGGATCATCTGTTTTAAAGAATTAAAAGTAGGGCTCTTTTGCAATAAGTAATTTTTTTAGAATTATTTTCTTTTGAAAAACAATGAGGACAGCTTTCCTTAAAAAAATAATAACAAAAACTTTGTAAGGAGCGGCCGATTTTTCATATTTGATAATTTTTAATATATTCTCGAACAAAAATTATTCATTTTTAATATTGAAATTGACTGATTTTCTAGTTTCTTAGATAAAAAATTTTGATGAATTAATTTTTTGAACTGGACTATATAGCAATATAGGACACATGAACTGGACTTGTAAGAGAGCAATTTTAATCTAAAAGGGAGAACCCGGCAGCACAAAAGAAGTCTTATATCAAAGAAGGATGTGAGCCTTGCAACGTGACAAGAAAAATTATGAGGGCCTCTCTATACCGCAAGCAGCTCAAAGTTCCTGCCTCATTTTTTGCTAAGCGCCCCTATAATACTCTCACAAAAAATGTAGCCCGCCCGTGAAAGTAGTAAAAAATATAATAAAATAAAAACAATTCACAAGAGATTTTTTGGCCTTAGGTGTTCGTTGATTAATTTTGGGAGGATCAAAGCGATCATACTCAAAAGGCTTTGTTGTTGGTTGCTGCTATTAAAAAAAAAATTAATAATAAACCAAGCGCTTTTTCCGAACGAATGGAAACATGTGAAAGGGGAATCTTTGCATTGATGTTTGTGCCACGGGTGAAAGCGAACTCAATGTTTTCAACGCAGAAAAGGGAGGTCTGGAATAAATTTCACGGACGGGCAAACGAGCGAACGACTCTGTTGGCGGCGAATGTGCCTTTTTTATCGATTGGATGCATACTCGGAGGTTTCGAGAGGGTCGTGGTCGGTGATTCTGAGGGTAGTGTAGAGGACGACGACCACCGCCGGCAAGCCCCAGCCGCACAGGTAGAGCCACTTTTTGAGCTTGTCCTCGGAGGTAAAGGTGGCGACCAGGAGGATGTGCAGATAGAAGCCCTCACAGAACATCCAGAAGTAGTTGGAGAGCAGGAAGTAATGGAGACTTATGTGGAGAAGGGCACATCCGACCTGAAGATTAGTGAGAGGCGAGCATGAGATCAAAACGTAATCAATACAATACGCAAAGGCGCCAGAGGGACAGATTGAGTGAGTCTAGTCGGAAAAAATTTATAACTCTGGTGCCAGGTTTTTTCTGATGGAGGAATATAGAACGAGAGAATGTGTTTTTTTTTATTGCATCAAAATGCGATTTGGGAAAGAGCCACGGTTGCCTTGGGGATATTTTGGTTGGGGAGTTTGCAGTTATTTCAGCCAGGAAAAAGTTACAGGATGATGGAATTGTGACAATAATGTTATTCAATATCGCAAATCGGTTTAAAAAGAGTTTTGGGGTCGCGCATGAAAAGGAAGCACGGGGCTCAAATTGAAAACTTTTTCAGAGGAAAAAGATTTTCCGCTCTGTGTCACAATGATCGAAAAACTTCTTTCCCCATTTTTCCTTATGGACGCATCCCCTTTAACTGCGCGAATGAAATTTCAGGCCCTTTTTCTGGGCACCGAGTGGATGCGCATTAAAGAGATTACACAACTACTACTTCTATTCTTCTGCTGTACTATGATGGCGGCGGTCCGTATGAATATCAGTGTGTGTGTGCGCGCGGGCGAGAGAGAGAGAGAGGAGCACGCGAATAATTTACGACGGTTGTAAAAACTTATTTTCCATTTACAAAATGCCAGCGTTTAATTTAGTGGTGTTTGCCTTCGGGGGAGCGTGAGAGGAAGACGCACAATACACACATTAGGAGCGACACGCATGAACAATGACTGTGTGCGCTTGTGCTATATGTTAATATCAATCTCGGCACTAACCTCATTATCTGATAACACGGACGGCTGTTCTACTACCAGTCTGTACCACAGGATCCACAGCGCATTGTTGGTTGCGAATGAGATGAATAGATTTATGTGCAGCATGATGCGCGTGCATCGCAGCGACCTACCAAATTTACAAACGAGAACATTAAGTTGACGCTCTTTACAGCTACGGCAGAGACATAAAAAAGCGTCGTTAATTACCAACAAGATGCTTAGTAATATCGTTAAGCTCAATTTTACGATACATTGGAGAGAAGCGTTTTTATAGCATGTCTAGTCCACATTGACAGAAGTCAACAGCCAAGACAATTGCCACGAAAATAATGTGACAGAGACAACATCGTTTAGGGGGGAACATCTATCAATAAGAAATACACGTAAAATAATAATTATAATTTTTAAATAATCAATACATTTAAACTAATTAAATTTTAAATTCTAAACTTTTTTCCACAACCTTAAAAAAGTGAAGTATCTTAATAAATATCATCATTGTTTGTAATTTAAAATGTTAAGAATACAGTAAATAATACATAATTATACAGCTAAATATTTAACATGCATTAAATAGCAAAATATTAAATTAACCGGGATAATTCTTTAGTCTCCATATAAATCAAAATTATTCCAATTATTTCCAAACGTAAAGCACAAATAATTCAAAAAGACGCATGCGGAAAAGGCTAATTTCAAAGTAATTTGGGTGTGTTAAACAAAAATAAACAACATTGATGCTTTGGGAAGCGCAAACAGCTCTCATTTTAAAAGAGGGCCTTTTTTCCTTCACAAGAGTTTGCGAGCTCAGAGATTAGCACGCGTCAAGTGTCAGTTGGGATCCGTAACGCCGCCGCATTTCAGCATTATTTCAGCAGCCACGCAAAGTTAGCATTTCCCCAAGCAGTACGTACGCCCCGCGTGTGGCGGGCCGGAAAAGCAAATGCTTGTCGCAGCATCACAAAATAAAAACGCTCTTTGTAAATAAAAACTTTCATCGTCAGTGCGCGTTGTTTCCGCGAATCTGTTGCAAAAAAGCCTGAGCGGCTCATTAACTTGCGCCATGAAAGGTTTGCAAAAGCAGGCGAACCGGCAAACGAGTTCGGTTTTGTTGGCGGATTATGCATGATGAGAGAGACGCAATTTTCGACCAAGAGATGAAGCGGACGCAGAAGCCCATTTTGACCACTATTATCTTTCAAGCCAATGTCGAGCCTTTCAGCCTATATTTTATATTTGAAACGGGTTTGGTCCATCAATTAGTGTGGCCACGAAATAGGAGATTTGTTGAAAGGCGGATATTAAATGAGCGAACATTAAATTTCACAAAAAACAAACAAACAAGACAGTAGTGCACCCCGTGGAGAACTAAATTTAGCTTTACGACGGCTCCAAAGTTATTAGCGTTGTAAATCCTTTGAGAGTTGCGCCTGTCAAATGGAGGCGCGTAATCCAAAATTCGCTGCCGGCTATCATATTGTGAGTTAAAATTAAACTGCTCAAACTCAAAAGTTTACCTCAAAGCAGCTGGTTAAAAAGCAATTTCAGTTTTAAATTGAACTAACTTTTTGGCACATGCCGAAAATTGAATTTATTACAATTTAATTGCATCTTTTCAGATAAGATTCTCTGCTTTGCCTGTGGCCCATTCGGTCGAGAGATAATGGAATTTTTTAAGTATGTATGCCGTTAAGTGCTAATTTACAAGGAAATTGTTGTATAATGATGACGTTCATACGGTGTCAGCTATTTTGTTGATGTTTTTTTTTATTAGTATAGCACTTAATGGGCGCTGCTTTTGTAAACTGAAAAAGCAGCTTAATGTTATGAACGTTTTGTCTGTGTCTTGCAAGCTCGTCACGGCAAACCAAGCCTGTCGCCAAACTACTCGCTTAATTATATTAAATGTGATGCAGAATCGCCATGGTTTTGGTTCTAAATTTGTGGCGTCACTATTTGGGGTCTCGGCTCAGGAGCGAAACAGAAAGAGGCTGTGCAGAGAGTTAAAAGCAGATTTAAGCTCGATTTTTCACTCTTGCGTGTTTCAAAAGTTTTGATTCACGTCAAAGGTTCTTTCGTGTACGCACCGCGAATGAGATCATTCAAAGAAATTCCTGACATCAAAGAGATTTAAAATGAATAGGGCGCTTCCACAGCTTTATTTAAGCTTATTACAAATTTGAAAACAGAGGCAATTTTTCAGAGCGATTTAAATTGTTTGCTCATTGAACGATTGTGATAAAAATAAAACTTCTGCTGAACAGAAAAAAAAAATAATATTAGGATCAGACAAAAATCATAATAAAAGTACCGTTTCAAAGAATCCACTTTAATATTTTTTTTATTTAAAAAAGGCAATAAAAGCATTTTATAAATCTACTTATAAAAAGCTGTTTACGGCCCAATAAAACTCTTAATGACAATAATAATAGGCGATTAAAATCAAATTTTTAAGCTTGAGAAAAAATTAGACCGAGGTGATACTTTTCTCTCTGCTGTAAAAGAAACGATTTTCGAACCAGCCAGACTGCTTGTTATGAAAATTTGCACCATAAATTATTCGCAATACAATAGTGGGATACAAAGTTTCACTTGCAAGCACTTGCTAATGAATAATGCATATTATTTTAATGGGTATACGTTTAAAGATTTGAGTACGGTGTGCTTGAGAGGAGCAATTTCGTTGCAAATGTGAAATTTCCATGAAGAAGATAAAGAGTGGCTCCAGTTTCAAGCAGGCTTGCGACGAGGCAAGAGTGTTTGAGAGCCTAATTACGCTAAAAATCACAGCTGGTACGAAGTCGCCGGTACGACGAGCTTCATTCTTTTCGAAACCCTGGGGAGCCTCATTTTGTCTAATTACTGCAATGATTTTGCACCAGGCTTAATTATATGTCAACATCACAGCACCACCCTCCAGCCTGCACCCTTGTCTTTGACCTGCTTCGAACACGCGCGCAGCCCTGCAGCTCTTTTAATTCAAAGCGGCGCACATGGAACGAGCAACAAAACGGGCCTGGCTAATGCAAGGTGCGCCGCAAACGCTGCTTTCAACTCGCTTTCTGGCTGACCAGACGATTTGTGTGCGTTTCCACCACACATGCCAGCAGATTTTATCAATGGACAGTGTTGTTGGCGGAGCGCGTGTCCCGCAGTTTTCGGCCTGCTTCTGTGGGTCGTCTGATAACTACGCGTTCGGATCGAAGAGACACAAGCTTGGCTGGTGGCATAAAGACCCTTCCAGCTGGGAGCGCACGGTAGAAACTCAATTAAGCCAGATTACTTTATACAAGACGCACGAACGGAAGGACACCAGCATACAATGGAAATTAATACTTTTGTGCCCTTTCCCTTTCTAAAAATGAAAATAAATCGCTGTGAATTGCTTAAAGCGTTGACAAATGAATTTTTATCAAGCAAAAAAAATGATATATGCACATTTCAAGTCTCTCGCACTCCCTTCAGCGCGGATCTTTTTATAGCTCAAAAAACCTGATCTTTTTAATTTAGGATGAGTCAAGAAGAGTTTTTCTTCCTGTACAATAAATCTAAAAAAAGGCGCAGTCCCCCTACTTTCAGAGTGCTTTGGTTGCATAAAGTATATGAAATTGAATATTAAAAATTAACAAATTTAACTTAACCAAAATTATAAATAGTTCAATTTTTAAGCTCCAAACTTTTTTTCAAGTTATTTCCAATAATTTAAAAACTATGAATTTTATTGAGTATTTATTAAATATTAAAATTAATTATAAATCTAACTTGAAACAAAATGTAAAAGTTTTTTTTAATTATTATATTTGTTGATTTGGCATTTTCAATTTTTTATTTTTTATTATCAATGTGCTTGTATGAGAAATTGTAGGAGATTATGAATGCCGCTTGCACAGTCGTGGGCGTAATCAAATTTTAGGACGTGCTAATGTGCAGATGTATTATCAACTCTGCAAACGTATACTTTTATAAATAAACCCATTAGCAAGTCATGAAGGTATTGTTCTAAGTACTTTTCCATTCTGCGCATGCACCTTCAATTTCTGCCAGTACACTCATAACTCATCCACTGATCGGCCGCTGACCATGGTTTCATTTTATTGTCAAGCATCCAAAAGCGCTTAAGGCGCCGATGAATGGTTCGGAGGCGGAGAACCTCCACGAGTCATAACGAGCTGCAAGCATAAAAGATGTTGCAAGTTTACTGGCTGAGGTACCATATAAATCAAATGCAGCGCACAAAAGAGCCGGCCGGCCGGCCGGCACTATCGCTTTCAATGCTCTCTGTAATTACGAGGCTCATTATTCAGCTCTTGGAGGGCAAAAGCAGGTGAAATGCCGTCGCGTCTAATTAGGATTCAGCATTAGAATGCGCGCAGCATGCTAGAGAGTAATCAAGTACACGGCCACCAGGTTGCTTGTGTGTGTGTGTATGGGAGTTGAAACGAAAAATTCAAACGCAGTCAGGCGCTCCACTTAAATTATCGCATAAAAGCGGCGACCGACTCGCCGACTGCTCGATTAAGTTATTGCCGCATCACAAACTCGCCGTTGGTCGCGACATGCATTACATTATGGATGCACAGAACATTTGCTATCTAGAACGATTCTCATCTACGTTATGTACACAAATACAGCGAAAATTCAGAGTGAAAAGTTTACTTACTTGAAATAGATAAAAATGAAAAGCGATGCTATTATAGCTGCCAATGATATTGCATAGCCAGTTTCGTAAATTTTAGTAACCTGACGTCGCCACTACACAGAAGAGAAACAGACAAGCATGCACAATTTACTATTTTGAAGAATATAATATATTACATGTGTTTACTTTGAGATTTGAATATATTAATGGTTTCAGAAAATTCTGAGGAAATTAAAAAAAAATAATTAATAATAATGTATTCAAGTCAAAATAGCACACGTTTAGCCTCTTACCTCAAGGTCCTCTAAATTGACACAAGTGGTGTAATTTGACCAGGGTTTGCCAGATTCTGGGTGTGTAAACCACGTTCCGTTCGAATTACAAACTTTGTGAGCCAGTCCTGCAACACATCAAATATTCAAGAGAACGGGCGAAGCGCAAATGATATTACGAGACTGGCTTTCCTCTTATGTGACAATTCCGCAGCACTCGGGATTCCGAGTGTCAATCAAACTGAATGATCGCCATGTCAGAGATGATAACATATAAAAAAGTGGTTTTGCGTGCTTGTTTATACAGGCGTAATATGAATGGATATTACAGTTTTGCAGATTTGCTTTTAGCTCGTTTACATATATGCAAATTGAAAACGTTTTTTGTTAATATATTTTGTTCATCCTGAAGATTATTATTCAAAAAATGAACTCTATATTGAGAGCCGGTAGATGAAAAATGTTGGGCCATAAATCTAAAGTCTGGCAAATTATTATGACGGCGAAAATATTTTACCAAGTCCCTATAACCGCCATACACGTGTAGAGACACTTTAATTAATATTTGCGGTGAGTTATGAACGGGCACACTCACTGGAGGGGTCAAATCCTGTTATGAAGTCAGGGCAGGCCGTTTCAGCCACGCCGCCAGCCGCCGTTTTCGCCCAGCATGACCAGCCGTCGAAGACTTGAGGGCAAAAAAGTCTTCCGTCATCGCCTTCTGGAAACAGAGAAGAAGAAACGAATTTGAGCAACAAGGCAGAAATATAATAACTTTCTCAACATCCATCCATCAACGCAACTCATTGTTCTGCGCAGGTATAAATTCTTCCACTCGTCTAGTCAAATATTGCACTTGCATGCTGACAGGTCATTCCAACATTTCGCAGCAGCCCACACAGAAAAGCTCCCGACTTGTAAGCAACACGTGTAACATTTCATGCAAATACACGGCGGAAAATAATGTGTGGCATTCAAGCGGGTGTTTGCGCTCGCCAAGTTAAGCCGCTTTTGTCGGCAAATGCGAGCGGCCCCTTTGTTTCATTCTGTTTTTTTTTTTCATGCGAGCTCTTTTTCGGGGTCATGCATAATGAAGGCGCGTAAGGAGCATTCACGTGTGTCTGCTGCGTTCAAACCCTGCCGAATATTAGATCAGTGCGGCTTGCAAATTGGTCTGCTTTGCTTTTTAAATATTGCGAAGAAATGCCGGACGCCGGCGGGGCACGCATGATTCAATATCCGCTGAAGCGAGCAATATGAATTTTCTTGGTGACTGGGCAAAAGGGAAACCGTACTGCAAACAAAAGCGGCTCACATTTATTATATATTGCAATCCCTCCAAAATCCAAAACCGTTGAACTCGATCGATTTAACAGAAAAATGGATTTTTATTAATGTTTTGTATTTCTTCCTAGTTTGATGATAATTTTTGGGTTCATTCTAATTTGATCTCATTGAGCTTTTGAATAGTTAACAAATATAAAAAAATCAAATATTTTAAATGGGTATTTATTTTTTGAGGTACAATAAGATTATTATAGGAAAAATTTAATTTGAAAATTATATAAATCTATTTCTCAATTCCATTTCAATATTTTTGGGTCACTTTTTAGCTGAAAACTTGAATTTTATCAAAGTCTATAGGTCTTATTAATCTACCAAGTTTTAGCATAATTATTTGTAGTGGTGGTGTCTTATTATCGAGCAATTGAACAATTCAACGTTTTCCTCTTTCCTCCCAAAAATTGATTTAAAATAAGTTAAAATTTTGACCGGTATACTCTATGTAAAAAATAATAATATTAAAAAAAGTATGATAATATGAATATATTTTTTTTAATTTTGTTATTGCTGATTTGTAGGCATATATTTTGTGACGTGATAGTGACGTAATTTTGCGAGAACATCATATTTCATATATATTTCAATCGTGGACGTTTCAAGAGAACGAAAAAAAGTTTGCGCGACAATTCCTTGTTCGCTCATTGAAGTTCGTTCGGGCAAACTTCAATAAAGAGTGATTTAAAAAACGTTTTTTTCCTCTCTTTTTAGAATAATTCAAAAGAAAGAGCTTCATTATAAGAAAAAAAATTCTCCATCACATTTGATGCCAGCAATTTTTCGCTGAGCCACAAAAAACCCCTTGTTAAAACGAGGAAAAGGGATATATGCCGCATTAAGCAAAAAGCTGAGTCGTTTGCAACAATGGCTCCTGCAGAGAAAGAGAGCAAAAAGCGAGCGGAATATCGGAACAGGGGCGGAGTTGGCAAATAATGCAAATATAATTGGCGTGTATTTCGCTCGAACGATTGGGTATCATGGGTAATGATAGCGAACGCTTTGAAGTCGGCCTTGCTAATTTGAATGTCAAAAGTCTGGGTAGCGCGCACATTGATATGAGGCCGGCCGGCTCTGTAGCAACCCTCTCGCGCACAAAACACATACACAGGCTGGTCAGAATGTAACACATGCAAAGGGTCGATATGAATATTCGCGGGTGTACACAGCACGCGCAAGGTTACATTGTGGAAGACTAGGGGTCTGCGTGCATGAGTTACACCTGATCTACAGCGGCACTTCATTAGCAATACACAATAGGCTCTCTCTCATGACACAATGCTCTTAGAATTGACAAAGGAGTTGCGGAAATTATCAATTTCCTCTCAATGTGAGGCGACAGCACCGTGCTGATTTTGTTGAGCCTCCCACCACTTTCTTTCTCTTGGTTGGTGCTCATGCAAATTCGAGTGTCTCTCCTCGAAGCCTTTGCTGCAGTAAAGCATCTCAACCGCGAGTGCTCAAAACGAGGAATATGGATGGGGTCGAGCAAGTGAGGGATGAGTTGCTTTCAAGGGTGAGCGCTCGCCTTTGTTTAGCTTAGAAATTTAATTTATACGAGAGACTGAGAATTCCCAATAGAGCCACTTACTGAGCAGAAAATCAATAGCCACAGGCCAAGAATGCACAATTGGGGCGGTGAAAAATTTTTCTCTTGGGGGAACTTAGCTCTGCTCTTAATTTTATTAACTTTTGGCGGCGACCCAGGAAGTCGGCATCTCATTTATGAATTGTATGAATTGCTGAGAAATTATTTTTTCCTTAAAAGGTATCATAAACTTGTTAAAAAAGGACATCATTTTGAAAGATTTTCCGTCAATTTTCCAGATTAAAATGGAATGAAAAAATAATAATTGGAATAAATCATATTTTCTCTTCGAGCCTGATTATTTTTCAAGTTGAATGGATTTATTTGTGCTTCTGCGAAAAATTTTCCCCTATCATCTGATACTGAGTTGTTTGCAAAATGAAATGGATTGGGTTACAAATAAATGTGTATTAAAAGCATCACTGTGGCTCTTAAGCCTTACAAATGGTTGTAATTTCGCATGCAAGTAATTAAATTTGGTTAAAGCCGACGAATTATGATCTAATGACAACAACAAAAGCTCCCAATTATAAAACTCGTTAAGCGTAAACGGCGGGAGTTACTACAGAATAAACATTCAACATCGAAATTGGGTGGAAACTAATATGCGAGTTGGCAACAGCATTTTGCACTTCCAGTCTGTGTGCACAATGGAGGTACTAATTATTTCATGCGTGTGCGTATATTTGAATAACAAAGCGCGCTGCAAGAGCGAAGGGTTAAAGGGCCACGCGTTAATTAATTTCACACATCTTTTAACATTACCTGCTCGCGCCTCAGCCGGGCTTGATGAATTTTTTACGACGTCGGGACTCTCGGTGCATTGCTTGAGCCGCTCCTCGACAATGAGCTCCATAATGGAAAATCAATTTGCCAAGCGAAAGTCCGCCGTCGACATGAGCGGCAGCGAAGCAGCGTGCACTCCGCCGCGCCGATTCAACAATAACAGCAGCGACAGCACAACAGGTGAGGAGATCTAATTTTAGTAGTCCGCTTCATGGTGTGCCGTTGCCGCCCAGGTCGATGCTGAAACTTTAAAACAAAACTCATCTCTCATCGTGTTGCGAGCCAGAGGAGAATGAAAAATAAAAACCAGCGCCAGAGATAAAAGCAGCGATTATATGGGAGAAAAAGTTGGAGTGGAAGAGAGTAATGATACTGTTATGTTCGACCTGGAGCAATATTAAATAGTTACAACTCCTCTCTCTCATTTCATTCTGGAATCTGATCTTAAACGCTCGACGGCGATTCATGGATTTACAAAACCGCGCCTCCATCTTTCCGTGTCTGCCCATCTTAAGAGGAAATCGTGCCGCGAAACTTGATTGCTTGTTAAATTGGTCCAGCATTGTAGAATGGATAAGAGAGCGAGGCGTTTTTATTTTTTATTTTTTTACTGTTAACGTTTCCCGCGAGACAATTATTGTAAATGACGTAATGCTTTTCAGCATCGCATTTTCAGTCTGGCAGATATTTTGCTGCCGTCAGGAGACTTTATACACCGGTATATAATTAAAACGGAAAAGTTTCAATCTACTTAGATGTCTTTGAAAAGTTTGCTGGCTCCGCTTTACTCTTTGGAATTGAAACAACCTATCTCAGGCAAATAAAATGTAAGGAGATACAATATTGAACTCTTGATGAAACTTTCCGAAGCCTAACATATTACACGGAGCTCTTCACGTATAAATCCCTTATAATCCTCACCTCTCGTTTCTTCTCTAGATATTAGTCGCCTGCAGAGAAAGCGAGAGGAAAAACAATTTTTCTTTCCATCGATCTGATTGTGAAGAAAACTTGGTAGCTCCACACTGCTTTTTTTAATGTCTTTCGGCACCAACTTCTTGATTTCGCGTGGGCCAATTTATAGGAACAAGTGTTTGCGAAAAATGAAATATCGGTGGAGATGCAAGGAGATGTAATTTATGCGCACAGTACCCTCCTTTGTGCGTCGTAAATCATACGCCCTGTGCGTTTCGCCGAGCCAACTGGGGTCCTTTCATATACACTCGGGCGGCGCGTCCGCCCGCCGGGCCGCCGAGATCGAGCCCGGCGCTCTGCATCTCCGTGGCATTAGTGATGCTGCTCGCCAATTCGCTGATAAAAACAATCGGATCGTAAACTTGGCCCAGTCAAACAAAAAATGCGGCCGTGCGTCTTTTTATGGCGGGTTGTAGTAAATAAAATTGCCTTGTGTAATGTCCATGGAGCCTTCATAATAGGGACGTGTTATTGCTCACCAGCAAAAAAGCGTGCCTGTCTGCATGTGTACCGTCGCGCGAAGGGGAGCGAATTGAATTATGGGTGCCAATGGAATTTTTAATGGCAGCGCCGTTTAAATTAGTCGCACCAGAACTTTTGCGCTCCGAAATCTAATTTATTCATGATATTCGACGCGAAAAGTTCTCTGCTTTATTATACGTGCGATGAGGACCTGCGCTTGATGAGCCGTCGCCTTTCGAAGAGTCGAGTGTGCGTTGCAGAGAAAAGGAATTTTGATTGGATTAAATTCGGCAAAGTTTTCTTTGTAAAAACGTGCTTCAATCGTCTTTAGCGTGCCCGTGCCAATTACGGGGGAGGACAAATAATAATAAGAGGGTTAAATTAAAATTCATCAAATTTCAGGCGATTTAAAACCAAGGATTTTTAGATATGTAATTTAAAAATATTTATATATGAATCATATAAACACATACAAACATGTTTTACGGCAGTTTTTGATTGAATTAAAAAGGCGCACGAAAAATTGGTGTACGGAGAATTACTGATAATTCAATTAAGCATTTTTTTCACTAAAATTTAATTCAAGATTTTAAATAAAAAAATTGGAAACCCCAAGAAAATTTAGAAACTCCAACGCTCAATTTGACTAAATTACTAAATTAATTAATTCAACAATTTTATTGCAATGGTATTAAAAAAAATTTAAAATATGTATATTAAAATGAAATTTATTTATTTTTGTCTTTGCTTTGTGTGTTATTATTTTGCGTCAAAAGTTGTTTCTTTTAAATTAGAGAATTAATTTTCTGCTTTGCTTTAATGTACAAAATTATATTGTTTAAAAATTCCAAATGGAAAAAGCTACTAATATCTTAATTTAACGAAAACAATTAAAAGATAAGAATCAGAAAAATTAAAAAAATTCCAACCAAGTTTCATAGGTACTAGCTACAGAATTTATAAAATGTGTTTTTGCTTACGTCTTTGATTATTTAAGAACAAAATTAAAACCAAAGCAATATTTTGATTGAAATGCAATGGAACAAAAGGTTGTGGAATAACTCTCCATGGAACATTTCTCCTACAATCGACAAATTTTTACAAAACAAGTTAACAGTAAATTATGGAGAAAAGGTATTGGCTTCGAAAACTAATCTCATCTTTCCTTTAGTTAGTTAGTGATCTGCGCGAGTTCAATTCCGAGACCAAAGAACTTCAATCGTTCTCGATACAACTTGATTAATTGTGTGAGCCAGTCAGTTAATCCACAAAGAGAGAAGCTCCTTTGGGATTTGATTAGAAGAAAAGACCCGCCGCCGTGTTTCGCAGCTCCGGAGACGAAGATGTGACAAATTGCTGGGGTCTGGAGAGCAATAACGACTAAGAAATAACTCGGCTCGGAGCCCATTTCCTTTCACCTTGGATGTGACAGTATAATGGCATTACTTTTTTCCATTAACGAGTTTTAAACCCGGCCATAACTCGGATTCGCGTCGATATTTCCCTCCAGCTGCAATCGTCAGGAAATGAAAATTGCGCTCTCATCCCCCGAGAGGAAATAATCAAGCAAAAAACATACACATATAAAGGCCGGCGCGCACAAAGAGACAGACGCGATGAGTGGCTGATGCTGCCAAACAAACTTTACTGCTGCACAAACCGTCAGCGAAAAGAAGAGTTTTCGCAAACAAATAACTCCCGAGTGGCGCACAAAAGAAAGAGGGATTCATCGAAAGAGGGGTCGCTCGCTGGTGCACCCTCTGATCCAAGCGGGTGCAACTTCACCACGTGCACGATTTTTCTCTTACCTTCCGCAGGGAAAGAGCAACTGGTACACACCGCACTGACTGAGACTGAACTGTGAGCGCAAAGGTGTTCAATGTGAAAAAAAGAGTATCACGGGCGTGCGTGTGGAAGGGGGGGCCGCCGCTGCCGCCACCGCAGCCGCCGTCCTGTCGATCTCTCATAAACAAAAGTGTTCTTTGTGCATTGTGGATACAATGGTGCGCATGAAGCGCCATGAGCGCCAGCCGCGCCACGCAAGAGGCACAACACATAATATAACACAAATGCACTCTCGGCTGCTTATGTCATATAACGTGTGTGGGTATGTGCGAGGATAAATGTGAAATGAGGGGCTGGTTTGCAGATAAAAGCAGTTACATAATATACTAACTCATCTTTTAACTTTAGGCGACTCCCACGGGGATGAAACGTTGTTCATCCGAGCACATTAAGCCTTTATGCGAGAGTCACTGCTTTTTTCTTTCCTATTTTCCCTTCCACGCTCCAACGCGTTCAATTTATCTCTGACTCTTTTTTTTTAATAAATTCATCAAGGATCCTCTTTCCGATTTTGACCCTTGGGCTGAACCGGCCGGCGCTGACCTTTGCTCTGCGAAAAGTATCTGCGACTGCTGCTTTTGCTTTTGTGAAACAAAGTGAGGCAGGCAGCGGTGCGCCCGATTTATCGCGCCAGATAAGCCACGAGGAGTCGTCCTCACTTTCCCGACCGCAACTTTCTTCTTCCTCCTTCTTTTCCCAGCAGTAAATATCCGCAGATAAACGAAGAACATTACGAGAGAGTTGAAGGCATCAACCCCGGCAGCATGCGAGCCGAGATCAATATAAATGCGTGAGTGGCGGAACGGCGGTGGCGGCTGCTGAAAAAACAAACCTTTTATATGACTGACTTACGGCCTGGCATTTCTCCTGGTCCTGATCAGCATCATTTCGTCCAACTTTGACATGACAAATAAGATTATATGTGCGCAGGTAATAAAAAATTTTGCCTCGGTGATTGGAAGCAGATGTAAAATTTTATTTATGCGCGTGGACGAGACATTCTCGCGGCTGTTGCGCGGGGTGAGCGCCGAAGATAAATGGTTTAGGGTCGGTTGCCTCGCTGACCTTTTGGCGTGAAAACTTTATTACACGCAAGACCTGCTTGCAATTTGTCATGATGATCGCGGCCCCTGACTTTTATTTTGTTTAAAATTCCATCTTGTATTTGGCTGAAGGGTTTCTTCGCGCCAGATCCAGCACCTACGTTAATAAATTATGGAGTCGAGCCGGCGCCATAACTTGCAACTCACATAAAAAGGCATTTCGTGTAGCAAAGCCAAGAGGAAACCCCAGCAGATTTGAACTAAGTATATGTACATACGTGTACATCCCACAGCCTGAGGTGAAAATCCCGAGCTGAAAATTTCCTCTTGATAATGCCAAACTTTCGAGTTGGCCGTAACGTGGTGTGCGTTAATAATCTATGAAAAATCCGGCTAGCTTCCCAAAATTAGACCAGCTCGCCGTTTTTGGAAAGTCTCTCGAGCCTTTTAATGGCACGTTTGTGACGTCATCGGTGTGTCTACAACAAACTTGTAATTAATACGCAATAAACTTGCGCTACTCCCTTCACAAGAGATATTAGATAAGACTATTTGAGGGCCTCCTGAAGTATTAATTTAGCCGAAATTAAAGTATTGACTTAAGCAAAGTTGGTGTGCTTACAAGTCATTAAAGTTTAGCAACAATTTTACCACACACCGCATGACATAAAATGTGTTGAAACTTATTACTCTATTATCAAGAGCAATCTTAAAAACGCTGTCGAGAAAGCTGTTCTAAATTAAGAAACATTTCACGCCTCATTCTTCATGACTTTTCCTTCTTACTGTCTTTTCCTCCCGCAGCAAAATGTCGTAAAACTCAAGCAAGTCGTGCGAATAAAAATATACAATGGTCCTTTTCGGTCCTTTTGTTCAAATATACATATGCGCAGTGAAAAAGAATATGTTGGCGAGAGAGCAAGCGCGCCCCGCCATGGAGCCGTGGTCGGATTTGCTTTTGTTTCGCGCTCTCAAGTCGCACCAAGTTGTATAAAAATCGTCTTTTTATTGAATTCAAGCGACTGCCGACGATGGATTCTCAACCAAATTTTTTGCAGGAAGCTCCAATGAAATTGAAATATCTCCCTCCCAAAAGGAAAAAGGATTTTTAGCAACAAGTCGCATCTCGTCTAACGGGAGAATTTCCATTTGACGCACCCCCAGGCCTTAACCAATTTTGTTTTGTTTCACGTCAAATAATATATTATATCTTTCCAGCATCTCTTAGTTTTAATGAATTGAGAGATTCAAGTTTGAGACGAATGTTTTGCTCGGCCCATTCATTTAATATAGCGTGCTGCGCAGATAAAGAGAAGAGGAAACACCGGATTTCTTGGCATAATGCCTGCTGCCGACGATCCTTGGGGGTATAAAAATGGTCTATTCGCGTTGAGCATATAATTAAATTGATTCACTGTTCAAACTCCAAATAACAAAAGCTAATCAAAGTATTTGGTGATATATGTATTTAATATTTATTTTGCTAACAAGACCATTTTTCAAAAGTAAAATTTTCTTCTTGTTTGCTAAATCCATTCAGTATATTAAGCTGAGATTTCATCAGTCTCCGCTTATTATGCAAAGGCAAATAAAAGGTGTGTGCTATTAAAAAAAAAATGTGCTTATTTATATGTTCATATAGCACTATAAAGAGTCATTCAGTGTGCAATGACAATTGAATCCAATTCAATGAAAAAGAAGCTTCCCTTTTTGCTTTATTTTTTACTTTTGTCCAGGATATTTTCATACGGTGTGTTTTCAAAAATCGAAATTTAGCTTCGTATTTTTTTCAGGTCTTTTCATATCATCGGATTTTGTCAATATTAGCAATGGTCATAAATGTAAAATAGTTTATTGCCTTCATTGGTTTTATTTAAATTACTATGAGAATGAATAATAAGCTATTGATGAATTTAAAAATCTAAAATTATTGGCAATATTTAAGAACAGTTCCTCATAAAAAATAAGGAAGTGATTAAAACAAAGTTTTTGATCAATGTCAAATTCTCCAAATTCTCATTCAGTTGGCTGCACTAATCAAGAAAGTGTGCCGGCGAAAAAAAGGAAACGGACATTTTTATAGCAACAACCACGATATTACTCTGATTGCGATAAAGAGGGCAGTAATGGCAAGGAAAAATTTGTAATAAATTCCCCCATTCACATATTATGTGCGAGCGCGATTCTATTTTTGCGAGCATGAGGTGCCTGGATATGGGGCTAATGGAGCCGACAACAAGTTGTACACATGGAGGCGGCTGCTGGCATTATTGGTGCCTACTACATCCATACAAATGGTGGGAAATGAACGAACGCCGAGAAATTGAATGATTCGATTGCGAGCGCAGCACTCTAATGCATATATGGATGCCGCGTGCACACCTCGCTGACAAATAATAAGGCACTCTGTGATACGAGGGGCGATATCAACCCTTTAGTATAATTCGCTGCGACGTCGAGAAGGCACTCGAAAATTAATTCTGCAAGCTGTCAGCAAATTATCCCCCCGAGAATGAGGAGCGCCCAAGGTGCGCGTTCGATCTTTGAAATCCGATGAGCCCCTGCTCGAATTGAGCGCATCAATCACCATTCGCTTCTCGCTTGTCAACGACCATGTTTGTTCTCTGTTCCGAGCTTTGTAATAAGTGCCAATTAAAACGGCCTTAATATACCCCCCGTTGACACCAGATATTATGTCTCCCAGCATAGTAGGAAGTGTGCGGCACTTGTTGGCAAATCCAAGGGGTGATTTATTCACGGCACATATTTTGATCGATTTCTATATAACTTCAGAAGGCTATTTGCAAAGCATGCTTTCGGGACTTTGCACTACAGGACACCCTATCTGTCGTTGGTGCGTGTCTTGGAATGAAGTGCGCGCAGATCATGCATTATTCATGTTGACGACAGATCATCCCATTTTTCATATTTTATATATTAAACCTCGACGAGCCCGCCGGAAATTATTCCAAAGTTTTATCTCCTTCTAAAAAAAGCAAGAAGGATAAAAGTGTTGGAGCTATTAATAGTAAAAGTATTGAATACAACATTTTACAGCAATTAATTTGCGAAATTATTTTTAAAGTGTTTTTTATACACTTTTTTATGTTTCAATAAAAATTATAATCCTTTGTAACAATATACCAATTATGAGTACAACTGTTGAATAGGAAAAAAAGCGTTATTAACTAAATTAAAATCCGCTTATGAGAATTTTGGATTGATATAGCTTCAATGAAAAATATTTCCTTTAAAAGTTAAATCCCTCATAACAAACATAAGCAGATTTTAATTTAAATCCGGCAGAAATAAAAACTTTGTCAATTTTTTCACTAGAATAAGCAGCAATTTGAATTTATTTGTTAAACATTATATTGGAATTTTTGGCTTTATATTCGCTACCAATAGTAAAAAATTTAAGATAAAATAAAAAGTGTCAAAAATCCAACACACATTTACAAAAGATTTTGAATTTATAGCAGAATTTAATACACTCTGGATATATTTTGTTACTGTTAGATTGGGCAGCTGAGAAAATCAGCTCAAGAAAAGAATCTCCGTCCACTTTTTTTTTGGTCGCACCATATTCTTGATTGCTTTGTTTTCCGCGGAAGTTTCTGTTTAATGGATTGTATTTTTACAAGGACAATATAAATTTTTAACATGGAATAAGAAGTTGCAAAAATAGGTTGATTTATGAGTGAGGATGAGACACAATGATCAATAACGAACACTTGAGTATAAAATATGACGACTCACTCGCTCTGTTTTGTGAGAAAGCAGCGCAGCCGGTCAGAATCCAGAGCTTTTGCGGGCGCGGGGAGGATGCCGAGGTCGGAAACACCCACGGGAAGATTTTTCGCCCGACAATGTGCAAAATATGTGTGCCAAATTTATTGATTTTGTCTCCACAAAGTGCGGGCTGCCTCAGTATAAAAGGTAAACATTTAATTAGCCGAGTGGTTAATGTCATTAGCGGTTCCACTGATATGAAAAACGCAAACACTCTCTTGCTGGAGATTTTTGTAAAAATTTTATGGCTGCCATAAAATTGTTTGCTGAAAAATTTCGATTTGAATGAAGCGTGTGTGAAAATGCGTGGAGCCGCATGAAACACGTTCACAGATTTTCTGTTTGCTCTCCTGTGAGTGGCGAATTATGCAAAAATGAATTGTTAGCTCTTCACTCATCTGATTATACAACTTGATTTCTTTCTCTGCTCTCGCCTCTTCAAATTTGATATAATTTGTATGATTTTAAGTTACCTCGATCTTTTTTCCGTTCTATTAAATTTTCCTGAAATTTTCTAGTTCAATTTCTAAATTACTGAAAGTAAATTTTTTACTTCAAATAACTGATGCAATATTTTCTTTCACGAAAGGCGCAGATTTTGTTATTTTAGGATGAAAGTACCATGCTGAACTATTAAATTTGTTATTATTAAATTTTGATATTTCTGTTCATGTAGGTCAACTTTTGTAGGCTAGACGTAGACGTATATTAATAAAGTTCTGCAAGAGGACAAAAATTTTGTCAAAATTATTTTATCTTATAAATATGTTCATACTTAGAGAGATAATTTGAAATAATTTGTCTATTAATAATTATTTAATCAATCAATAGTAACCTGCCTATTTATTATGTACGGCTGTATCAGGGCTGCGCGCATGTTGTCAATTGCAGAAATCTGACCATGCATCATGTTATCTTTCTTCTCCTTTTAATTTTTATCTGGCCATTTTAATTGTAAATTTAAAACTGTCTAGTGCTGTCTAGTAAACTAAAAGGGGTGAAGGTCGCAGAGTCATTTTGCACTTACCTCAACCGGCGGTTCCCGGCACGACGGCAGTTTTCCCTTTCAGCAGACCCGAAAGTGAAAATGCGAGTTACGAGGAGGATTTCATTCCGAGTTACAATGATTGCGCCTTCCCATTGAACTCTGCGCTGATTGGTTGCTAGGGTCCCTTTCAACCAATCGCTGTGCATTGGCTTAAGCATTGCTTCACTCGTTAGGTGGCAGCAGCGGGCAAAAGGCTTGAATGGAAGTGGGCGTTGGTTTTGTTTTGCTCGGAACAGTTTCTGATTGGACGGTTCTGAGGAAAGAAACGCTAAATGTGACTAAAACCAGGAAAAAGCGAAGCTAAATTATTTTCGACGTCAAATGTCTGGTGGTTCATAAGTTTTCCTCTCTTATTGTACCCTATTTGTGTATGCAGTGCATTATTCTATATTAGTCCCTCAAATTAAGAATTAACAGTTCTTATTTTTTTCAGCACGTCAAGTTTGTACGTAACCAAAATAATCATTCGGGATGGGCCTCGACAGAATTTGGCCGAACTGGCTAGTTTTCTTTCACTTTTTGCTGATTGTTCTCTCACAACCATCAAGATATTGCAACAATCAAACGCTAGATGATTGCTCTGAGCAAGTCTTTGGAGAGCATAAAACTTCGGTAAGTATCCTTTATTTCACCAAGAGTTTTCTATTTATGCATTTTTTTACTTCCAGTCGGACACATGCGAGTTGAAAAAAATTGAAAGAAGTGGTAGGTTTATTACTCATGTAATGTCAAATAATATAGAGGCAGTATATGAAGAACTTCAAAAACATTTTTAAGTCTTCTCAATCCATACCCACTTTCTCATACTTATTGCTAACCATTTAATATTTTACTACATGCATTTTGTATTAATTTCTTCTCTATTTTGTCTGAATAGAATGTCCCAATCAGCAACTCAGTGGTGAAAACAATGAGGATCTTGGCAAAATTACTATAAATTCATATTTTTACAACCTGGAACCATCTCGATTAGTCTCATACAATATTTCCTTTTCAAACATCAAATGGGATCGTAAGATTGAATAATATTTTTGTAGATTTGTCGAATTGCTAAAGGCAAAATTTGTTATATTCGCTTCCAGATGCCATAATGAGATACACATTGCATGGGAAAGAAGGTGAACAAATGTTTTGCCGTTCGTTTGAAATATCAGGGATCGTCTTGCCTGAGAAAGAACTCACTTATGATTGCAATTGGTGGAATATATCCCAGGAAAAAGGAAGGCTGAAAGTGGAGGTTATGCTCGCAAAAGGGAGCCAGCGTACATATAAAAAACTTGCCTTGCGAATTCAAGAAAATGAATATCACGGTGAGCATTAAAATATAAAAGTCATATTTTTCAGTATATTAAATTTTTATGAATAGAACATGTTGCCAAATCTGCAAATCAATGGGAAGTTTTTACCTACGTAGATGTGACTTCCGAGGAAGAAATCTCCGTCCACATGGAAAATCCAAAAGAGTTTGGAAATTTTTCCTACCGAGTTAAGGCTGTCCATGTAGTTGATGGCAAAGAGAAAATCATCGCAGAAAAGCTGACTAATTCGACTGTGGCTACTTTCAAATCTTCGGAACTTCAGCTTCCTCTCTTTTTCTACGTGGAGCCTATTGGAGAGAATTGTCGCAATGCTTGCCGCATTGCCAAAACCCTTACTATTTTATATGGTATAAATGGTCATATTTTTGCAGAGAAAATAACTGTTTATGTCTTATTAATTCATTTCAGAGCCTACGTCTTACGCTGCTCTTGTTTTTTCCATCGTTCCCATCTTGATTGTCCTTGCCATCTTTGCACTCTTCATTTTTGTTTATATTCCTACAAAGAGAAGGCACCAGCTTATTGGTAAATTTATGGTTTTGATCAGAAAAAATTTATTAATATTATCATTTAGGAATACCAAAGCCGTCAGTTGTCATCATGTACAATGGAAACCACGATTTCCATTCGAGCCTTGTCAAGGATTTCGCAGATTTTCTTACTTCAAAAAATATGGACATTCATCTTGACATTGATGAAATTTCAAAGCTTTCTGACCCTGTATGTTTTTTACTCTTCGGTATCTCTGGTTTTTAATGTCAAGTGTTTAATTACAGGACCCATCAAAATGGTGCTCAGGTGTCATCTACAATGCTGATGTTATTCTCATTGTGAGTAGTCCCTCCTGCTGTCCTAATAAAGGTGAAGGGATTTACGGAAGGCAAGTATATGATGCGATGGAAAGAGAAATAAGAAACAACGTGGCGCAACCAAAATGTCGTCTTGTCCGCGTTCAGTTGCCATACTGCAGCACCCGAGATTTTCCTGCGAAGATGAACTACACAATATTTAACATCCCAAGAGAAATGACTTCTCTTATTAATTTTGTGCACAATCTAAATAATTCGGCCCACGCACTTGTTTTACCCTTTTCTAAAAGGGAGGGTTCTGATTTGATCAATTTAAACAAAAACATTTACCAAGCGGGTCTTTATATGGAAGCCCATGATGTTCAAGAAGACACAAAAGGCAGCATGGTAACATTACCACTGATTGAAGATGTTGCTGACGAAATCAATGAAACTAAGTCATACGAACAAGTTCCCACCGAGCCCCAAAGCCCATCTCAATACCCAGATATGAAAAGAATGAAGTTGCTCGGGGAAGATGGCGATAACGGAAGGGAGGGAAATTCTCAAATAAGAAGTTTGCTCGAGAATGAGAAAATTTAAGATTCGTCTTTTATGCGTTCCTGACCCACTCAGAGTTTGATCTGTTTTAAGCACAAAATAATTTTAACAAGAAAATCTGTGTAATTGTATATTTTTCAAATGAGATTGATCTTTTCCATTTAATATTTATCTATTTGTAAAAGGGATAAGTTTTATATGCTAATGCTGTATTTTACTATTTTTTTTAATATAATTATTTTGCTATGTGTGCTGATGTATGTGTGTGTTTGAAAATATAATTGGTCCAAAAGGTGCATATAGACCATTTATTTCATTTTCTGTAGTAGACACCAACATAATAATCATATTTTAACATTCAACATCAAGACCATCAGGCTGAATGTGCATATATTCTTGATTGATAACAATGTCTGTAGTAATGTCCAGGTAATCAGAGCCCTCCTGTAGAATTGTATTCAAAATTGAGGTTATGTGCTTGAAACTCGGCCTTCGAACAGGATGTACTTCCCAGCAGGCTTGCATCAAATGATACCTAAAATATTAATTATAAAAAAATAATTTCAATGATTACGTTAATTACAATTTGCAATTAGAATTTGGCACTGGATTTTCCATTCTGTAGCCTGCTCGGAGCAAATCAAAGAGGCTTTGTATTGCAATCCCGGGGTACGGCGCCAGTCCTAGGGTAAGGAGCTCCCAAATTAAAACACCGTAGCTCCACACGTCTGATTTGCTCGTGTAGACTTGTTCTGATAGAGACTCCAGGGCCATCCACTTGACCGGAACTATTTAAAATAATATAATCAACAAAAGATTTTCTTTGTGAAAATTTTCCTTTTTTTAATAACCTTTTCCTCTGCTTTGCTTTAGATATGTATCATCTTCGTACACATCTCGTGACAGCCCAAAGTCTGAAACTTTGCACACTCCCTTGGAAGTCAGCAATATGTTTCGAGCCGCTAAATCTCTGTGCACCATCTTTGCGTATTTTTCATTATTATTTTTCTCGCATTCAGTATCAATGTGCTCACCTTCATTTCACTAAGATATTCCATTCCTTTGCTAATCTGCCAAGCAAATGAGATCAACGTTTTCAAACTGAGTCTTTCGGCTTCCAGAGCTTCTCTCCCTCCCCTCCTACATCCTCTTAAATAGCCCCTGTTAAATTTAATATAAATAGCATATTTTATTTAGATTAAAAATGATGGTTGTGATCTTGATTAATGACCTTAGCGACCCCCTGTCTGCATATTCGATAATGATGAAAATTGGGCCTCCCGTACACGTACAGGCACCTAGCAGACGGATTATATTTGGATGTGACACCTCCTTGAGTAGCTCATATTCTGTGAGTAGGTCATTGAGTTCATTGCTGCCAGCACCATTCTTCAACGCCTTCACAGCCACCATAGTTCGACCTGTGAGAAAAAAGTAGGAAGCCGATTTCAGCAAGCAAATATTTGTTTTGAATTTCCCCCGAGTGGAAAAAATCAATTTGCACGCACAATGGAGGGCCCTAACGGCACCCCGAAGGTTGCAAGAGTCACAAAGTCATATATTATATATGTATGTGTTTCTCGTACGAAACGCAGATTGATAAACGGGATAGGCTCACAGAGCAGCGTCTGTTTGTTCAGGAGCGAGCGGCTCTGATTAGCTTACAAAAATGTGTAGGTGCGAAAAGAGGAGTAGGAAAATCGATATCTGTCTCTAAACTACACGTTTAAATTGGGTATGCATTCCGCATGTCCAACGAGGCGAGCAGGTTGCATAACTTGGGTTCCATTAACCTCAAGAAATTGAATTCCAGAGCAGATTTGAATAAAAAATTTATCCTCGATTGAGGAAAAACTTCCAAATTTTATAATCTAGTTTTTTGCCCTTTAAAAAAATATTTATTATAAATTTTGAGGAAACACGAATTAACATGCAAGTGATGCGACAAAAAAAAATGCAAATGCTCTAATTCATTCCGAGCGCTGACAGGGGTTAAAGTTTTTAGAGTTAAAAGGGCTGATTCATAAATTATTAAAGCAAGCCGAGGCTGAATTACGCAAGCACCGTTTGCATGCCCTTCTCGCTCTTTTCAGCGCACATCCACAATAGTAAAATTTTCAGCAAAAGAGGGACGAGAGAGACTGCCGGACGCCCACGCGCCGAGCGCCGCAGCAACATAAATTGCTTTTTATGTGCGTTCTTGGCATAGACATTACCTGGAACACCTGGCAGGTCGATAGCAGATGCTTGCAGGACTCGGCCAAACTCGCCCTCACCCACCACCTTTTCAATGTGCAGCCTTTCGCGCGGGAATTCCCACTTTGGATCGAGCTGTGTGTAAAATATTCACGCGAATTATTAATGCTCACTTTAATTTCGGCTGACGGGACAAAGTTGCAGAAAAAAGAACCCACCGGCAAGTACTTTACGTTGGGGACACAATACAGTTTTGTTTCTTGCTCGTCACAGGTTGCTCCTGCACCAGCGTTTTCTATTGTTTGCGCGGCGCCCCACTCGCACAGAGAACTCTCCTTTGGCTCCAGCAAAGCCTCTCTTCTCGTCAGAATAATTCGCGCAAAATGTACGAGTCTGCAATAATATACAGGAAATATGTTTCATAATTTCATTATAAACACTCAATGAATGCTTCCTCGAATTGAAAAAAAAACGTGAAATAATATTTGAAGCGCGTGTACTGGAAACCACAGTTGACTGCTTAAATTTCTGCTGCTGATGATGCATTATTTAGTTGAATGGTTAATTTACAATTTACAACGTGACATGGCGAGCAATAAATGTATTCGATTTCAACATAAATAATCACGTTTTTAACTTAATAACCAAATTCATACCATGCTGGTTGATTTTAAATAAAAGTAAAATATTTTAAAATTGCGGTGGACAATCAATAAAAATAAACAGAACGATTAAAGTGCTGATGCCACAAGAATCTGAATAATAATTTTATCTTTTATCATAAACAGTTAATTGCGTTAGTTTATAGCTTTAATTGAAGCAATTAGTTTTCTTGAAATTGGTGAATTAAATTATGTGCGCTTACCTTTTAGTGTAAACGGTTGCTGCAAGCAGGATTACAAGAAGGAGAACTACGCACCCACTGAGGAAAACCATGCAAGTTCTATCACACCCGCTACTTGCTGCTTGAAATACAAAATACGTTTGTAATTTTTAACGAATTCATTAAAAAAATATTATAATAATAAAAAAAAAATCTTGAAAAGAGAGGTTGAATTAAGTAACCACTTGGAAGTTGGAACCAGGGAAATCACAGCAATATTTTGCATAAAGTACAATATTAGCTAGGACAATTAAAAAAATTAAATAATAAGCCTTGGATCGGTTTATATTGATTGGAAAACATGATTAATTTAAAATGAAAATCATTAACTCCCAGGCAATGTGTCACAGCTTGCAAAGTTTGAACAATTTTATATTGATATACTTACAGTTCTCCTTTGGCTTGTCGCGCGCCAGACTGCCGCGAGTGACGTCTGATTTTTGACTTCGAAATGAGGCGGCTGAACTTTTCTCATTAGAGCAAGTGCATTTGCCAAAACTGTTGCAGAAGCAGACCCCTGAGGCAGCATTAATCCCTCGATCGCCTCTTTCCCCATCATTCAGCATGCCCGATCCGTAAACATACTCTGTGAATTTAATTTTTCTCATGACGAGGGATTTATACCTGATGATTAATGAGTTTTAAATGTCGGGTGCGCAATAATAAGTTTACAGGTAAAAATATCTATAGTTGTTTGTAATGATTTGTACAAACACGACAGCTCAACAAATTTAGATTCAAATTTATGACACATTTCTCTTGTAATCTGTCGATGCCATTAATCATTTGAATGATAATCGTAATTAATTTATGAATAATATAGATTTTTAATATTAACAAAGTTTTATTAATCAACTTAATTAATGTTAAAATTTTACGTTTGAATTATTATATGCGACCAGTTCGCCTGCACGCTCAATGTTTAAAACATCGCCGGTTTTCGATTTTGCCTTAAGCAGAATATTGCAAAGCCACTATATAATCAAAAGCATCGATTCAATTATAATTTGATTCCCGTCATTCACGTGTTCATGATTGCAAACGCCTTCTTGGAACACAGCCTTCCAATCGCTAACAACGCGTATATAAGTTTGAATTTTGGCACAAATTGCGAAAATTAATAAAGCGTTGAGCGCGCCGCTAAACGGTAGTGAAAATAATAAATTATCAATGCGCACAAATTTATTTACAATAAAAAATAGGTAAAAAGTAGCTATTGTTTTTCATGTTTTAATTAATGAAAGAAATTTTGACTGATCGTTGACGATTGGTCACATTTTTCCGTATAAGTAAATGCATTTCTGATTTTTTTCTTTTAGATCTGCTTTGTAAATATAAAATGAGAACTTTTATTAAAAAGAGGTGCTAATAAATTATTACATACGCATTTAAATAAGTCAGGAATTTTCTAGTAAAATATAGCGTATCGATTTAACGCAAAGAGCGCTTGAACTATAGATTATTATATTAACTTAAGTTACGCACATTGCATATGACTTGGAAAAAGTGACGTAAATGACGAGTTTATTTATACCTGTGCAGTCTTGCGGGCAAATATGAAAATCCATCTCCTCGAGTTCATCGCAAACTCTATTAGGGCAGAAGACAATGTCGGGGGTGCAGGTGGCATAAATCTGCGTAAAATTAGAAGTGGCATTAAGTGCGATTTGGGCGCTGCGCCATGAGCAAAATGATGAAGTTGACACGCCGCAGCCCTTTCTGCATGTTTCTCTTGTGGAAAATTCAGCGCAAAGAGTTTCATTTTCGGAATCGTTGCCACACTGGGTTTCATTTCTGTCCAGCTCAATTTCAATCCAATGCAAAAAACTCTCGGACTCGTTAGCCGCCTTGTAAACCGAAACTGTCAAGTTTTCCGAGTCCTGTTTGTATGAGTGAAGGGCTTTTGGGTTAGAAATGTAAATAATGCCCGAATTTGGTGTGATGGCCGCCCATTCAGTCGAGCTTTCCAATCTAAACTTCCACCCTTTAACTGGTTTGAATCCGCCTTTTGGCTGCGAAACTCGTTGAAAAAGTGCAGAATTTCTTGAAACGATCAACTTTGTTGCCGGATAAAGAGGCCCTTTGAGTCGCTCCTTTGATCTGTTGCTTCTATTTGCCGTTTTGGAAGAAGGAGATGCAGTTGATGATAAAAGTTCCTCTTTCGCTGAATGGACGCAGCCTGCGAACCAAAAAGACATCGGAATTAACCAAGATTTTCAACTAAATGCTTTCCTTTGTATTGATTTTGTATAAATTGTCAGCACCGCAGGCAAGGACAAGATAAATGCGTTTCAGGTGTTGCTCTGATTTTCTTTTTTATTCCTCTCCCTGGAGACTGCAGGCGTGTAAAAAAAGTTGCGGATATTCTGAGGCAAGGGAAGTTTTTTAATCACTGGGCTAACTTTCCAGAAAAGGATAAATTGCGGATTAATTCCTGGAGGAGACGCGCGACGAAGAGAAGAGGCTTACGTTTAGTTATGCTATATATAAATTTAATGTATAACTGCTTAACACGCTGCTCGTGCCCGAGAGCCATTAAAGCGCGATTTTAACTTTTCTTCTATATCAGTCTCTTACCAGGGAAAAATTATATCTGCCAAATTTTGCGTCGCAAGAAGTCGACGAAGTAGTTGTAAAGGCGTTTCCGCAGCAAATTATGGAAACGATTTAAAGAAGAGCCTAAAATTTTTATACTCGACTTAAGAAACTAAAAAGTTTTAAAGAAAATTATAATGAAGTCTGTCTAGCTTTTTTTATCTGAAGGAATTACTTTCGTCTCCTTTCTTCTTCAGTATCAGTAGTTATTTGAAGCTTTAATTTTTTACGTCTTTTGGATTTTCCATCATTGTCGAATTCACAGATCTGTGTTCTTATGTTTGATGTATTTATTATTATTTTTGTGTGTGCTTTTTTGTGTGAATTTCATTGCGCATGTGTACTGTTTCCGGAGCTGCGAATTTAGCCGGCGTGAAAAGCTCGTAAATTGATAAAACGACACACGGTCTCGGCCCAATCGGACGTCAAGGGAGGCAGGAGAGTCTTTTCACGACAATTTAGGATAGCTGGCGCGGTGGAAAAGCAGGAAAAGTTAATCAAATTATCTGCTCGCTCGGCGCAACAAATACGCAGGCTTCGAGCACCGCCGTGACCAAGAAACTAGTGTTTGCGTTGAAAGCGGCGGCCAATTTCTAGGAATTGATAAATTTAAATCGGCGCACAATGCATAATGCATGAAGAAAGCTGGCAGCAACACTGCGTCATGTGCTTGCCACGGGGACAACGGCAGGCGCTGAGAGATAAAGGTCCGCGGGATTATTATTTGCTAGCGCCAGCGATAAAAAGCGCCGTCATATATACCGCACGAGCAGCCGCAGAAACTGCGGGGATAAAAACAAACGGCTTTGGCCAATAAAAAGATTTTTATTTGCGGGATCTACGCGAGTTAGCGACGACCAAGTGAGTTGTTATCTAGCCCTGCTGACAGAAAAACCGCACTTCGTCAAAGTCGAGCGCCAGCGAGAAAAATGGTGCACGAAATGGTCCACCTTCTATGGTTAATGGAGAGATTATTTCTGCTCTTCGGTCGCTGGGGACATCAAGTCTAGATGAAACAAACGCTTCGTCTGGGGTATTAAAAGTTAACAAAAGAGAGGGAGAGATGTTTATAAGCGGCACGCAAAAATATAAGGCGGTGGTATCAAAATCAACAATAAATATTAATGCACTTGCGTCTGTTGCGGATTATCTTGTCACTTGGATTTATGCCTCAATAACCCCGCCCCGAGGCAGTGTCTGACCTTGCCCTGCAAAGGATATAATATAGGTGCTCTCTTTCGCAAAGAGTCGCGCCTGCCCGCCACAAGCTCGCTTGCTTTCGCTTTATTACGCCTACGCAAGTAAACATGCAGCTCTCATCACATGATCCTCGGCGACAACCGCCTAGCTAAATTGATTAGCATCTACTCAGGCTCTCTTTGAATAATTTAATACATGGTAAGAGGGTTAAGCAAGTTCAAGTCTGTCTTGATTAACTTGGAGAAAACTTTTATTTCCAAAATATTACAAATGGAAGTTTTCCAAGACTGAAATTGTCTTTAAAAAAAATGTAATACTCATCGGAAATAATTGGTCTGCTTGTAACGATGAGTGAAAATCAATTTCGTGTAATATGAGACTTACATGGGGCTATTTCATCTCTGCCCTGTAGAACACTATGCTCGTTAATTTGACATTCCCGGCGTCAGTCGAGGGCGCAAAAAGGCGATTGATTCGCGCTGATCACACAGATAGTGTGCAAAATTCATGCGACTGAGTTGAGCCGCAAAATCAATACACTAACTCTGGTGCCAAATATAATAATTGCCCCGGCTGTTTAATCAGGCCGGACGTGATTTCTTGGAAAGGGGAGACAATCGCGGCGCAGGTTTCGAGACGAGATTTGTGATCTAATTGGGCGTTAATTGACGAGGGCGGAGGGTGGCGAAACGCCATATGCGCTAACGATTAAAGCATTAGCCTCGGCACGATTCGCGATAACAATGGATGAATTATTTCCGCGCGTACAACCGCAGCTACCTCCTTTGACGCCGCAAAATACAGAAACAATGGTTGAGCCGCTTCTGTGTGAAGAGTTGGGGATGAGAATTAGCCTCTCCAGCCAAGACATTAATCAACGTGACAGCACGGAAAAGTTGTAAGGAAAAATCAGATTGAAATAAATGACGCGGAAATTTCTTTTTCATTATTCGAAAGCAGGAACAAACTCAAGATTTTATAAAACAATAATGGCCAAAAGTTCCTATTCTCTGCGCCGCGCAAAACCGTCATATGAATCCATCAAGCTCGAACAAGCGGCACAGACTTTTACCCGCCGTCGTGTTTGTGTTTAATCACGCAAAATTAAACGCGAGAGAAGAATTATTTCCAATCCCATAAACGTAAATGTCAAAAAGTGACAGCACGAAATGCCCTCGTTTTGACAATTTTAATTAGCGGTAGAGCTATTTCGGGCTGAGGCAGAGGCGGATGGGAATTTATATCGCTTAACAAATGGCGATCTATATCAGGGCACAGCAGGTGGATAAACGAACACCATTCCATCAGAGAGGTCATAAATTGCTCGGGGTTTGAGCGCTTTGGACGCAGAGAGAAAAAGAAGAGTAACAAATCCAGCTTATTTCCTTCACCCGCCTTTTTCAAAGAAACTAGGAAAATATACATACTCAAAGAGCACACACGCGTGCCTTTTATAATATTATGCTTCTGTCAGTTTCTATTTGCAGAAAATACGTCATCTCGTCGAGATGATCTCGATAAACCGTTTCGATAAGCACAAGAAAATATATTTTTATTATTATGGGAAAGTTTGTGTCAGAATATTATATTTAAAATGTCTTTTTAAAATTTTTTTTTAAAATAACAATTTTATAAAGCAATGAGATTTAAATTTTGTTCTATTTTCTTAATTCAACTGCATAAATAACTTTGAATTTGTATATAATGTATTATAAGTTTCAATATGGGCAATGATTTTGTTAAATCAATATAAAATATTGTTCAACCAATTCAAACTTTTTTGATTTATTTGTGCTGATCCAGACTTAAATTTATCCTGTAGGAAATAGAAGAATAACCGTGATCAAAATGATTGAGTGCTTTCTACTCTGCCGCAATTTTGTCTACTCAGCGCATTGATGTGAAAGGTCAGAGGTATATAAAAACATAAAACAAATAAACAGTGGATCCAAATTGAATTAATTCCCACTAGCTGGAGGCGGATCGCGAAAAACCCACCCCACGCGTGCCTTATATCTGCCGCACTGTGATAAAAACAGAGGGGTTAGTATGTCCCTTTGCTTTGGTGGTTGCTGCAATCGATAATTTAGGCGCACCACACCACGCTCACATGCTGCTTGCACTTTTTTTTAAACAAATGTGCACGCGAGCCACTTTCAACTCCTAATAGCAATATTTAAGACGCAGAAAATGAAAAGCTGCGGCACCGTGAAGGGGGTTAATGAGTTGCGGAAAAACTGTAATGCTGAGATGTCGAAACACGAAAGTAATGCACAATAATACCATTTGCGGCCTTCACATTAAAGTGGAGGGACAAATTTGAATAATATAACAGGTGTTTACAAAAAGCTTATTATGCTTGATATTTAAATTTCAGACTAACATTAACAGAATATTAATTGAACTTTTAATTTCATGTCACGTTTCATTTTTGATATTTTTCTGGCTCTATGGAAAAACATTGGAAAATTGGCTGGAATTTTTCATTATTAAACTATAATTAATGACATAAAAATACAATAAAAAGTAATGATTTTTTTTATTTAATAAGCTGAAGACTAAATATTACGGACAATTACAGACCAAAGGTCAAGCAAATTTTAAATTTTCTAATTTTATAAGCATTGTGAAAAAATTATAAATATAATATTTTACCATGCAGGTCTTCAAAAAATAGAATTATTATATAAATATTCAACCTGGTAATTAAAAATTAATAGTTTAACAAAATCTTTTCAACTGTTCCTCTTTGAGGCGGTAAAAATTAGTAAAAGGAAATACATAATTTTGGAGAGATAACTTAATCACCTGACTGAAGAACGATTAGCGAGGTACAGGTGAAGAGAGTCGCCTTAAGGAGCAGCATCTAGAACCGGTCTAGGCTAGTTTCGGAACAGGAAGTTGGATCAAGCCATGGCAATTAGTGGGCCGCCCCCGCTCGAGCCGCCTCCAAAGACGGCAACAGCAATAATGGAACGCGCACACCACTTGCTGACGTACAAAAGAGACTGACTGCGAGTATCAGAGGCTTAGACGCACGCGTCGTCTAGTTCCGTTCGGAGGGAGCGAGGCTGCCGGCGCACGAGGGCGAGTCGGCCATCGGGACAAGGGATTATCCGTTTTTTTAATTTCTGTAGAAAAATAATAAACTTTTAAATTTTAAAACGGATTTAACTATTGTAACAATGAGGGCCAAAGTATAAAAATTCATTTTTTTGACAATTACATCAAGGAACTACATGAATAATTATTTTTTATTGCATATCGGCAATTTAATTTTTTTTTTGAAATCTTTAAAGAATTTTAAAATGAAAAAATATAAATCCTGCAACTACTTTTAACATCAAAATCTAATTATTTTTGTCAAGTTTAATTTATTAAAAAAAAAAAAAAAAAAAAAAAAAAAAAACAGCAACATATATTCTTATGGCATATTAAAAATATTATCATCTTCAGACCAATGATTTGACACAATTAAATTTTTTCATTTTTATGGATGTATTTAGTGTTTGTTTTCTTTTTTAACCGTTTCGTTTTTCCATTTTATTTCCGCCTACTTTTCCAAGAGCACCTGCTTTGTGAAACCTTGTAATGTTGTTAAAATTTCTGTGTCAAGAAAGTACACATTTGCAGCGCTCAATTTTACCAAAGGGTATCGTTTCGCCTTACAAAAGTCCAACAACCCCTCACGCCCATTCGTCCCATCCCCTGTACACTAACGTGCCAAACATGTATATGCATAAGCTAGTGAGTACACATTGCACGTTCACCTTGATGTGTGGGCAGGGCCCATTTTATTAATTACGAGAGGCAAGCAGGAAAATGCCGACCCGGCGGGGTTGCGTTATTTTATTAACCCGCTGCTAACTTTTCCTCATTATGTCGGTCGATTTTCTTTTTGATGCTTTTATAAAGACGGTGGGCGTCCCTGCTATTTAAAAAGTGAGCCAAACCAAGTTGATGGCAATATTAATGGATTGCAAATTGTTTTACCATTACGTTTCAATAGTGTTAATTTCGGTCCAATCCAAACCAATTAAAGAGCTGAAAGAGATGAAAAAGTTTCATTATTATGTTAACCACCAAAAAATCGAATTGTTGACATTTGCAAAATATAATTGCAAGTTTTATTAAAAATTGAAATCAAAACAAAAAGTATTAAAAAAACCTTGCTAAAATCTAAATAATATTCAATGCATATAAAAGTGTCTAAAAATGTGGGAAATTGGAATTTTACCAAGTATCTATTTTTTTTACATTCAATGTTAAAAAAAGAGTTTTTTTTTCAAATATATTGGGGGAGATTCAATAGACCTAGCTCTCCCGGGATAAAAGATATCCAGGGATAAATCCATATCCCTGGTTAAATATTTTTTATCCCGATTTCAATTTTTTGTCATAACTTTTCTTAGCCCGCTCGTCGGGACAAACATTTGACTCGAGCTAAATTCAAATGAACTGGTTATAAAAAGATCGTCAAACTTTAAAAAATTTGGGCAAAATTTCAAGGAAAAAACTGTATCAAATCAGATTTTTGTGAAAATCATAGAGATGACACAAAAGTGCGGGCTGCGTGCGTGGGAACCTTCTATTAATTAAATATTGAGAAAACAACCAAAGCATTGCACGAAGCACTTTTAAATCTAGAAAAATAGCTTTAAAATGAAGTGAAAGAGACGCCTCAACATTTTATTTAACTTGGTGCAAGCTGAATTTTTTTGCTTCGATCTTATTAATCGCGGAACCTTCAATTAATTAAAATTTGAGAAAATAACCAAAGCATTGCACGAAGCACGAAGCACTTTAAAATCTAGAAAAATAGCTTTAAAATGAAGTGAAAGAGACGCCTCAACACTTTATTTAACTTGGTGCAAGCTGAATTTTTTGCTTCGATCTTATTAATCGCGGAACCTTCAATTAATTAAAATTTGAGAAAATAACCAAAGCATTGCACGAAGCTCTTTAAAATCTAGAAAAAAAGCTTTAAAATGAAGTGAAAGAGACGCCTCAACACTTTATTTAACTTGGTGCAAGCTGAATTTTTTTGCTTCGATCTTATTAATCGCGGAACCTTCAATTAATTAAAATTTGAGAAAATAACCAAAGCATTGCACGAAGCTCTTTAAAATCTAGAAAAAAAGCTTTAAAATGAAGTGAAAGAGACGCCTCAACACTTTATTTAACTTGGTGCAAGCTGAATTTTTTTGCTTCGATCTTATTAATCGCGGAACCTTCAATTAATTAAAATTTGAGAAAATAACCAAAGCATTGCACGAAGCACGAAGCACTTTAAAATCTAGAAAAAAAGCTTTAAAATGAAGTGAAAGAGACGCCTCAACACATTATTTAACTTGGTGCAAGCTGAATTTTTTTGCTTCGATCTTATTAATCGCGGAACCTTAAATTAATTAAAATTTGAGAAAATAACCAAAGCATTGCACGAAGCACGAAGCACTTTAAAATCTAGAAAAATAGCTTTAAAATGAAGTGAAAGAGACGCCTCAACACTTTATTTAACTTGGTGCAAGCTGAATTTTTTTGCTTCGATCTTATTAATCGCGGAACCTTCAATTAATTAAAATTTGAGAAAATAACCAAAGCATTGCACGAAGCACGAAGCACTTTAAAATCTAGAAAAATAGCTTTAAAATGAAGTGAAAGAGACGCCTCAACACTTTATTTAACTTGGTGCAAGCTGAATTTTTTTGCTTCGCTCTTATTATTCGCGGAACCTTCAATTAATTAAAATTTGAGAAAATAACCAAAGCATTGCACGAAGCACGAAGCACTTTAAAATCTAGAAAAATAGCTTTGAAATGAAGTGAAAGAGACGCCTCAACACATTATTTAACTTGGTGCAAGCTGAATTTTTTGCTTCGATCTTATTAATCGCGGAACCTTCAATTAATTAAAATTTGAGAAAATAACCAAAGCATTGCACGAAGCACGAAGCACTTTAAAATCTAGAAAAATAGCTTTGAAATGAAGTGAAAGAGACGCCTCAACACTTTATTTAACTTGGTGCAAGCTGAATTTTTTTGCATCGCTCTTATTAATCGCGGAACCTTCAATTAATTAAAATTTGAGAAAATAACCAAAGCATTGCACGAAGCTCTTTAAAATCTAGAAAAAAAGCTTTAAAATGAAGTGAAAGAGACGCCTCAACACTTTATTTAACTTGGTGCAAGCTGAATTTTATTGCTTCGATCTTATTAATCGCGGAACCTTCAATTAATTAAAATTTGAGAAAATAACCAAAGCATTGCACGAAGCACGAAGCACTTTAAAATCTAGAAAAATAGCTTTAAAATGAAGTGAAAGAGACGCCTCAACACTTTATTTAACTTGGTGCAAGCTGAGTTTTTTTTGCTTCGCTCCTATATTAATCGCGGAACCTTCAATTAATTAAAATTTGAGAAAATAACCAAAGCATTGCACGAAGCACGAAGCACTTTAAAATCTAGAAAAATAGCTTTAAAATGAAGTGAAAGAGACGCCTCAACACTTTATTTAACTTGGTGCAAGCTGAGTTTTTTTTTGCTTCGCTCCTATATTAATCGCGGAACCTTCAATTAATTAAAATTTGAGAAAATAACCAAAGCATTGCACGAAGCTCTTTAAAATCTAGAAAAAAAGCTTTAAAATGAAGTGAAAGAGACGCCTCAACACTTTATTTAACTTGGTGCAAGCTGAATTTTTTTGCTTCGATCTTAGTAATCGCGGAACCTTCAATTAATTAAAATTTGAGAAAATAACCAAAGCATTGCACGAAGCTCTTTAAAATCTAGAAAAAAAGCTTTAAAATGAAGTGAAAGAGACGCCTCAACACTTTGTTTAACTTGGTGCAAGCTGAATTTTTTTGCTTCGCTCTTATTATTCGCGGAACCTTCAATTAATTAAAATTTGAGAAAATAACCAAAGCATTGCACGAAGCACGAAGCACTTTAAAATCTAGAAAAATAGCTTTGAAATGAAGTGAAAGAGACGCCTCAACACATTATTTAACTTGGTGCAAGCTGAATTTTTTGCTTCGATCTTATTAATCGCGGAACCTTCAATTAATTAAAATTTGAGAAAATAACCAAAGCATTGCACGAAGCACGAAGCACTTTAAAATCTAGAAAAATAGCTTTGAAATGAAGTGAAAGAGACGCCTCAACACTTTATTTAACTTGGTGCAAGCTGAATTTTTTTGCATCGCTCTTATTAATCGCGGAACCTTCAATTAATTAAAATTTGAGAAAATAACCAAAGCATTGCACGAAGCTCTTTAAAATCTAGAAAAAAAGCTTTAAAATGAAGTGAAAGAGACGCCTCAACACTTTATTTAACTTGGTGCAAGCTGAATTTTATTGCTTCGATCTTATTAATCGCGGAACCTTCAATTAATTAAAATTTGAGAAAATAACCAAAGCATTGCACGAAGCACGAAGCACTTTAAAATCTAGAAAAATAGCTTTAAAATGAAGTGAAAGAGACGCCTCAACACTTTATTTAACTTGGTGCAAGCTGAGTTTTTTTTGCTTCGCTCCTATATTAATCGCGGAACCTTCAATTAATTAAAATTTGAGAAAATAACCAAAGCATTGCACGAAGCACGAAGCACTTTAAAATCTAGAAAAATAGCTTTAAAATGAAGTGAAAGAGACGCCTCAACACTTTATTTAACTTGGTGCAAGCTGAGTTTTTTTTTGCTTCGCTCCTATATTAATCGCGGAACCTTCAATTAATTAAAATTTGAGAAAATAACCAAAGCATTGCACGAAGCTCTTTAAAATCTAGAAAAAAAGCTTTAAAATGAAGTGAAAGAGACGCCTCAACACTTTATTTAACTTGGTGCAAGCTGAGTTTTTTTTTGCTTCGCTCCTATATTAATCGCGGAACCTTCAATTAATTAAAATTTGAGAAAATAACCAAAGCATTGCACGAAGCTCTTTAAAATCTAGAAAAAAAGCTTTAAAATGAAGTGAAAGAGACGACTCAACACT